CGAAGATATGATTCGATAAGTATAATTCAGTGAGATAACTTTCGAAAGTTAGATGTGATGAAGAATTCTGAAGATTAGGATTTTATAGAACACAAAGAGTGGATACAGCTGCGCCATTGCAAACGATTTTGAGCCACATGTCATTCAAAGTCTCTAATCATCGATTATTATCATCTCACAGACCCCAACCACATAGTCTACATTTACCAACATGACTCAGTCCACTTGTTAGTGACTTCATAGATTCGTGCAATGTTTTGGTTTGGCCACTCTTAGCTTTCTTCTAATCTACTCCTATACCACAAAACATTGCTCATCTGACGACTATCATCAGTACACTACTTCATAGAATACTAATTGTATTCAAACATTAAAAAACAAACAACTGTCAATCCAACATTCATCAGTTTATCAGTCAATTCACCAAAAAACAAACATTTCATGTACTTAAAACTAATTGAACAAGAGATTCATTGTGATTGAATGAATGATTGATTACGAAGAGAAGCAAAACAATAAATACACATCTCACCACCAGCGTACCTTTTTCGATAGCGCATAAAGCATACGTGCACTCACTGCAGTAGTATGTGTACGTAATAAATTTTTCTCTGCTTCTTTTATTAACCATGCTGATTGATAACCTCGACTACCGAATGCACCTTGACTATGCACAGACTTGACTTTATCAATGTAATCTGCTTCAACGGTATTATTAATATTTGTAAATTCAGGATCTACAAAGATTTAAAAGAATAAGAGAAACAAAAAGCAATATTGCACTAAAAGAAAGAAAGCAGGTGTGTGTTAGGCAATTCGGTAAAATATCCTGAGAGAATTATTTTTGCAAGTCGAATTCTATTGGTCAAAATTATGGTCAGCCTAAAACTGTCAATGTTCGGGATGAGGTTTTCACACTCTAAATGCAAAATGTTGCTTCAGGATTGGTTTGCATCGGCACCTGAACTAGTGATAGGGAGTAAAGTAGTCGAACGTAAAGACCGCTTCAAATTTCTGGGGAGTCTAATCAGTGCTGATGACTTGGTGACTGACGAAATCTCAGCACGGACACAGGAAGGGTTTGGCTAAGTTGCGTCACTTATGGCGTAGGCAAGATATCCGCTTGCTAACCAAAGGACGAGTGTACTATGCATTAGTTCGCTCCGTCTTTATGGCTGTGAAACATGGCCAGTGAGAGTAGAAGATATTCGTAGGTTACTGGTTTTCGACCATAGGTGTCTTCGAAGCATTGCTCGTGTATCCTGGGACAGCCGAGTAAGCAATGCTGTCGTTAGGAAACGAGTTCTAGGTAGGGATGGCAAATCAATAGATGAAGTGGTGAAACTTCATCAGTTGAGGTGGTTGGGACATATTCCGCGTATGCCTAACCACCGACTGCCTCGACGAGCTATGTTTTGTGGTGTAGGAATAGGTTGGAAGAAAGGTAGGGGCGGCCAGACCAAAACATTACACAAATTCATGAAGTCACTGACAAGTGGACTGAGCCATGTTGGTAGGTGTCGACTACCTGGTTGGGGTCCGCGAGACGAAAGTCACCAATGGTTAGAGACCTTGAACGACATGGCTCAGAATCGTTTGCAATGGCGCAGTTGCATTCATTCTTTGTGTTCTCTTTAATTCTAACCTGCTGAATTCCTCATAATCTCTACCTTTCTCCTTCTAAATTTATCTTACTGAATTATACTTCTCGAATCATATCTTTGTTCCCTAGTCTTCTCCATTACTACTAATACTTCTACTATCGCTACCACTATTAGATTTGAATTGGCAGTTGCGTCTCTGTGCTAATGTGGTATGGCAACCTGAACTGATGTACTTACGTACGAAGTTCTGCGTTGTACCTGTCTGTCTGTCTGCCAATGTCACATACTTCAAATGTTGTTTCCTATTAGTCGTCCTAACTGTATATAAATATGCATTAACTGTCAAGATTACTCATATTGCTTCTGTACTCGACCTCATAAACAACTTTTATTCAACGGTGTTGCATTCTGATATATATTGAAGATTTGACAACAGTATTTGGGGTCATACTGGAATTTGGTCAATCGGTAGGAGTTCGAATAGCTAGCTACATAGCAAGCAGCATTGTGACAAAGTGGTAATTTATTTCAGCGTTTGACAATATACGAACGAATAACAACACCAACAACACCAAAATCAATAATACAAATTCGATGAACAGACTAACTAACTAACAAACCATCATCAAACAATAACAACAAGTTACCTCAGTAAACTAAGTAAATTGAAAGAGGGGAAAGCTAAGAAATTCAAACACAAAGATTAGTCATTTCAAATTAGTATAACTAGCTTTGAATTAGAATATTTCTACAAGACTACACAGAGAGATACATGTTAGTCAGTCAGCTACAACGTAGAACTTCTTAACGTACGTACACCCATTCAAGTTGGCATAACCATATTAGCACAGAGATGTGATTGTCAATTCGAATCACATAATAGTGGAAGTAATAGATATGTTAGCGGTTATTTAAAAACATTAGGGATCGAAGATATTATTCAAGAAGTATAATCCAATGAAATATAGACAATACTTCATCTACTGACCTACCATCCTGATCTAGTACCCGTTTCCTAACAACAACTGCATAGCTTACTCGGTTGTCCCAGGAGACATCTATGATCGAAGACAAGCAATCTACGAATGTCCTCTACTATTGACGGCCATGTTTTGCATCCGTATAGTAGGACGGAGCGAACTGCTGCACAGTAAACTCGTCCTTTGGTTATTAAACGGATATCTCGACTACGCCATAAATGACGCAAGTTGGCGAAAGCCAATCGAGCTATCTGTATCCGCGCTGAGGTTTCGTCAGTCACCAGGCTATCAGCAGTGATGAGACTTCCGAGATAAGTGAAGTGGTCCACACGCTCGACAACTTCACTTCCTGTAACTAATTCAGGTTCCGACACAGGCTTATCTCGAAGTAACATTTTGCATTTCGACAGAGAGAATCGCATCCCGAACATGTTTGCATTGTTGCTTATGATAGTCAGAAGACTCTGTATTTTGTCAGCGTCTTCACCAAATAGAACTATGTCATCAGCGTATTCTAAGTCAACAAGCGATTTTCCTGTTAGAAGGTTCATCCCTAAAAATTCAGACGAAGATAATGTTATATCTAGCAGCATGTCTATGATAAAATTAAAGAAGAATGGGGAAAGTGGACATCCCTGACGGACACCACTTGAAGTAAAAAATTCTGATGATAGTTCGCCATAAGCTCTTACTCGACTTGTAGTGTTCGAGTAGAGGGTTTGTATAAGGTTAATGTACTTCTTTCGTACACCTTTCAATGACAGACACTGCCACAGAAACTCACGATCAACAGAGTCAAATGCCGCTTTAAGGTCCAGAAAGACAACTATTGTTGGACCCCAATCCACTCAACAAGTCCCACAAATCAGAACACGGTTGAACAGGGAAGAGATTATATATTCCAAATAGCAAGGTGAAATGGAAGTAAGAAGCCGAAGAAAAGGCGAAATAGGAACAACGTTGGTATCTCTATAGGATTTACATGAAAAGCTTCTAGAGTGTTCTCCAAGTATCGACTAGGCGCTGATTGGATAAGAATCAGCCAATCAGCGTGCAGCTAACGCCAATCATGCCTTAATCCAATTTTTGTCCCGCTAACACAATGGAATATGAAAAACAACAATGACCAACTACTAACCCTAACTAATCACCCTCTGTCTGTATGAGGTACATGAATTCAACATCAATATAAAGACTATATATAATTCAAATTAGGAAAACCCAACAAACAAAAAAAGTCACTAATTTACCTGAAAGAAAAAATGTATCATGAGCATCTCGAGCAGGATGTTGTTGTGGTTGGAAAAGACTGTCGAAATTCCAAAAACTACATTCAACATAATTGTTTGTAGGCATTTCTGAAAATCTAAGAAAAAAAACATTTAAAGCAAGAAATCAATAGGATTTTGGAAACATAAACCATGTTAGTACCCGACCGTAACTGCTACCTTGACACGTGGTGCTTGTCGGGCTTGCCTATCATGTGATGATTCAACCGAGTTATATTGGCTGGAACATATGTGTTCCTGTAGGTTCTATCATGCCAGGCAGGTGGTCGATTGGAGAACGGTGAAACTAAAGGCATTAACTCGATGGTCTGAAGGAGAAGTCGTACTGCTGACTGTGATGGAGTGGTGTGATAGCAGTAAGGCGTGTCCCTCGGACAACCAGCATCTGCAGCGATGTTGCCTTCTCACAACAGGGGTTAGAAAAGGTTGGTCCTAAAAATGTTGCACTACGGTGATAAGAGCGGAGCTAGCACTTACGAAACATCCCATAAAAAGGCTTTGAGTGACCATCCCCCAGATATCAGGACTGGTGAGACTTCCATGATAAGTGAATCGGTTAACATGCTGGTCTACTTCCCTCCCTATCACTAATTCAGGTACTGAGACAAGTCAACCCTGAGGCAACATTGTGCATTTATAGGAGGGGGAGAATTTGCATCCTGAACAAGCTTGCATTGTTGCTTAAGGTAGTCAGAATATTGTATTTTGTCAACGTCTTCACTAAACAAAACTAAGTCATTAGTATATTCTAAGTCGACAAGTGAATCTCCCGGTAAAAGTTCAATACCTGAAAAGTCAGACGATGAAAGTATTGTCTCTAAAAGCATATCATTGATAATGTTAAATAAGAATGGAGAAAGTGGACATCCCTGACGGACACCACTTGAAGTATTCAATCCCAGTGACAGTTCACTATGAGCACTAACTCAACCAGGACTATTTGAATAGAGCTTGTACAAGGTTAATTCACTTCCTTGGCACATCTTTCAATCCCTAACACTACCACAACAGAACCTCACGAACAAATAGCTGCGTATAACAGAAAACAATATTTCATGCCATTATCCAATAACCATAAAACAAAGAGAAAGTTCCAAGACAAATTGGATTCGATGACATATTGACAACTTTCTAACCAGTGTTTACAAAAAAAGTACTAGCAATACTTGAAATTCTATTTGACATAATACAAGATAATGTAAGAATAGTCGCGTCTTCCTACTAAGTGATTTTATTGTTGTAAAACACGGTAATTTCTTCACATTGAGCACCAAAAACCATACTGATTTTGTGACAGATATTCGTCAACGTCTAAGATAGTCGAGAATGATGCACTGAAGCTTAAAATATAGATAGAGCATGGTGATATATGTATATATATATTTGTAGCTCAGGTGGATGATTGTAGTGGAGTTTCGTTCTCTAAGCTGGATATTTTGGTTGTGGAGCTTTCATTGTTCTTCTTCTGAACAACAACATCATCCGCACAAAGTTCAGATAGAAGACCTGAAGTATTCGAAATTCTCCATGTTTGACACGTAGCTTGTTCTGTTCACCTCGATCTTGATTGGTTGCTATTGACCGCCGTCGTCTGTCGTTGTTTGCACCTTTATTTTGATTGCATCCCCCTTTTGATTTGTTTCTTGATCCTATGTTTGCCTATGATTTTTCTGATTCGTTGATAAATTAGGTCAATGCCCATGTGTTGGTTGATTGCCGGTTGACCTGAGTGCTAAGCTTTTCGAAATTTCCTAGTGTCCTTTGTACTCCCACTATTTCAGTCAGTCAGTTGCAACGTAGAACTTCGTACGTATGTACATCAGTCCAGGTTGCCATACCACATTAGCACAGAGACGCAAATGTCAAATCAAATCCCATAGTGATAAAGATAGTAGAGGTATTAATGGTAATGAAGAAGACTAGAGTTTGAAGATATTATTCAAGAAGTATTAATTCAGTGAGATAAGGTTAGAAAGACAAAGGTAGAGAAAGTGCTGACGAATCCAGAAGATTAGGATTTGAGAGAGCTCAAAGAGTGGATAACTCAGTCCACTTGTCAGTGACTTCATGGATTTCTGCCATGTTTTGGTTTGGCCGCCCCTAACTTTCTTTCAACCTACTCCTAGACTACAAAACATAGCTCGTCCAGGCAGTCGGTGGTTAGGCATACGTAACACATGTCCCAACCACCTCAACTGATGAAGTTTCACCACTTCATCTATTGATTTGCCATCCCTACCTAGAACTCGTTTCCTAACGACAGCATTGCTTACTCGGCTGTCCCACGACATACGAGCAATGCTTCTTAAACATTTATGATCAAATACTAGTAACCTACGAACATCTTCTACTCTTAACGGCCATGTTTCACTGCTGCGCAGTACACCCGCTCTTTGGTTAGCGAACGGATATCACGCCTACGCCATAAGTGACGCAGGTTGGCTAAAGCCAATCGAGCCTTCTGTATCCGAGCTGAGATTTCGTCAGCCCACTATTTCAACATTGTTCCAATCGAACATATGTCTATAGTAGTCTGTATGTATTGATATAAGTGAGGAAATATCATAACGTTTGATTGTTAATTAATGTTCACGCAAACAAAGCTAAAGAGGACGTCTAATTTGGCCTATGTAGTGTTTTTCACTACTTCACTTCTTCTATCTGAAGTTTGTACTGATGATGTTGTTCAGAAGAACAAGAAGAAGAACAATGAAAGCTCCACAACCAAAACATCCAGCTCAGAGAACGAATTTACACCACACTCACCTACATGAGCTACAAATTTTTCTCCACCATCTCATATATAAATATATAAATTCAGAGGAATCCAAATGAAAAAATTGACACTACTATAAATCACATAAAAACAACAGTCATAATGACTAATTATCAATACTGTTTCAAAATTAATGTTCACACAGGATCGATAAAATCACACACTTTGCAGACAGTTCGCTATAACATCCTTTAGACGTATTAACATAGATTGGTAGTGTGAAATGTAAGATTATTTAGAAATTATCAATGGAAGTGTGATACATTATTAAGAAAATGAACTGTATCAAATTCTACGGATCAATAGAAGTAGGAAACAATTTAATTGGATTACTTGGAAAGTATATCCACTGGCAGTTTAAAAAAATTTTTACGTAATATTCAAAAGCACAGAATATTTGAGTGAATAACTTTTTCAAATGACTTCCTTATATTGGACAATGCATGTAAAAGTGTTTGACTGATTAAGTCAGTATTCTTAGTTGGAAATGGCAAGTTTCACGTCGATCGTGTCTTAAATATTCACAAAACGAATTATTGGTAAGGTTCAAAAGGTCTATAAAGAAAAAAATGACTTACATACTTTCAAATAATATCATTAAAATACCTAATACGAAAACATAATTCAGAGAATATGTACAATTTCTTTTTCAGACTTTTGGATTTTATGCATCAAGACTACATAGTACTAGTCAGTCAACGACAATATATGACTTCGTACGTACCTATGTACATCAGTCCAAGTGGCCACATATCACATTAGCACACAGACAAGTCGAATTGTCAATTCAAAGCCCATAGTGGTAGTAAAGGTTGTAGAAGTATTAGAGGTAATGGCAGAGATTAAGATTCGACGATAATATTCAAGAAGTAGAATCTAGTGAAATAAACTTAGAAAGAAAAATATAAAGGTGATGAGGAATTCAGAAGGTTAGGATTTGAGAGAACACAAAGAATGGATGAACCAGCGTCATTGCAAACGGTTCTGAGCCATGTCATTCAGAGTCTCTAAGCATCGATTACTAACATCTCGCGGACCCCAACCAGGTAGTCGACAACTACCGACATGACTTAGTCCACTTGTCAATGACTTCATGCATTTCTGCCATGTTTTGGTTTGATCGCCCCTAGCTTTCTTCCAACCTAATCCTACACCACAAAACATAACTCGACGAGACAGTCGGTGGTTAGGCATGCGTAACACATGTCCTAACCACCTCAACTGATGGAGTTTCACTATTTCATCGATTGGTCTTTCATCCTTACCTGGTACCTATTTTCTAACAACAGCATTGCTTACTCGGTTGACCCAGGATACACGAGCAATCTTTTGGAAACACCTATGATCAAAAACCACAAACCTCCATAGCATATCGAAAATTTATGCCGTGTTGTTGTTGTTGGAGTCTGATACTGAAATACAAGTTTTCCATATACAAGTCCAAACCATCAACAGGAAGCTTTTATTGGATAGGACAGGAATAGAAAACGCGTAACTCATTTATCAACATATATCTATTTAGCTTAGTAAGTTAAAACACCTTTTTCAACTATTAGCTTGTCAACAATGTAGATCCATCCGAATCGCTTGTTTAACATTCGGTACATAACTGACTGACTCATTGTATCAATTCACCAAGTAGGAGTACTTATGTACTTGATTCTTAACGTGTTAAACTCATTGTACCACTCATCGGAAAGATGGTTGGTAAGAATAAAAGAATGATTATGCCAAGACATGATCAAACACAGTCAGTCAGTCAGACTCATTACCTCCTTCAGATATTCACAAAAGTTTCTTCCTCATCATTTCTTGTATAAACTTTTAACTTTACTGATAATTTGTTTTGTTAATATTAAAGATATAATCGACGTGAAACTCGCCATTTCAAATTAAGAACACAGACTTATTTAGTCATAAGTCTTACCATGCATAGTCTAATATATATCGTTTAATAATAACACAATAATTCTGGATTGTTAGCAATAAAGTTTAAAAAAAGGAAGATATTTGTGAAAATTTTGCTGAAATACTCTATTTTTGAATAAATTTAACAGCTGATAGTCAACAGTGATTATCTAATCATGTGTTCACAAATTAAGAACTGATAAACAGATGTCTAACAAACAGTGAGTACATATTTAAGAAAAAAGGTATGATTTATTTTCAGAACTAAGAGAAACAGAATGGAACAACCAGAAAATATTCCACATACCCCATATCACAAAGTATCCTACAGAATTCCGATCGTACACGTAGAAGAGGATGAAGATGTCCAGATGGTAAAGCAGCACCAAGAGCATTAAAGTTGTAAGCTTTAAATCGAGCTGTTTGCCATTCGCCACTATCAAAAATGCATGCACAAATCATATAAGAATAGAACAGTGATTTGAATAAGAGTAGTAAAAACAATGATTAAGTTAATAGTAACACTTTGTGGCAAAGTAGTTGTCTGTATTGGGATTTTGGCTACATTTATTTTAAAGCCACAGACGGAAGTTTGTGCAGTGAGACTCAAACTTATTATTTCTATTGAAAGTTGGACATTTAAGCGATTGAACCATTACCGCTACATTTTAAGACTAAATACCATGTAACTCTCTTGCGGATAAATTCATGATGTTTAGAATCCTAGATGACACTGCTTAAAAACAATCACACATTATGGTTTGTACAGCACTGCAAACAGTGGTACATACATTTGAACTGTGATTATCAAGTAGCACTGTGGCCAGAACGACTTCCCTCTATGTCTTTACAACAGCCCTGAGGATTCAACACTCCAGTTAATACCACATTTGTCAGGCGTGTTTTTTTCAGATTATCAAACTTTTTACGGAATTCATCCTGTGGGCATCCAAGCTGAAACCAGACAGTGCATAGGCAATTATGAAAAAAATCGTCTACATTGCCAGTTTTTTTCGCTTGAATGAGGCCTCTTATTTTAAAAATACACAAACAATTATTAACAAATATCCAGATGATGTGTGACATTAACGCCAATCAAACTGAATACCGATGGACATAAGATACGCGGAGAATGAATTTTTAATACGTGAATACAGGTACCAGGGATACAGCATACATCGACTTCGGGACATTTCAAAGACAAAAGTAAACTGATATGTATCAGTGTATGAGTGTTTAAGAAGGTCAATCAAAACAACACAGATGGTTTCATAAAAGCTGTATTACGAAGCACATTCGGTGGGAGGACTTGTAAATGTGACCAATCAGTGACCTTAGACCGTTTGGACAAGTCGTGGAGTAAACTAAAGAATGTACACAGAATGGGAATAACGAGAAAGAGATGGGTGATGTAGTGTAAAGTATGAATGTCACCATATAATCTTGAACAAAGTTGTCAGTGAAGCGAATTAGAATATCCATATTTTCTTCAATGGTAGTCATTACAAAAATTTGTGGGTTGGGATACTCCTCGGGAGTTCGAATCAAAGTAAGTAGTTTTATTAAGATGCCAATCAACGATCATTTTACCTTGATATCAATTCCACAAGGCAGTAAAGCAATACCAGGAGCTGACGTCCGTCGGTAGTTAGCAACAAAGAATAGGTGCATATGCCATCCTTTTGATTACCGAGTCCAAGAACTCTCCCTAAGTGAAACCTTCATATCCACCAAACCAATTAAAACTTTGGATACAAAATTCTTACCTTTTCATTTTTGTAAACAATCCCACTTCTCTGGAAGAGAATATCAACGCATGGCTACATGGGAGCATTTCGAGAGAGGGCGGACTCAATCAATCCTTAACCGCATGAAGTCATTTGGAGATCGTAAAAGTCAGTGGCTTTAAGTGCTATCAGACTAGGCTCGGAATAAAAACCAATAACACTATGAAAAAGAACTAATCTCTCTTAATAGAAAAAAGCTTTTCTCAATCCAAACTTGTCTTCAGAGTAAATAATTGGGATGTAACATCTGCTCTAACAGAAAAATGTGTATATAGCATATTGCTTGATAGACATTATTGAGAGCATTGAAAAAGCTTACATAATTAAGAAAATACGTATAACTGAGCCCATGTATCGAAGGTACACATATACTTCCTAATATCGTGTTTATTTATTACAGCTAGATAATATCGAAAACGATCGCTAAATCATTTCATATTTGTAGGTGGCATAGGAAGTATGAGTTCAAGTGAATCGATATAGGAGTCAAATGAGAATAAATATTTTACTTCTCAATCTCTGAGGTCTCGTTAAAGATGAAACCACAAGAAACGTGTGCCAGGTCATTACAAAGTAACTAGTGCTGGAAAGAAGACTTCAATAAAATATGGAGGTAAAAATAACGTAATCTAATGAGTTATTAGTGATTTCTCACCTGTTAAGCATGTCAGATGATAAATCTGTTTCATCAGGTCTAATATTCATAGTAAATGATGGACCTTTTCGTACCAAATAGGATGTGCGCTTTCTATAAACTTATGACTATGATTAAAATAAAACTGACATACAATTCAGAAATTAGCTTTCGTTTCTTCAATTGAGACTTTTCTTCATCTGAGAGAGGACGTTTAGATTCTTTTATCTCTAATAATAACTGTTGAACATCATCCTTTACTTCTGGAATCTGATAAGATATTTATCAAAAACTACATGCTTACCGAACGATGCAAACAAGGTATACCAGTCTCATTTTTAGTTAATGTTATCCACTTTAACGAAAGAGCTTTGCTAATACCTATTTTAGCATTGGGAAATATTTTCTACTAAGTCATAAATCTGATACCAATAACAAACCAAAACATCACTCTGTGGTATCCCTGATTCCGGAATTGCACAGTACACTCTATACTCATGACTACCATTGTTTAACATTTCATTCCCTTCTTCTGTTAATTGTAAAACAACCTCCACCACATCCTCACAATTTATGATCTATAGACACCAAAATATGTAAACATCTCATCACACGTACTTCACTGTAGTTCTCTAGACTTTTTATTCCTCCAACAACTACTTGGTGATCAACCCCAAGCTTTTCAGCTAGTTTGTCTGATTTAAAATAATTTTCGCCATCTAACTCAAGAAGTATCGCATTTTGAATGTCCATTGGATCCTAGTTGTTGAATTAAATAGTCCTGCAATGAAAGAGGAGGGATGTCTTAATAGTCAAATTTAGGAATAAATAGTGCCTTCTACTTATACAAACCTGTTTACTTTTGTGAAGATAAACAACTTAAGGAGTTAATAATGATAAACTTTTAATGAACCAACAGTTTGATTAGTATTATTTTTCAAACGTTGTTGAAGCATTATAGATTGTTTATTGTTTGTTTGATTCTGATAAGTTTGGATGAAATTGGGTTCATAATATTAAAGTATCAAAACTCTAACTAATGTAGATGTATATTAACATTACAAACAATCCAATATTACAAACCTTCGTTGAATGAGTTCTGAAAATTGTTATACAAACTTCAGATGACTGAATGCTAAACTTAGTAACTTTACTGTCTGTAGTTCTCTTAAACAGTTAAATTATCCACAAAGCTAACTTTAGAATTACAGTCAGAGATCGTAACAAGACCACGCGTGAAACTGTACAACAATATTTTAATTGTGCATGTTGTTTTCCAATATCCAATATCTCATTCACGAGCTAGCATCCAATATCCAGCATAAACAAGTTAATTTCTTTCCGCTCGATTTTTCTTTCCTATACGGTTCTAGGTGTTTGTTAGTGTCCAATGGATGGAGTCTAGCCACTGGACTACCTAATTCTCGTCCGTTAGCAGTTGTTTGTGAGTTTGTATGTCCCGTGATTTGAATGAAAACGTTTATTTCAAGAAAGTAGGGTTTCTGGGTACCAGAAACTATCGCATTACCAGGCCCGCGATCAGTTAGTTGCAGTGTGGGGAATAATAAGGAGAAAATTCTGATGATAATAAGATTTCAGAACTAAGTAAATAAATGTATAATTTAGTTTACTAATAGATGTTGAAGATTGTGCGTGAGGACCGAAGTGTAAGCAGGGGAGAGAAAACAGAGATAATAGATTAAGTTAATGATCTGAGGGAATGGCAGCAAGAGCATCTCGCAGGTCCCAAGACATGCATCAGGCACAACTGGTCAGAATGTGAGTGCTTCTTTATCAAGTCTCTTCTTGAAGGTATCCACGGAAAGAGCTGTGGTCACCTCGGCTGAGAGAGTATTCCAGATTTCAACGACTCTTAATAAGAAGTGTGCAATAATTTTAGTGTTCGCTTTTTGAACAGCAATGTTTTGGGGATTACCTCGAGGGGAGTGGTGGTGTCGCACCGGTAAGGTACTCACGTTGAGATGGTTTGGCATACCCCTGATTATTCAGTAAACCGGGGAGAATAATCCCGAGTTCTGGATTCAATATTCGTAAGTTTTATTCTCCAACCCTATAATTCATTTCGTCGTTTATCTCTCTTTTAAGGAGAGAGGGTGCGACGATGTTGTGAACCTCAAGATGTTTACTTATTTACTTTACTTACGCCTGTTACCCCCAATGGAGCATAGGCCGCTCACCAGTTTTCTCCAACCAACTCTGTCCTGGGCTTCTTTCTCCAGTTCTGTCCAATGTTTGTTCATTCTTCTAATATCTTTCTCTATTTCTCGGCGTAATGTGTTCCTCGGCCTTCCTCGTTTCCTTTCGCCTTGAGGGTTCCATGTGAGGGCTTGTCTTGTGACGCAGTTAGGTGCATTTCGTAGTGTGTGTCCTATCCACTTCCACCTCTTCTTCCTGATTTCCTCCTCCACTGGAATCTGACTTGTTCTCTCCCACAGTTCGTTGTTTCTGATGGTGTCTGGCCAACGAATACGAAGTATTTTGCGTAGACAACTGTTAATAAATACTTGTATCTTCTGGATGATGGCTTTGGTAGTTCTCCAAGTTTCCGCTCCATACAGTAGAACTGTCTTGACATTTGTATTGAAAATCCTGATTTTGGTTTTGGTTGAAAGTTGTTTGGAGTTCCAGATATTTTTCAATTGTAGAAATGCAGCCGTTGCTTTGCCAATCCGCGCCTTCACATCTGCATCCGATCCACCTTTCTCGTCGATGATGCTGCCCAGATATGTAAAGTTGTTAACGTCCTCGAAAGCATCTCCATCAAGAGTGATTTGGTTGGTGCATGTTGTGTTGCATCGGAGAATTTTGCTTTTTCCTTTATGTATGTTGAGACCTGCTGCTGCAAAGGCTGCTGCTACACTGGTCGTCTTCTCTTGCATTTTTTGTTGAGTGTGCGATAGAAGAGCCAGGTCATCCGCGAAGTCCAGATCGTCCAGCTGCATCCTAACTGTCCAGTTGATACCGTGCTTCCCTCCAGATGTTGACGTCTTCATAATCCAGTCGATGAACAGGAGAAAGAGAAAGGGTGAGAGTAAGCAACCTTGCCTGACACCGGTCTTCACCTCAAACGAGTTTGTCAGCTGACCCCCGTGCGCGATTTTGCAGTTGAATCCATCATAAGAATTCCGTATGATGTCAACTATTTTCTCAGGAACACCGTAGTGTCAAAGAAGCCTCCATAGTGTTTTCCTATCCACGCTATCGAATGCTTTCTCGTAGTCGATGAAGTTGATGTAGAGTGGTGAGTCCCATTCAATTGATTGTTCCACAATGATCCGTAATGTAGCAATTTGGTCAGTACATGATCGATCCTTACGAAATCCAGCCTGTTGATCTCGAAGTTGGGCGTCTACGAAGTCCTTCATTCTGTTTAACAATACTCTGTTGAAGACTTTGCCTGGTATTGAAAGAAGAGTGATGCCTCTGTAGTTCTCACACTTGCTGAGATCGCCTTTCTTTGGTATTTTGATCAGGTATCCTTCTTTCCAATCTGATGGTACTTGTTACTCATCCCAAATCTTCTTGAAGAGGATGTGAAATATTTTCGCAGTTGCTTCTACATCTGCTTTCATTGCCTCTGCTGGAATGTTGTCTGGTCCTGCTGCTTTGCCGCTCTTGATTTGTCTGATGGCTATACTGATCTCCTCAATCGTAGATGCGCCAATATTAATTGGGAGGTCCTTGGATGCTGTTTCGATGTTGGGTGGGTTCAGTGGAGCTGGTCGATTCAATAGTTCCTTAAATTGCTCTACCCACCTATTTCGCTGTTCGTCAGTGTTGCTGATTATTTTCCCTGCCTTGCTTTTCACTGGTCGTTCTGGTTTACGATAGTTCCCGACGAGCTTCTTTGTTGTTTCGTACAATTGTCTCAAACAATGTTAAGAACAATTGTGGGATGATATCACTAAGTTGCCTTTGCATAAAGCGTAGACGTGCATTAGCCTTGACTGCGTCCTTCATGTCGTTACAACTGGTGGGGAGGCTTGGAGTGGACATCGCGCTCTTAGTAGACATTAGGGAGCGGACTTCCATTGAGGGTGTAATTCGTCCAAGTCACGTGAGGCAGAATCTGCGTAACATGGACCTCCAGGTCTTTGCATCATCTGCGTTGATCAATGCCGCTGAGCTGCCTTTGTCTAACAGGTCGTAATGAATATCTGGAGGAGAAGTGGACCTAAGATGGTCCCCCGTATTTCAAACATGCCAGAATCAGGAATTCAGACTCTATAATCAATCTCAATCCCGCAATCTATGCTCAAATTATCAGGAGCGAAATTTTTATTACCTTTACCAGTTACTTGGTTTACTAAACAGTTTGCATTTTTGTCATCTGATTAGTTATTGTATGTATGATTATGAAGGTTACATCTCCGTCTCTGAATATGACTCTCATAAAATGTTCCTTTGGTTAATTCATTCGTTTCGTGGTATAAAACTTTAAAGTAAGTAAGAAACTAGCCCATTTCGGTGTCATATGATTCTGTTTCTTAATAGCTTCTGAAATAAAATTAGAGTTTATTATCTCATTGATAACTCCCAGACGAGACTCAATCCATAAGGTTGTTCTGAATGACCTCCTACTAATCACAAGAATAAATCGTTAAAATTATTTTGCATGTAGTGCCTCTGTAAATAAGAATAATGCATCTGACTATAAAGGAAGCGAGAATAAATTGGTAGCTGTGCAGGCTGCAACGTTGCTTGTCTTTCCGGTTCCATTCTCGTTTATTGAATATTCACTTTATTTGATATTATTATTTTCCCTCTTCGAAACTTATATCTCGGGTATTTACCTCTTTAAATTTTCTAATAGACCACTCTTTAGTCTACTGAGTAATGTATACAGTAATGGCGTTGCCACCAGTTCTGACACCATGATAGCTAGGGAAACTAGTAGTGAGTCGAAACTCGAAGTCTTCAGAAACAGATTTGTGAAAAAACGCAAATCGTCATTCGATCATGGACCTCGAAGTCATGTATATAAATCGAACCAAGCACCTATACTGCGTCTCTAACGAAGAAACAGGAAGATACTCTCTCCCAGATTCCTACTTCCGGTAAGACCAGTAAGCAATAAAGAGATAGAAGAAAAAGGAATCCTGAAACTCAAATAACTTAGTCTACTGAACTGAATACAGACTATAAGAATGAATAGCAATTGGATAGACCTGGAAAAGAAGGCTCAGGACAGAGTGTGTTGGAGAATGCTGGTCAATGGCCTATGCTCCGTTGGGGGTAACAGGCGTAAGTAAGTAAGTTTCTAGTTAAAATCAACGGTTCTGCATTTGAAAGTAACTTCTGAAGTGCGTGGGTTCACTGTCGCTGCGATATTCAGTACCTAAACAGTACCATGGGTTCATCCAAAATAACCCTTTTCCGTTTTTCCACTACGATAGTCCGCAATACAGAATTACTGAGACAAAAATACTGAACAATGCTTGTAATGAACAGCACTTCAGCCAAACTATGCTCTCTGCTCAAGGGTCACAATGAAACTAAACGTAAACCACTACCGTTGAGGGTAACTTTAGATCAGAAGCAAGCTGCTGAAGAAATCCTCCTAACATCCTAGAAACCATTGGTATACTGTCCCCTCTGATCCGACCCAGGCACGCCAAACCCTGGTCAGTAAGAGTAGCTGTCAGAACATCGAATGACACCCAAGAATAAATGAGTATGGTGGTCCATGGAGGTATTGGGGTGATTAGTAGTATCTTGGATGAATCTCACGCTCATGATTTGCTACAATCTTGATGGCTATCGTATGGCATAGGCATTCGCACAACCGTAGCAACTAGCGTCTTACAGCTGCCACGATCCTCACACCTTACGATTACTAAGCCTCCGCATCTGATAGTTGTGACCTTCAGAAACATGGGCACTTCAGGCTTGGTACATAGCAAAGAATGCTTTCTCTAGTCACATTAGAAGAGAGAACCGAACTAACACAGGAAAACTGGAAACACAAGTATTTCGGAAACCACCCCACACAGACGTAATTCTCAACTACGGCAGCAACAACCTAAGAACCCACAAAATCAACTACATACAAACTTTGTTCAAGAGAGCGAAGACACACAGCAGCATATATGAAGCACTTAAGAACGAGAAAAAACATCTTATGACTATCTTCAAATAGGACGGCTATCCACGTAACTTCATGAAAAAACATTAATCGATATCATCAGCAGAAGTGGAATCAAGAATAGGATCATCCTACCATATATAAAAGATATATCAGAAATTTCAGCACGACAGCTGAAACCATTTGGAATATGTGTGGCACACAAACCAACGGAATCACTTCAATCAATCCTATGTAAACTAAAAGACAAAATGAAAAACGAAGAAAAACTAAGTATCATCTACAAAACAAATTGCTCAGACTGTGAAAAACTACACAGGAGTCAGTGGACAGCCTCTTCAACTTTGTATGCATGAACAGCAGTTAACAGTCAAACACCAAGACCATTCTCCGCTTATATCAATACACATACATTCGATTGGAACAAGGTTGAAATACTGGATAGGGGGAGGACAAAGAATACTAGAGAATTTTGAGATGCTTGGCTCAGGTCGATCAGCAATCAACAAACAAATCGAAATTAACTCAGTTTATCGACCAGTCAGAAAAATCACAGGTGGCATAGGATCAAGAAACAGATAAAAGGGAGATACAATCAAAATAAATGTGCAAACAACAACGGTTCAAGGTCAACAGCGATCAATCAAGAACGAGATTAGCAGAACAAGCTACGGGTCAAACGTGGAGAGATTCGAATACTGCACTTCTATCTAAAGTTTGTTCCACTTGAGCTACAAATTTTCTTCACCATCTCAAGCAAAAACCTCGCAACGGCCAGTTCTTTTCAAACTGGCCAACTCCATTTGAACAGCTTGTTTACTATTCTGTTAATGGCTGTTGCTGCAGGGTTGCCCCAGGTGATGAGACAAACCATCACTTTCATCTGCAGCGCCGTAAGAGGACTAAGGAATAAGGGGGAAGAGATCGGAAATGTTCGCTGCAAGATGAATATGAAGATCATAATCCTAACTAACACGTGGTTACCCCCATATATTGCAGAGGAAGTGAGCTTGCAAGGCATGGCACTCTTACGATCTGATAGGGTTACAGAATGCGGGAGGTGGAGTTGTGACACATATTGACAGCCATTTCAAAGCCGTAACGCCACAAAGTACTGAAGTAACCGAGGCGACAAAATCATGCTGATGTTGCTTCAAAATACTTGATTAGAGGGATTTACCAGCTACCATTAATTTCTAAAGCCCAGAAAGATAAAATGATTGAGGTAGTATTGCGACTACCAATTTTTGGAATGACAAAACACATTAGGCTGGAGATTTAAACACTCTGTACTGAAATCTTAGGAAGCAGGGTACAAACAGAGGATGGTTCCTGAAGTGACCTGTTTTAGCCATCAGGGGTTTCGGACTGAGTGGGTTTGTGTTATGCCAATAGGTGGAGAAAGGATAGAATACCCTCAAACTTGGATTATTTGCTAACAAACGTTAAGCTCCTAGTCTGGGATATCCATGTGCACATACTGATAGGAAGTTGTGACCAAGCCTCAGTTATGTTTAAAACGGTTATCTAAGAAATATTCAGTAGGGACTAAAACAGCCTCTACGTTTGCTACGCAAGGGCATTTTCTCATGAAAATCGGACTGGCAAAGACTAACAGTAAATGATCAGTGGCAAACAGTGAGAGATAACATTCAAAATGTCCCACGCTATATACCTCAGGTAAAATACATACCTGAAAAGGGAAAAGCATAGGTTAAATGACTCAGTGGAAGCTTGATACAGGTGACAATGAGAGCCTGGCACAAGTGGAAGGTCTCTCTAAAGGATTCCGAAAGTAATTTTTAATTGGTATTGACAAACAGATGCGAAGCCAAGGTTCGAATTGATAGGAGACACTTTCAGCCACAAATAAAAGCAAACCCAAAAGACCAGAAGAGAACATACAAACCAGAGTGTTTGAGTTCTGGAAGACCCAAACGGTGAAGATCTTAATAACTTAGATGACTGAGATATTTAACTGTAATTTCACTGGCCGGTTAAACCAGGTATCTACAAGTTCAGGGTACTAATCAAATGTATAACCAGCTGATGGTCTAAGGAATATCTGATTCACTTCTAGCTGAGCTGTAAGTAAATCCAAATGCCTTTACCCAAGAAAGTCCTTAGGAGATGACATTATTAGCCACATAATCTTGATATAGTGTTAGGAAGCGCTCAGTTCACCGGTATGTGGCTAGTTCAGACATTCAGTGAAGTTACACCAGTTTACAGCAAAGTAGAAACAGGCTACTCTCTCCAATCTTCAGAGGAGATAGTAAAGATCCAGCATGTTACAAACCAGTGACGTTGCTTCCAGAACTGTCGAATGTAATGGATGGACCAGTGAATGAGCAAATGAGGGAGCACGAGGATAAGAACAACATTCTCTGGGGAACTCAACACCGGTTCATTTAAAATTCCTTGATTTTGCAAAAGATTTCGGCTCAGTACCAAACATACTATCAATTGCCAAGGTTTCAAAAGATGGGCTTAACTGATCCACATATATATGGGCTCAGAAACCACCTCGGGAACATAAAGTTTGGTAGCAAGATAAATAAAGTGCTTGCAAGCTGGCGTGCCTCAAAGTCAAGAGTTTCACAGGAGATCATCTTAAGTCCATTCCTCTTCCTGATATTAACGGATAAGTGCTTAGATAAAACTAGGTTGACAGTAGTAATCTGTGTTGACGACTGAAGGACCTGGAGGTCCTTAATAAGCGAAGAGAAACCAAATGAGCTTCAGAAGGACCTTACAACAATCGAGAAATGGGGAGTTGAAAATGGGTTAATACTTAATCAGTCTAAATATCACTTCATAAACATTCTACCACATGAGACGCAAAAAACTTACATCATCAAGTGGGTCCGCTACCTCTCTTCAAAGCACAATCTCAGTTGAATAACCACAGAAAGCCTCAAATCCAGTTCAAACTACGTAGGGAAAGCAGTCAAGTCTAACGCAACTCTTCACAGTACACTAAGACAACTTAATGCATTCACTCACAATTGTTATTGACTTTCTTCAAAAGATACACACAACGTCGCCTCACTCCAACTCCTTAAAAGTGACATACATCTTCTAGATATAGTTCAGAGACCAGAAACTAAATGCGTAACAGAGTTAGAGAATAAAACTTATGAAGCCAGATTCTAAGGCTTCCCATTAATCCCTCTGAGATATAGAAGAATCTGAGGTCATGTGATAATGGAACACAACGTATTATGTACGCCAAACCATCCCAGCACAAGCATGTTGCCGAAACATTACCACCCGGCCCCTCGGTGTAACCTTTGCAAAATCGCTTATCGAACAGCGGATACTTAGGTGTGCTCCCACGTTTCTCGTTCAGAGATGTCTCAACTTGTAATGCTCTTCTAGTCAAAGTGACCACATCTCGCTCTGTGGATAGCCTTAAGAAGAGACTTGATAATAAAGTACTCACATACGGATCATCATCTCCCTCTTGGACAAGCTGTGCTAGATGCTTGTCTGGAAACTTGCCTGTTGTTGTTATCAATGACATTTCCTCAATTCACTAATTCCACCTGCTTTGCTTATACTTCTATCCTCTCACAAAATCTTCAATACCAGCTAATGAATTTAATTAACTAGTCATATAGTTTTGAAAATTTCCTCTTCTTATTAGCAATAGAACTCTGTTAATATTCTCGGCATGGCAACCAAGTGATCTTCGACCTGGTAATGTGATAGCTCTTAGTATCCAGAAACCACTTTGGCCCAGAGACAGTCTTACTCACTCAAATGACGGGACATACGAATCCATTAAAAACTGCCAACTGAATCGGATTAGTGTAGTTGAGTAGCTAGACTATCATCCATTGGACATTATCAATTACCTGGAAACGTACCAAAACAACGAAAGCGAGCGCAAAGAAACTTATGGGTTTACACTAACTCGTGTAAAACATATTGGATGCTGGAAATATAGCTAGGTTCCTTTCTGGAGGCACTGGGGCTCCAGTTCTATTAGATACGGAAACCCTTCGAACGAAAGTTTCTTCTTTTTCGCACCTGAATCACCGAAACGTGAGTTTGATTGGTCGCTAGGATATCAGGCGATAATTCAATCGAACATCCCATACTCAAAATTTACCAACTACTGGATTATTCATCAGTTTATATTCACTTCATACTTGTATCATCAGTGGGATTTTTTAAATTTTTCTAATGCACGAGCAAAAAGACCGAGGATTAGTTGTAAGTCATGATTTTTTAGCGTCTGTCAACTTCAAAAAACATTACACAGCTTTCACACGTTTTGAAAATTTTTTCAACATATCTTGTTATCATACGACTATAGTTTGGATCCGAATGACTTGAAAATGTCCCACATATAAATGACTCAAGTTTATTCATTAGTTATAGACTGACTATCATAAGAGTTAAGGTTGTATTGACCAGTTAATCGCCTATCCAAAATTACCAATAAGCAGTTATTCATCTACTGGAATGAAATAACACTTTTTCTAGCTCATAACGATTTATTTAATTCTTTGCACACTATTTTTTTATATGACACTGATTGTTTCCACTGTAGGAAGTTTACTGTGAACAGCATTGAAGAAGTATGCGCTTCCAAAATTAAACGTCCTTAATCTATTATCGGAGTATCGTCAGCTAATGGGTTCAGAGGATTTTGTAAATGAAAATAAACTATTGAAATTGAAAGTATTAGAACTTTCAGAACAATTACAAAGGAATATAATTTATTTCAATGAACGTTTAGGGTAAGTATTTAAAAACGTTTCTCATAATTATTCTAATTGAAAAAGGAGTGCATTTTTTTAAACGGGATTAAATTTTTACACTCATATTTGTTATAGATAAGTAAAGTTTGAACCAAATGTCTATGATGTCGATGAGAGAATTGGTGGAAAAGTAATAACACTGTAGGTATTCAACTGTGTAAACACCTTCAGATCTCAGTCCATCAATACCATAAAGATTACAAGTATGCTGATAAGTGTTAGCTAGGATGAAACCTAGTTCCAGGAGTTTTCGCCGTTTATTTCTAACCAGTGAACATTAATAGATAGCATACATGGTGTCAAAATACTAAGAATATTAACTGCATTGGAGCTCGATCGATATAGCTCAATCAGGATTATGCGCTAGACCTATATCAGGCTACTTCCGCCTGTTACCCCGAATGGAGCATATGCCACCGACCAGTATTCTCCAACCTGCTCTGTCCTGAGCCTCCCTTTCTAGTTCTGTCCAATTTCCGCTCATTCTTCTCATATATATCTCCATTTCTTGGCGTAATGTGTTCCTTGGCCTTCCTCTTTTCCGTTGGTCTTGAGGATTCCAAGTGAGGGCTTGTCTCGTGACGCAGTTGGGTTAGGTCAGTCAATACATAATGACCATTTAGTGTAAATTTGCACCAGCCAACTAAAGTGAGTCATAGTGTTAAATGTATTAACCGGTATACTAATCCCCAGTTCTTTGCAGTTATATTGCAATCAGTCAGTCGGTCAGTTGCAATGTAGAACTTCGTACGTACTTACATCACTTCAAGTTGCCATACCACATTAGCACAGAGGCGCAGTTATCGATTCAAGTCTCATAGTAGCAGAGGTGGTAAGAAGTATTGGAAACGCTTTTGAGCTATCATTCAAGGTCCTTAACCATCGATTACCATTATCTCGCCGGCCTTAAACAGTTAGTCTACACTTGCCAACATGACTCAGTCAAGTTATCAGTGACTTCGTGGATGTGTGGCATGTTTTGGTTTGGCTACACCTAGCTTTATTTCAACCTACTCCTACTCCACAAAACATAGCTCGACGAGGCAGTCGGTGATTGAGCATACGTAACACATATCCCAACCACTTTAACTGATGAATTCTCAATACTTAATCAATTGACTTGCCATTCCTACCTAGTACCCGTTTCCTAACAACAGCATTGCTTACTCGGCTTTCCCAGGATATTCGAGCAATGCTTTGAAGATACCTATAATTGAAAACTAGTAACTTACGAATATCTTCCACTCTGACTGGCCATGTTTCACAGACATAAAATAGGACGGAGCGAACTACTACGCAGTACACTTGTCCTTTGGTTATCAGACGGATACCACCCCTACGTCATAATTGACGTAAGTTGGCAAAAGCCGATGGAGCCTTTGTATCTGTGCTGAGATTTCGTCAGTCACCAGGCCATCACCACTGATGAGACTCTCGAAATAAGTGAGGTGGTCGACACCCTCAACTTCTTCACTCCCTATCACTAGTTCAAATGCCGATACAAGCCAATCTTGAAGTAACATTTTACATTCCGAGGTGGAGAGTCGCATGCCGAAGATGATAATGTTAAATGTATTAACTGGTTTACAAATCACCAGTTCCGTGCAGTTATATTGTAATATTTAAAACTAAACCGGCATCTGAAGAAAAATAGGAAAAAGGTTTTAAAACATACATGAATGTATGATGGTATTGAAATTTATGGACAAAGCTTGTGATTATGTACAAAGCATTTATCAATCTACACCAAAACATCATATCCTCCATAGTCTGAGTGGAAATTTGAATTTTTGTAGTTCATTTTACTTCCCTCCTAAAGATTCATCACATGTATATCAGACTATATGTTATTTAAGATGAATTTATCGTTTTGCGGAGTGATAATAAGAATTTTAACGGAGTCAGCTTAATCCTGAATACTTATTCTAATCAGCAGTACATTGGTTGTGTGTACTCAGATCACCGAATTCCTAGATACAAGACAACATTCTTTAGTAAGTGTTAGGATATTCATCGAATATGCTAAGAGAATTATTAGTCAATTCCTATTGGTTAATTCCTACTGGTCAGTTTTATGGTCGTCCTAGATATCAATGTCACGTGCTCCAATGTTGTTTCTTATTGGTCCTCCTGAATTTTAATGTCACTCAAATTTTGTTTCCAGTTGGTCGTCTTAACTGTCAGTGTCACACACTTCGATGTTGTTTCTTATTCGACCTAAATGAATAAATAGGCATTATCTGTAACGTTTTATGATTCGGACCCGGTCCCGGATCCCTAGTTCGGGATCCTTACCTTCTGAATTCGGACCTCAAAATTTGTAAATGCTTGTAGAATACAGGTTCTACTTCATATCAAGTCTTCTTCTTTCACTCAATGGGAGTTGGGACACTCGGATAAGAGTAGCATATCATGTCGCCGGATCCCAGATCCTCCCTCTCGTTTTCCGACTCAGGTGTAAACTCGTCATAGTTCAAGCATATCAAGTTGACGTGTTTACGTGCATGCGTAACAGTAAGCATCTTATGAGCGCAGTCGAAGATCACTGTCTTCTCAATACTGTGCAACCTTAGCAAATTGCAATCACTCTCTATATATGCGAAAATGTCGATGTTCCTCTCAGATAATTTTTTCCGATGTTTTTTTTGTATCAAAATATTTGGCGTTTTTTATTCGGAAAAAAAACACTGTGCCTATTTCGGTGTTCAATTTTTCAATGCTTTTAGTAGAAATGGAATCAATTGTGGTTTTTAAAAAAAAATTTAATGATATCTTTTGTTTGCACTTTGGAAATGGGAATGTTCAAGATGAGTGAACAAATATACCAAGTTGTGAATATGTAGTAATCAATTTTTTGAGTAAATTATCAAACTTGTTTTTAATAGTCAGTAGAAAAAGTTTTTTCTAGAATTCCTGAAAATCTTTAGTCTGATTATAGTTGATCCATACCTATTGACTAGAAACTCAAAGTTTTAGTATTTCGTTGGGAGTGACACACACACACTCAGATCTCCAGGTCTTTCAGTATTACGGGATTATGAAGATTGTTAAGTTACATAATAGAAATCATGAATCAATCAAAGTCAGACCACCATTAGAAACCTGAAAGCATTGGACGATCGTTTCGTCCTTGTATGGGACTGCTGGTCAGTAGCAGTGCGCATCCACAACTCCTGCACCTTGCAGGAGTCGAAACCAGGATCTTTTGTCCTGCGCGCTTTGAACGCCTAACCGCTGGACACTTTCAATTAAAAAACTTTTTTTCAATGATCAACAATCCGAACAACTTGATGAATACAAATTTCTGTCTGATAGAGTTTACAATTAGCCTAAGAAAAAAGTTCTTGAATGTATATAGTAAGAAAATTGAAATGTCTATATTGATGTCCCATAAAACGTCATCTACAAAACTTGTCATATTTTCAACTGACGTAATGCAATTATTTTTAATTTGGGTTTGACATAAATCTATATTTTTGAAACCATGAATCGATCAATGTTAGACCACCATTAGAAGCCTGGAAGCACTGGATGGCCGTTTCGTCCTGATATGGGACTCCTCAGCAGTGCGCATCCACGACTCCTGCACCCCGCAGGATTCGAACCGAGGACCTTCGGTACTGTAGGTGAACGCCTAACCATCGGACCACTAAGCCGGTATCTAACGGTGTTAATGTCTAACTTGATCAATTCACAAAGTTGCGCAATCTCATACACAGTCTTCGGTAGACACTGCCTACACCCGAACAGGTTGAACTTCGCTGGTCACGTCTTCCCACTAGAACTCGGAGAAGATTCCTCACGAAGCTAGTCACTAGTGAGCACAGGTAATTTGCATTACGGGGTTGTGAAGATTGTTAAGTTACACATATATTATAAAGCTTACTAGTAGTATATTTTTTTCTTGGTTTATCTCATTATCAAACAATCAGTATTACAAATGACATGTAAATCGGTTATGTTGAAGGTGTCCTTTTTTTTCACAACTCTCATCAATCCCACCACTTTTTAGAGCTAATCTGCCGGGTTTCTTTGCATTGATGTCTCCGAAGCATTGATCGTATATCATGGGACAACCGTATAAGCTGTCGTTAGGAAACGAGTTCTAGGTAGGGATGGCAAATCAATAGATGAAGTATTGAAACTTCATCAGTTGATGTGGTTGGGACACGTGTTACGAATGGCTAACCACTGACTGCCGCAACGAGCTATGTTTTGCAGTGTAGGAGTAGACTGAAAGAAAGCTAAGGGCGGCCAGACCAAAACATGGCAGAAATCCATGAAGTCACTGACAAGTGGACTGAGTCATGTTGGCAGGTGTTGACTACCTGGTTGTGGTCAGCGAGACGAAAGTCACCAATGGTTAGAGACCTTGAACGACATGGCTCAGAATCGTTTGCAATGGCGCAGGTGCATTCACTCTTTGTGTTCTCTCAAATCCTTAATCTTCTGCATTCCTCATAATCTCTACCTTTCTCCTTCTAAATTTATCTTACTGAATTATACTTCTCGAATCATATCTTCGCTTCCTAATCTTCTCCATTACTGCCAATACTTCTATTATTGCTATCACTCTTGGATTTGAAATGACAGTTGTGTCTCTATGCTGATGGGGCATGGCAACCTGAACTGATGTACTTATGTACGAAGTTCTGTGTTGTATCTGTCTGTCTGTCTGTCTGTCTGTCTGTTTGTTTCTTTGTATTTCACTAAATTTTTACACGTATAACTGAATATCATCAGTTCAGTGCTTACTTTGATGGTTATCACGTCTTTTTTTTCAGTGTCTTTGCATAGTATAATAACTTAGAATTATAAAGTTTTGTGTTAGGTTTTTCTGTATACATATCTGGTCATTGGATAATTCAAAACAAGGAATACTCAGTCAATCAGTCAGTTACAACGTAGAACTTGGTACGTACGTACGTACATCAGTAGAAGTTGCCATACTACATTAGCACACAGAGACGCAATTGTCAATTCAAATCCCATAGTGGTAGAAGAGAGTAGAAGCAGTACATTTGTTAGGATATTCACCAAATATCCAAAGAGTATTATTTTTGGAAGTATAATCCTATTGGTCGAAATTATGATCGTTTTAACTGTCAAAGTCAAATACTTCAATGTTGTCTCTTATTGGTCTTCCGGACTGTTAATGTCATTTCAAATCTTCTTTCCTATTGGTCGTCCTAAATTGTCAATGTCACAGACTTTGATGCTCTTTCCTATTCGACCCAAAATGTATAAATACGCACAATCTGTAAGCCTTCATGATTCGGATTCTAATTCCGTTTCTCCTGCCTACCTCTCTTCTGTATTCGATCCAAATGAACAACTCCATCCCACAGTGTTGCGTTCTGATATATAGGAGATTTGGAAATAGCATTTTGGGTCGTATTGGGACATTTGAATTGGACGCCGCTAGGACTGAATAGCTATACGTAGCAGCGTTACAACAACATTGTAAATCGATGATAGTAGGATTTGTCATTTAATAATGAGCTCCAAAATGATGAATTAATCTTTCTTAATCCATCATCAACCTTCACTAATTACTGACTGCCTTTTGTGAAATTTCTGATTTACGGCTTTTATTGGGCTACTTTTTCGAAAAAAACTATTTTATATTTCATTGTAACGCAAACATTTAAAATGCAGAAAACGTTAAACATGTACAATATTTCAATATGGGGTGTGAAGTAGTGCTCACCGAAGATAGTGTATGAGATTGTACAAGACTCTGAATTGATCGATGTTAGACAGTAACACCGTTAGATATCGTCTCAGTGGTCCAGAGGCTAGGCCTTTACCCTCAAGACCGAAGGTCCTGCGTTCAAATGGTGTGAGGTGCAGGAGTCGTGGATGCGCACTGCCACTGATGAGTTCCATACCAGGCCGAAATAGCCATTTTTCAATGTTTCCAGGTTTCTAATGGTGATGGTCTAACATTGACCGATGCATGATTTCAAAAATGTACTATCTTATTAGTAAAATAGTTTTACCTTATACGCTTACTTTTTTTTTAGAGCAACGGAATATGAATTGGAACAGTGTAAAAAAACAAATGAAGATTTATTAAGTCAGAAAAATGCTAACATTCGAACTTTACAACAGGAGGTATGATATGTCTTTTTTCTTTTTCGCGTTGTATCTTTTCTTACATACATGGTGTATTTTTTTTCCATACTCATGATTGCTACTAAATTTGTCATCATCAGTAGTGTACTTGAAGAGGTGGCCGGTGGAAGAGGCTGTGTTAGGATATTCATCCAATATTCTAAGATAACTATTGGTCAATTCCTATTGGTTAATTCCTACTGGTCAATTTTATGGTCGTCCTAGTAGATATTACTGTCACGTGCTCCAATGTTGTTTCTTACTGGTTGTCCTGACTATCAGTGTTACCTCAAATGTTGCTTTATATTGGTCGTCTTAACTGTTGATGTCACAGACTTCGATGCTGTTTACCATTCGACGAAAATGTATAAATACGCATTATCTGTAACGTTTTATGACCCGGATCCGGTCCCGGATCCCTAGTCCGGGATCCTGATTCTCTCCTGGACTCGAAGCTCGTGCTTTCTGGATGCTTGTAGAATACATGTTCTACTTCACATTCGTCTTCTTACTTTAATCAATATGGGGGTTGGGATAATCAGATTTGAGTAGCATATCGTGTCGCCGGATCCCCAATCCTCGCTCTCGTTTTCCGGCTAAGGGGTAAACTTGTAATAGTTCAAGCATATCAAGTTGACGTGCTTACGTTGCAGGGGTAACAGGCTGTAAATAATCCATTTCATAGATGCGTAGTCAGATAAAAAGAAATCTAATATTTGTAAAATAATTTATCACATTCAACCTTTAGTGGTAGGTTTTTTTGTCTAACTACTCTTGATGCGTACCTTGTAAGTAGTATGTAGTATGTAAGAGAGAATTTCGAAGAACACATAGGAAAAAAATTCAATCAACAATTCGAAAAGTACATTAGAATACATTTGCAATTGTTAAGTAATTTGAAGCAATCAGTAACAGCTTGAAATAATTCTCTCTTAATACAACCCAGCTATTCCTACTAATGCTTAGTAGTATTCTCGGACACCAAATTCACTCGAGACATTGTCCTAAATCAGAACACGGTTGAAAACAGGAAAAAATAGGTTATATTCTAATAACAAGGTTAGAATGGAAGACATGAAGGTTCAAAGTAAAAAAAAGACGGTAGTATATTTATAGTTTTCTCACATGAGATTTTAGAATGTTCTCTCAGTTCTGGTTGTCGCTGATTGGTGGATGCGAAAGAGCCAATCATTGTTCAGTAACGCAATCATGTTTTTTAATCCAATCTACGTCCCGCTAACAAGTTCTTAGTGTGCTGAACGAGATCGATTGGCCGTAGTTTCTGTTGCAACAGAACGTCTGAAGATATCACAGATAAACAGTGCTTGACAACTTTGTCGATCGAAACTTTTTTATACAGGGATCCATAAGCCAGTTAAGCCAGAAGTCAAGAGCACAAGAATGCACAGATATATTTGGCGGAATGGTCGGTGTGTCAACGTTGATGTAATCTAAGCTAACTAGCTGTCATAAGATGTGCATAGTAAGCTGCACTCTGAGCTGGTTGTTTTGGTTGTGGAGCTTTCATTGTTCTTCTACTGAACAACATCATCAGCACAAACTTCAGATAGAAGTGAAGCATTCGAATTTCTCCACGTTTGACCTGTAGCTTGTTCTGCTAACCTCCATCTTGATTGGTTGCTGTTGACTTTTGACCTGTCGTTGTTTGCAACTTTGTTTTGATTGCACCCCCCTTTTAGCAGAACAAGCTACAGGTCAAACGTGGAGAAATTCGAATGCTTCACTTCTATCTGAAGTTTGTGCTGATGATGTTGTTCAGTAGAAGAACAATGAAAGCTCCACAACCAAAAACAACCAGCTCAGAGAACGAAACACCACCACCACAATCATCCACCTGAGCTACAAGTTTTCTCCACCATCTCATAAGCTGCACTCAAACATGATCTGGTGCAGATGTTTCAAGTCTGGTAAACAATACATATTGTTACATAAGAGAACTTTGCATAGATTGTGTAAGGACCGGGTTGGAGAGTGCTAATCAATTGGAAATAGAAGGCATATTTAGTAAATAGAGCCATCTATTTTATTTCATTTTAATTACTGTGTGCAAGGTGTCTGGTGTGAGCACAGCATTCTTTGAATTTGATGAACAGTAATTGGTCGTAGTCAGTAATGTCACGAACGATGGGTAGAGTTCTTCGAGGAACGATTCAGATGACCCGTTGTTCCAACAACAACGTCGCACAAACCGGGTTCGCCTAAGTATGTTATACGGAAACTATCTGTTCATAACTATCGAAGTCATCGCGGGCCACTAAAGTGATGAATGATCCCTACGTTGAATTTAACGCAGCCACAAGTATCATAACACGAGATTATATATGCGTATAGTAAGTATATGTATATGTTAAAAAGAGTTATATATACTATTCATTCTATCAATTCGTGTTATGTTATTGAGTGTACATTTTCTTTTTTTTTTTTAGAATGAAACATTACAAAATCAAATAACAGCTTTACACATTGATTTAAACAAACAAAAACAAATTGTCCAGTTAAAACAAGAAAAAATTGATCAAATGGAAGTGTACTTGTCAAAATTACCAACATTGGAAGATTATCAAGAAACTTTAAACAAAGTAAGCAATTCAGTTGATTTTATTTTAATGAGTATGTGAATTTATTTATAAGAAAGTGTTAAGTAGTTTTGGTAATGAAGTCTTTGTTATTATTACTATTATTATCGGATGTGAAGCACTGCTCACCAAAGATAGTGGATGAGGTTGTGCAATATATCATAAATTTTTATAACAAATTTCTTTTTAACGCTTTTTGCATTGATGCGTATAAACATGAAAAATTGAATCTTCGTTTAAAATAACTAATATTATTTGCTGAAAAGTGACTTGCTTCGTGAGGGTGAATTCTAGGAGTTATAGTGAGAAGCTGTGACCCCGTTTAGTTTAACCGTGTCCAATCAATATGAGGCCATAATTACCCACCTGAGAAGACAATCGATGATAATCACACAATATCATAGATTGGTTGAAGTTAAACTGAGTCATGTTGGTAGGGGTAGACTACCTGGTTGGGGCCCTCAAGATAATAGTCACCGATGGTTAGAGACCCTGAATGACATGGTTCGAAATCGTTTGCAATGGCGCAGGTGCATCCATCGTTTGTGTTCTCCCAAATTTTATTCTTTTTCTTCTCAAATTTATTTCGTTGGATTATACTCCTTGAATAACATCTTCAAACCCTTATCTTTCCAATTACTGCTCATACTTCTACTATCTCTACCTTTATGGGATTTCGATTAACAACTTCATTTTTCCGCTAGTGTGATTATGGCAACTTAAACTGATGTACTTGCGTAGGAAGTTCTATGTTGTTGCTGACTGAATTAATACAGTCAGATATTGACGCACTAGTGGTCTAGAGGTTAAGTGTTCACGCGTCAAGTCAATTCCCGCTTTGCAACAATCTCCACAACCTTACATTGTTAAAAGACTTGATTAAAACCAATACAACCTGTTGAAATTCTATCTTTATATTACAACCTAGCTATTCCTACTAATGCTTAGTACTCTCGGACACCAAATTCACTCACCTGAGACGTTCTCCCATAAAAATAAAATATATTCCAATAACAAGGTTAGAATGGAAGACAAAAAGGTCCAAAGTAAAAATAGACATTAGTATTTTGAGATGGTGGAGAAAACTTGTAGCTCAGGTGGATGATTGTGGTGATGTTTTGTTCTCCGAGCTGGTTGTTTTGGTTGTGGAGCTTTCATTGTTCTTCTACTGAACAACAACATCATCAGCACAAACGTCAGATAGAAGAAGTGAAGCATTCGAATTTCTCCACGTTTGACCTGTAGCTTGTTCTGCTAACCTCGATCTTGATTGGTTGCTGTTGTCTTTTGACGTGTCGTTGTTTGCAACTTTGTTTTGATTGCACCCCCTTTTGATCTGTTTCTTGATCCTATGATTTTTCTGATTGGTTGATAGATTGAGTCAATGTAGTGAAGGAGAACACAGGTGGGGCAACCGAATTGTATTTATCGAAAATTACAGAGTTACTCAGTTAAATCGGAAAACCATATCGTAAACCGTCGTTAATTTGCAAAATATCAGTTCATCATATCGAACTGGACTGTTCCTGTTGCAAAACATCAATCCATTGTCACTATTCATGCGTTTCATCATACAAAGTCCATTGTGTTCCCACTCTTCCTTTCTTGTTGATCTTCCCCCATCTTCTGCCGCCAGATATTACGTTTACACTCACATCATATACTACTTATAAGTAGCCCGCACCACACTCGTCCCCCCTCTTAATAAGCTGTCGTCACTTTCAAAACAGGGACCCTGGTCAGTTTATATCACCTTCCGTATTCCTTGACACGCTACAATATGCCGGATTACCACTTCGGTCATTGTTCTTGCCCGCTGGTCTGGTATGGGTACGGCATCTATCCAACGTGTAGCGTTTACTAGCTCCCGCTGCTGGGACACGGTGGCAGGCACACTCGATAAATTGCAACGCCAACAACTGTGCCCTCGACTCCCCATCCATACTCGGCAGCGTACGGCGCAGCAACATCGCATCATCATCATTGATGTTGTTTCCAATATAGACTTGATTTTGTTTCTTTTTGTTTGTTTAAGTTATTTCATGTTTTTTCAATTAATTCAAAATTCAATGCGTGTATTTGTTGATTTATTTTAAAAAATAATTTAGTTACAATTGGTCAGTAATCAAAATTCACTTCTGGAAAAAAATATTGAACAATATAAAATGAAATTAAATCAATGTGATACACAGTTGACTCATTCAACGATTGAAATTGAACAATTAAAACAACGTGAACAATCACTTCAGACACAATTGAATACAATTATGGAGGTAATTTTCTATAATTGATTGATTGATTGATTGATTTGTTCATCTATATAAAACATATGATTATTATTGGTATATATAGATCAGCATGTAAATATTCATACATACATACAAATTAATGAAAGGATGGCGGCAGATGAATAGATGATGAAGTATTAAAACTTCATCACTCTTTCCATTCTTGTTTAACTTTGTCGTAGACATCCTCTTAGAGTTAACATTCAACTCGTCAGATTTTTCAGGAGTTGACCTTCTACCAGGAAATTCGCCTATTGATCTAGTATATGCCGATGACATAGCTCTACTTGGTGAAGACGCTGACAAAATTCAGAGTCTTCTGATCGCCCTAAGCAACAATGCAAGCATGTTCGGGATGCGGTTCTCACCCTCGAAATGCAAAATGTTGCTTCAAGATTGGGTTGCATCGGCACCTCAACTAGTGATAGGGAGTGAAGTATTCGAGCGTGTTGATCCCTTCACTTATCTGGGGAATCTCATCAGCGCTGACGGCCTGGTGACTGACGGAATCTCGACTGGCTTTTGCCAACCTGCGTCACTTATGGCATAGGCGAGATATCCGTTCGCTGACCAAAGGACGGGTGTACTGCGCAGCAGTTCGCTCCGTTCTCCTATATGGCTGTGAAACATGGCCGTTAAGAGTAGAAGATGCTCGTAGGTTACTAGTATTTGATCATAGATGTTTAAGAAGCATTACTCGTATATCGTGGGACAACCGAGTAAGCAATGCTTTTGTTAGGAAACGAGTTCTAGGTAAGGATGGCAAATCAATAGATGAAGTGGTGAAGCTTCATCAGTTGAGATGGTTGGGACATGTGTTGCATATACCCCCAAACACCGAATGCCTCGATGAGCTATGTTTTGTGATGTACGAGGAATAGGTTGGACGAAAGCTAGGGGTGGCCAAACCAAGACATGGCACAAATTCATGATGTCATTGACAAGTGAACTGAGTCATGTTGGTAGATGTAGACTACCTGGTTGGGGTCCGCGAGACGATAGTCACCGATGGTTAGAGACCTTGAACGACATGACTCAAAATCGCTTGTAATGGTGCAGGTGCATCTACTCGTTGTGTTCTCGAAAATTCTAATCTTCTGAATTCGTCAACACCTCTACCTTGTTCTTCCTAAACTTATCTCACTGAATCGTATTTCTTGAACGATATCTTCGAATCGTAATCTTCTCCATGGTCACTAATACTTCTACTATCTCTACCACTATGGGATTTGAACTGATAGTTGCATCTCTGTGCTAATGTAGTATGGCAACCTGAACTCATGTACTTATGTACGAAGTTCTACGTTGTATTTGACTGACTAACTGATACAACATACAAATCAATGAATTTCTGAATGAACTGGGATAATACTATCCGGTTCCTCAAATTGAAGTGGGTGATTTTTTCAGGGGAATGACTACTCCCCGGTTCTTTGACCACATACAGGTCTGATCTAATCCACAACGTCGAAGGGCAATGTCAGGAGATGAGGTTCCATGGTATCCGGTGACCATCAATCGGGTTCATACGCCATCATTTATTACTCCTTTAGAATCCTGAAATCCATGTACACCATCGGTTTGGAATGAAAGTTTTTCAACTCACCCTAAATAGATCCTCCATTTACAAATTAATCATCTAAAGATCGTTTAATATAAACTCATTTCATCAGCATTATTGTAGAAATTCTTTTTCTAATTATTTTTCTTTGAGTTTCTGAACGATTCTTATAAAATGACATATAGAAAAGTGCTCATTACTGCGACTAGCTTCGTGAGTGAATTCGCTGAGTTTTAGAGAGAAACAGTGACCAGTGAAGTTCAACGGCATCCGTTGTGATGGTCACCCACTGGAAACAATGGTTACTAGTCATAGAATATCGTGGATTGATTGAGGTAGGACAATACACATTATTGGGTGCCGATTTAGTGGTCAGTAAGTTAGGTGTTTGCATGCGAGAATCCATTTACGGAGTCGTGGATACGCACTGCCACTGATAAGTTCCATACTAGGCCGAAACAGCCGTTCTATGCTTCCAGGTTTCTAATGGTAGTCTAACAATGATCAATTCATTATTTCAATGAAACTTAACACCACGAAACGGTGGTGTTATTTAAACTTCCCTCGCTGAAATAATTATTACGAGTTCACCTTAATCGGTAAACGAGAACTAGGATCGATGATCCGGTGATATGGGCTAGCCAAACCCCCCATTCAGTAGTGGAAGAAGACTTGATATGAAGTAGAACCTGTACTCAAAAAACATCCAAATAGTACACTGTTCGAGTCCAGAAGAAAATAAGGATCCCGGATCATAAAACCTTACAGACAATGCGTATTTATACAGTTAGGTTGAATAGGAAACAACATTTGAAGTATGTGACATTGATAGTTAGAGGACGATCATAATATTAACCAGTAGGAATTGACCAATAGAATTAGACAAAATAATTCTCTTAGAATATTAGATGAATATCCTAACAAGTACGGTATGGAATTTTCGATTCTGATATATATCAACAAGTTTCCCATACCACACACATTTAGTGAACGGTTGTTGAAAGTAAGCAGCTCAGAAATCGACACTTTTTGAACAGTCATTTCTTCCACAACAGATTGCCAGTCATTGCAATGTCTGGGAGTGTAATTTTTTTTGTGCGTTATAAAAGGATAGCTCATGAACATTTTATGTACGCGCCTGAATAGATGATGCGATTAATAAACATGATTGATGTGTTAAAACAAGCAAACAACAGGAGATAATTAGTTGAATTATTTTGATGTTAGGAAAAAACAAATAACCCAAATATTCAAACAGACCGCCCAATTTCTGCCAAATTATTGATTCAAATATTGATTACTTAGAAATAGTTTTATCCTAAATGGAAGTGATTTATTCCATGAACAGTGTGTGTGCGCAAACATGCACCATGTCCTACATTGCACTTAAACCTAACTGACTACTTAGTTGATTGATAGTGTTTTTCAGAAAGTACCGGTGTAAGGATATTCATCCAATATCCTAAGAGAAAATTATTGGTCGATTCCTATTGGTCAATTTTATGGTCGTCCTAGGTATCAATGTCACGTACTCCAATGTTGTTTCTTATTGGTCGTCTTAACTGGTAATGTCACAGACTTCAAATGTTGTTTCCTATTCGACCTAAATGTACAAAATACGCATTATCTGTAACGTTTTATGACCCGAACGTGGACCCGGATCCCTAGTCCAGGATCCTGATTCTCTTCTGGACTCGAACCTCGTACTTTCTGGATGTTTGTAGAATACAGGTTCTACTTCATAAAAAGTAGTCTTCTTCTTTTACTCGATGGGGGTTGGGGACACTCGGATTAGATTAGCATGTCGTTTTCCAACTAAGGTAAACTCGTAATAATTCAAGCATCTCAAATGATATGTTTACGTTCATGTGTAACAACCAGAAAGAGATATAAAAGGAAATATCTTTGTGTATGATATTCACATTTTGTTATATTGTTGTATAGCGTCTAAATGAAAATAAAACTGGGCAATTCAATACTATGAACAAATCAAAATTGACGCCAATTTTTGTTGAAGATTTAAAGTGTGAATTAGAACGTTATCGGAGTGCATTTGAAAAAACTAAAAAAGTGAGTAAAAAACCATATCAATACATTACTTATTAAATACAATTGCTTTTTTTAAAAATTCTCTCACTGACAATGATAGTGATTCCATGTAATTTTTGGTATAAAACGTGTAACGTTTTTTTTGTTACTATCAAAATATTTGAACCTTAGTTGACTCTATGGTGGTGTTTCGTTCTCTGAGCTGGATATCCAAGAAACACCACCACAATTATCCAGCTGAGCTACAAATTTTCTCCACCATCTTAGTTAACTCTGCATTTTCCAGACATTGTTCTCTATTTCATATGCATCTATGAGCTGGCCTCCATGACCGTTTTTACCACGTAGTCTGTCGGAAGAATTCCGTATGATTTTGACTATCTCAAATACGCTATAACGTCAAAGAAGATTTCACAAGGTTTTCTTATCCATGCTGTCAAATGCTTTCCACCTAATTGAGGAAGTTGTGGCCTAGTAATGGGTTTCATTCAATCGACTGTTCAAAAATGATTAGTAATGTCGGAATTGGTCGGTATGTAATCGATCCTTGCGAAAGTCTGCTTATTGATCTCGAAGTTGGGTGTCTACTTAATCTTTTATTCATTTCAATAACATCAAATTAAAATGTCTAACAATAGTTCTCACACTAAAATCTTTCTGAGGAATCTTCATGAACTATTCTTCTTTCTAGTCCTCTTATACACTTGTCCTTCCTCCTAATTCTTTCAGAAAAGAACATGGAGCATCTTTCGAGTTAGTTACCTTAGAATCTGACTTCAGTTTTCCAGCTAGTATTTTGCTTGTTCTTTCTACTCTGTATGGGAATGACAACGGCAATAGGTAACATTCGACCTTTATCTACACTTATCAAATAAACTGGTATTAGAAGTCCGGCTGTTATAGAGACTCTTTCAGAAAAATGTCGGACTATCATTAATTCTCAATCCAGGACATTGTGTCGATGGACAGAATACTTTAAGAAGTAGTTCAACTGGCCCTCAGTCACACTTCGGTTACTCACCATATCCAATCAACCTGAATGGCAGGTTGATGGAAGTCCTCCAACTCTTAATGAGATTGAAAAGGTTATAGATAACCTAAAGCGAGGGAGAGTAGCAGGTTCTGATGGGTTAACCCCTGTGACTTTTAAGGTTCGTGTTCCATTTTTAGCAGTTAGATTGACTGAGATCTTAGGTAGGATCAGGAAACTGAGCGTAATCCTATCCGACCGGTTTCAATCACTGATTGTCCCAACAAATTGTCTAGAATCTTATCTTTAATTATACTACGACACGTAACTGGAGCTGTTGAAGAGCAGACTAGAGAAACCCAGGTTGGTTTCAGTCCTGGACGTGGCTGCCTAGACCAGATATTCAGACTTCGTTACAACCTAGAACATCGGCACACGTTCAGACCGTCGCACAGTAGTAGTATTTATCAACCTTAAGATGGCATTTGACTCTGTTGATCCTGAGGTCCTGTGGCAGTGTATGTCATTGAAAGGTGTACCACAGAAGTACATTAAGCTTATACAAGCTCTCTGCTCAAACACTACTGGTCGAGTTACAGCTTAAGACGAATTGATTACCTCCAGTGCTGTTCGTCAGGGTTGTCGGCTCTCTCCATTCTTGTTTTAACTTTATCGTTGATGTATTTTTAGATACGACACTTTCATCGTCTGATTTTTCAGGAATTGAACATTTACCAGGATATTCGTTTGTCGACATAGAAGATGCCGGTGGTATATAGTTCTATTCGATGAAGTTTCATGTTAGGTACTGATCTATCATTCTTGTGGTCATTGTTCTGATTATATCCAGTCAACGTTTTAAATAAACCGCTAAATTTTTAGTTAGTTGATTATTTAATAAAAACTATTTCATTTTATATATTGAACAAATTATTTATTGACAATTGATCCTTGTTTAAATAGATCTCTATTTGCTGTAAATAAGTCTAATCTGCTTGTTATAATGCTGCTACGTATAGCTATTCAGTCCTAGCGGCGTCCAATTCAAATATCCCAATACGACCCAAAATGCTATTTCCAAATCTCCTATATATCAGAACGCAACACCGTGGGATGGAGTTGTTTATTGGGTCAAGTACAGAAGAGAGGTAGGCAGGAAGAAACGGAATCCTGGAGTCTTACAGATAGTGCGTATTTATACATTAAGGTCGAATAGGAAAGAGCATCGAAGTCTGTGACATTGACAGTTTAGGACGACCAATAGGAAAGAACATTTAAAATGACATTAACAGTCCGGAAGACCAATCAGAGACAACATTGAAGTATTTGACTTTGACAGTTAAAACGACCATAAATTTGACCAATATAAATCGACTAATAGGATTATACTTCCAAAAATAGTACTCTTAGGATATTTGGTGAATATTCTAACACTGCTAAACATTTGAAATCATAAAACTTGATATCATTATTATTGTGTTTCTTGATTATTAAAGTTCCACTAATGCAATGTACTTTTTTTTGTGTTACACGTATTCTGTCAGCTTCTTGAAGCAGAAACATGTCGTGCAGAAACAGCAGAAACTCATCAAAAACTGGAACAACGTAAAGCTGATGAGTTGCGTACGCGGTTAGAAGCAGAAATGACTGGTATTCAAGCATCGCTATCAGCTAGACGAGATGAAATTCGTGAATTAAAAAAGCATATCTCTGAAGTGAGTGGGGTTTTTCCTATTTGGAGTTGCGTTATTTTTTGAAAACGAAATTCCTAGAGTTTACAATGACAATTGTTATGTTCAACTCAGTCAGTCAGTCAAATGCAACGTAGAACTTCGTACGTAAGTACATCAGTTCATATTGCCATATCATATCAGCACAGAGATATAATTGTCAATTCAAATCCAATAGTAGAAGAGGTAGTAGAGGTATTAGAAGTAATCGGAAAGGTGAGGATTAGAAGATATTATTCAAGAAGTATGATTCAGTGAGATAAGTTTAGAGAGTCGAAACTAGGGATGTTGAAGAATCCAGAAGATTAGGATTTGAGAGAACACAAAGAATAAATGCACTGGCGCCATTGCGAACGATTTTGAGCCATGTCATTCAAGGTCTCACTAGCCATCGATTATTATCATCTCGCGGACCCCAACCAGGTAGTCGACAATTACCGATATGGCCAAGTCCATTCATCAATGACTTCATGGATTTCTGCCATGTTTTGGTCTGGCCACCCCTAGCTTCCTTCCAGCCTATTCCTACACTGCAAAACAAAGCTCTTCGAGGCAGTCGGTGGTTGGGCATACGCAGCACATGTCCCAACCATCTCAACTGATGGAGTTTCATTACTTCATCCATTGATCTGCCATTCTTACCTAGCACCCGATTCCTAATAACAGCGTTGCTCACTTGGGTGTCCCAGGATATACGAGCAATGCTTCGAAGCCACGTATGATCGAAAACCAGTAACCTACGTACATCTTCTACTCTCATTGGCCATGTTTCACAGCCATAAAATAAGATGGAGCGGACTACTGCGCAGTACACTCGTCCTTTAGTCATCAAACGGATATCTCGCCTACGCCATAAGTGACGCAGGTTGGCAAAAGCCAATCGAGCCTTCTGTATCCGTGCTGAGATTTCGTCAGCCAGTTATGTTCAAATATCAATAGTTTTATCTTATTTTCTCCTTCATGAGTTATGGAACTCTTTCTGTAGTGTTATCTAGTTCCTTGGTTCAAAACAATCTTCGCCAAGTAAACATTTTGTATCAGAAAATATTGGCATCTGTATATAATTTTGTTTTACTGTATTACTTAATGAATTTGAATTAATTTCATTTTTAAGAAATCTTTTAAATTTGAATTATTCATTTGAATTATTTCAAATTGTCAAAGATATTTTTTTACATTGAAATCATGAATCAGTAGCCATTATTAGTCTAGAAGTTAAGCGTTCCCTCTTTAAATGGCCTTACCTCTGGAGACAGAAATACATGAAGTAAGTTAAGGTGTGATATATTTAGGGTTGACCTTTTCTAACCACTTTCTTCCGTTGTGAGAAGGCAGCATCGCTCCAGATGCTGGTTGTCCGAGGTAAAAGCCTTACTGCTGTCACACTCCTCTGCAGTCAGCAGTATGACTTCACCCTCAGACGTTGAGTAGCTGCTTTTAGTCTCATCGTTCTTCAATAGACCTGCCTGGCATGGTAGAACCTACAGGAACATATGTTCCAGCCAATATAGCTCGGTTGGGTCATCACAATAGGCAAGTATGACCACTACGTCAAGGTAGCAGCTACGGTCGGGTAAGTGTTCGTGCACAAGACAAGATATCGTGAATTTGATTCCCGCGATCAATCTAAGGATTTTGCACAACCTCATCCATTATCTTCTATAGTTACTGCCTCACATCCGGCAGGTTTGAACCTTGCTGGTCACTGCTTCTCATTAGAACTCTGAGAATTTCCTCACGAAGCAAGTCATTAAACAGCATCTAGGCTTGGGGATTAAGCGTTCGCGGGCGCGAGACCAAATATCTTGGGTTCGATCACCGCCAGTTTCGAAAGGTCGTGATGAGTCCCATATTAGGACGAAGCGGCCGTCTACATAATGCCTCCAGGTTTCGTGATGGCGATCTAAAACAACGATCGATCCATAATTTCAATGTAAAATAACAAGTCTCCATTAATTTCTATAAAGATATTTTTATTCGGTGAAGGTTAAATGTATATCCTTTTTTCTTCTTTTCCACCTAAATTTATTTAGACAACATTAGAAAATCAAGAAGCTTATCATGCATTAATAAATATTTTTTCTAAACCATGAATCGATCAATGTTAGACCACTATTAGAAACCTGGAAGCACTGAAAGACGGCCGTTTCGTCCAGGTATGGGACTTATCAGCAGTGCGCGTCCACGACTCCTGCACCCCGCAGGATTAGAACCCAGCACCTTTGGTATTGTAGGCGAACGCCTAACCATCGGACTGTTGATGAGTCCCATACCAGGACGAAACGGCCGTCTTTCAGTGCTTCCATGTTTCTAATGGTGGTCTAACATTGATCGATACATGGTTTCAAAAATGTGTAACTTAACAATCTTCACAACCCCGTAATGCAAATATTTTTTCGTTATGGAAATCCACAAAAATGGTCAATTCAGTCAACGTTGGCCAGTTGATTTGCCATCCTTACGTAGTACCTTTTTCCTAACCACAGCGTTGCTTACTAGATGGTCCCAGGATAAACGAGCAATGCATCAAAGACACCGTTGATCGAAAATCAGTAACCTACGAATATCCTCTATTCTTAGTGACCATTTTTCACATCCTTATAGTAGAATGGAGTGAACTGCTGCGTGGTAGACTCGTCCTTTGGTTAGCAAACGCCATACCTCGCCCACGCTATAAGTGATGCAAGTTGGCAAAAGCCAATTGAGCCTTCTGTATCCATGCTGAGATTTCGTTAGTCAACAGGCCATCAGCGCTGACAAGACTACCTAGATAAAAGGAGCGGTCGACATGCTCAGCTACTTCACTTACTATCGCTAGTTCACTGGCCGATGCTACCCAATCCTAAAACAACGTTTTGCAGTTGGACGGAGAGAATCGCGTCCTGTGCATGCTCGCATTGATGCTTAGGATAGTCAGAAGACTCTTCATTTTGTCAACGTCTTCACCAAGTAGAACTATGTCATTGGCATATTCTAACTCAACAAAGGAGCCTCCTGGTAGAAGGTCAACTCGTGAAAAGTCAGACGATGAAGGTGTCATCTCTAAAAGCATGTCACTGGTAAAGTTAAATCAGAATGGAGGGAGTAGGCAACCCTGACGAACAGCACTTGAAATAATGAATTGCAATGACAGTTTTTCGCCGTAAGTAGTGTTCGAGTAGGGAGCTTGTATAAGATTAATTTACTTCTTGGGTATACCTTTCAGTGACAGACACTACCATAGAACCACAGAGTCAAATGCCGCTTTAAAGTCTAGGAACACGACTATTGTTGGACGCCTAAATGTGTCTCTGTGTTCCAAGACCTATCATAATGTGAATATGTTGTCTATACAGCCACGTCCAGGTCTGAAACCAACCTGATTTTCTCGAGTCTACTCTTCACGAGCTCTGGTTAAACGTCTAAGTACTATCGAGGCTTGTATAGGTTTAATATACTTCTTCGTTAGTACATCTTTCAATGACATACACTATCAATAAATTCGATAAGACTTTGATCTTTACCCTTCTGATGCTTTTTTCCCCTCCATAATTTAGATAACATTAGAAAAACAAGAATTATTATCCACACATTTTGAAGCTTATCATACATTACGAAATCTCATTTCTTTATGGAAATCTATTAATGGTGGTCAATTATGTCAACGTATTTACGAATTCATCCGTGAGAATGTTAATGAACTTGTTTGTTTAGTGCAGCACCTAAATCATTTAGCTAATGGACAGAAATTAAATTTAAATGAATTACTAGTTCAACCAAAACCATTAGCAAATAGTTTAAATGATATACTATTGTTAAATCATGATGACATTGAAATCAAAGATGATGATGATGACGGCGAGGTTGTTGTTGATGGTGGTACATTGGGAAATGATACCCGAACACAATCCACATGTTGTCCTGATAATAATAAGAAGGGTAAGTTAATTGTTTTTAAAACTATTTATTGATTTGTATTCATCAAATTTAGTCAAGTAAATGATCGTTCACTGATTGAACGGATGGTCTTACTTACTTACTTAGTTACGCCTGTTACATCGCCCGCCAATGGAGCACATAGGCCGCTGACCAGTATTGTCACGGGCTTCTTTTTCCAGTTCTATCCAATTTTTGTTCATTCTTCTCATGTCTATCTCCGTTTCTTGGCATAATGTGTTTCTTGGCCTTCCTCTTTTCCTTTTACCTTGAGGGTTTCATGTGAGGGCTTGTCTTTTGATGCAGTTGGGTGCTTTCTGCAATGTGTGTCCTATCCAATTCCAGTGTTTCTCGCTTGATTTATCCTTCACTAGAATCTAGTTTGTTCTATTCCACAGTAGGTTGTTGTTGATGGTGTCTGGTCAGCGGATCCAAAGTATTTTGCGTAGACAACTGTTAATAAATACTTGTATCTTCTGGATGATGGCTTTGGTAGTTCTCAAAGTTTCCGATCCATACAGTAAAACTTTCTTGACATTTGAGTTGAAAGTTGTGATTTTGGTGTTGGTTGATAGTTGGAGTTTGGAGTTCTAGATGTTCTTCAACTGTAGAAATGCAGCCCTTGCTTTGCCAGTCCGCACCGTCACATCTGCATCGGATCCACCTTAATTGTCGATAATGCTGCCTAGATAGGTAAAGGTGTTTACGTCCCCCATGGCATCCCCATCAATAGTGTGATTTGGTTGGCTCATGTTGTGTTGTGTGTTTCGAGACCGATCAAATATTGATGTTGACAATAACTAACCTAATCTAGACACTGTTGAATTACACTTTCCAGTAATGAAATAAGAATGTTTAATGTTTGTCTCTTTCTAAGACCGAAATATTTACTGCTAGGTTTTGAGCATCATAATCATTCAAATAGATCGTAAGGCAGTAAAATCTTCGCCTGGAGCCCTTCTAGGGTTACCGACGGTCCTAAGCCCGAACAAAGCAGGAGGGTTGGGCACGGGGTTAGCAACCCTATGCTGTAGAAATCTAACACGCTACGAAAACGCTAAACAGGGAAAATAATTCGCTGGTCAGTGGCCTATGCTCGATTAGGGGTAATAGGCATACGGATGTAAAGCGATTAAGTGAATTAACCAGTCATGATGCGTTAGTGTCTGATGACATCTCGACACGACTACCGAAAAAATACTGGTCAAGGTTTATCAACTTGCATCGCTTGTAGCGCAGACCACATATCAACCTTTCAACAGTCAGTCAGTCAGTTGCAACGTAGAACTTCGTACGTATGTACATAAGTTCATGTTGCCATACCACATTAGCACAGAGATGCAAATGTCAAATCAAATTCGATAGTGATAAAGATAGTAGAGGTATTAATGGTAATGAAGAAGACTAGGGTTTGAAGATATTATTCAAGAAGTATAATTCAGTGAGATAAGGTTAAAAAGACAAAGGTAGAGGTGTTGACGATTCCAGAAGATTAGGAATCGTCAGCCTTTGCGCGTCGGTGGTTCAATGATAGAATGCTTGCCTGCCACCCGGGCGGTCCGGGTTCGGTTCCCGGCCGACGCAAGCCGCTTTGAAGCTGCTAACTAGACGTGGTGGTCGGGCTTGTCTATCGTGATGACCCAACCGAGCTATATTGGCTGGAACTTATGTTCCTGAAGGTTTTACCATGCCAGGCAGGTCGATTGGAGAACGATGAAACTAAAAGCAGCTACCCAAGATCTGAGGGCGAAGTCGTACTGCTGACTGCAGAGGGTTGTGACAGCAGTAAGGCGTTTCCCTCGGACAAGCAGCATCTGCAGCGATGCTGCCTTCTCATAAGGAAGAAAGTGGTTAGAAAAGGTCGACCCTAAATATGTCACACCTCACCCTACCTCACGGATTTCCGTCTCCGTCAGTAAGGGTTCGCACTAAGGGCTTTCAAGAGCGGAGCTAACACTCAAAAAACTTCTCATAAAAAGGCCGTGCATGACCGGCGTCAAGCAGTTGTCCCTTGGGCTCTGTGGTCACGCTCGCAGGTCGTTCAGACCAACGCTAATCTTCCTTCGTTTTCAGGTTTCTCAAGAAACGACCTTCCACAGTGTGGGCAGCCGGGAAGTTACAACCGCCTTCATACCCGTAACAGCACACGAGATCGAATTGATCAAAATCAAACCCTTCCTTCACCCCCTAATACCTCTCTTATCTCCACGAATAACTCTTTTCAACCTTTCAACTGAAGTGTATTATATTATACGTAGCAATGCACTACTCTATCCTACTTTATGGCTGTAAAATATGATCCATGAAACTAGAATACATAGACAAACTTCTAGTTTTCGATCATGAATGTGTTTTCAGGTCATTGCTATCATTTCGTGGACAACTTAGCGAGCAATGTTTACATTGTATCTATGTTATTAGACACAAATGGAAAGTTGGTTGATGTGAGATAGTGAGTTGTTATAGACTTGAGCTGGTTAACATATGTGTTATGTATATTCCCATCCATCGCTTACTTCGAAGCGTGATGTTTGTTGAACAAAGTTAACAGTAGCCAAGTTAAAATTCACTATCTTCGAATGTTGTCCTGAGTCTTTTTGACAGGTGTAGATTACCTAGTTGGGTTCCATATGATAACTACAATCATTAGTTTTAGACATTTGGGGGGCACAGCTCAATTATTAGTCATCATGTCATCACATATGTATATTCACTGTTTGTCTTCTCTTAGATTATGTTTAATTTAAAAAAGTCTGGCTATTATCTCATTTAACTAAATTGCCAAAAACTGAACCATTATCCTTGAAGATCGCTGGAGTCTTTTGTAATTCATTACGATTGTCATTTGTGATACTAGTTTTCTGAGCTTAATGATCGGTGTTTAGTGTTCTGATTTTCATTCATTTAGAAACATTAAAATAAGTTCTGTCTGTGAATGCATAAACCTCACCATATAAAGATTTCCAGTCATACAAGGTAATGGACATTTTAACTGTCCATATTTTTTATCTCATCTATTCCCGTTATGAAGGCTGTAGGATGTGCTCTCCAATGTACTTTGAACCCACTCTGAGGATCAGATTAGAGAAACACGGTATAACATTATAAATTCATTGATTATTGATACTCGTTTGCACTATAATTTAGTACTATTTTCGGATTATGCTCCTAATCGACGTAATAGTTGCATTCTATTATTCATGATTGTTTATGACCGGAAATTATTGATAAGTGTTAACAATTTATATCAGTGTTCTGTCAAAAATATAATCTTAAATCCTTCACATGACTCTAGAAGGCGACAAAAAAACATGTATTTTTGTGTCCAGCGATCTGATTCTAGTTTGTACGAACGATTAAATATGCTGTTAAAATAGAACACGTAAGAGAAAAGTAAAGCGAAGTGGAGAAAGCAACTGAGCCAACTCGATCTAATGAGGCATGACGAAGTATTGATCGTCATAAATAAGCTAGACATGTAATAAACGAAGTGGGCAATGCACACACATAGTCAAGTACAAAACAACCAAGGTTATAAGGCGAATAATAGACAAGGTCGAAAGACTTGTATCCTCCGGAATTCCGTGCCAACAGTTCTATTTCTCTCAGATTCCGTAGATACAACTCTTCTTTTTGTAATATTGTTGCCTAAAAAGAAGACTCGATCCCCGAGACAGGAACTATTGGACTTGAATCTGTCTTTTTGAGCTCATGAACAAAATACATACTAACTTTCAGTCAGTCAGTCATTCAGTCACATGCAACGTAGAACTTCGTACGTAATTACATCAGTTCATGTTGCCATGCCACATTAGCACAGCGATATAATAGTCAATTCAAATCCAATAGTAGAAGAGGTAGTAAAGGTATTAGGAGTATGATTCAGTGAGAAAAGTTTAGAAAGTCAAAACTAGAGGGGTTGAAGAATCCAGAAGGTTAGGATTTGAGAGAACACAAAGAATAAATGCACCGGCGCCATTGCAAATGGTTTTGAGTCATATCACTCAAGGTCTCTAACCATCGATTATTATCATCTCACAGCCCCCAACCAGGTTGTCGACAACTACCGACACGACTCAGTCCACTTGTCAATGACTTCATGGATTTGTGCCATATTTTGGTCTGGCCGCCCCTAACTTTCTTCCATACTAACTTTAATCTTCGCATGAACAATAACTTCAATTCGTCACTCTCATATAACCAGCTCTATATTTTTCCGTTATAAACTGTTTAGTCTCTGCTTTATGGTTTAATATATATTTGTATTCATGGAAATGGGCACAAAAAACTCAATTATTCTGTCAACTTTTGGTTGTATTTGTATAAATGGTATTTCACTGCTAAGTTTCTACTTGTCGTTGTCTTTTTTCGGGAAGATTCCTTATTTGAAGAAATGAATTATCTTTAAATTATACTTTCTGTTACATTGAGTCACTGCTCGCACACATGCACACACAAAACTCTGTTGGCTAACACTCCATTATTTTTTCAGCTACAGTTATGGAGATCAGTGTTTTTACCTGTAGCAATCATCAATCAATCATTTTTTGATCTTCATTAGAAACGTAGAAGCACTGGACGGCCATTTCTTCCTTGTATGGAACTCATCAGTGGCAGTGCGCATCCGTGACTCATGCACCTCACACAATTCGAACCCAGGACATTCGGTCTTCAGTGCGAACGCTTAACCCCTGTACCACTGGGCCGGCATCCAACGGTGGTAATGCCTCACTCTGATCAATCTAGTACTGGGTTCAATTCATTATGGTCATGGTCGTAAGTGCGTATTGCTGATGGGCAGTCTCATACCAGGACGAAACAGCGGTCCAGTAATCCAACTTCTCTGGATGGCTATATTGATATCGATGTTATATTATCAAATGATTGAAATGTAAGTGTAAAAAAAGTAGTCAAATTTTTTTTCTTGTGCATATATTTTTACAGCTGACGATACATGGGAAATTTCATTCAATAATGTGGTAAAAACTGCATCTCATTTATCTAACACTATCAATAAAGAACAACTGCAAGATTCATTGTATCAGTTGATTAAAACACGAAGCCTGCTATTAAAACTACGTCAAGAACTTGCTAATAAATATGCTGATCATTTAGGTGGAAGAATAGATTGTATTGTTCAATAATCAACATTAATAACAACAACATCAATATACCACTCTATGCTTGTACATTTCTCGATCAGATTTTCTTTGAATTTATGCCCTAAAAATCAATACGCAGATTTATATTTTTCTATGCTGCATCATTCCCAACTTACTGTGAATAATCTCAGACATGAATTCCTGTGACTTACTTACTTATTCAAAATGAAGCATGGGCCACCAACCATTTTTGCTTAGCGTTTTTTTTGAAGTGAGTTGGCTTTCTAGGGGGATGAGGTTGTTAACCCCTGTTGCCTTTGTCTGCGTTTGTGACCGACTGTAACCCTAGCGAGGCTTCAGGTGGAGTTTAATGCAATCTTTAACATTTGAACGAAGTTTTACGTTACAAAACGTTATAGTTGAAATAATCTCACCTAGTTACATGATAATTAGCCTTAAAATGTCTTTATGTAGAAAGAGTTTCAACTTTAATAGAATGACATCACATTTGTACATTTCTATGAATTTGTATTACAATCCATTCACATACACACACATATATATATTTGTATTGAAACTTATTGTTTTCTTTTTAAACGTAGGTTTATTCTTCTTGATTCCTTCAGTTGTAAATCTCGTTTATCCTTTTATTCTGTACTATTTCTATTTTTAGATGTAACCGGTGTTTTTCTTTTTTCTACTGAATCTCTGTGATTTTCTTGAACTGCATTGACGCCTTCCATATTTATCTGTCCTCGCTTTCAATTGTATAACTTGAACTAAACAGAATTGTGCAGCTTTTTGATTGTGTTACAAGAAACAAACTCATTCTAGTAACAATGTTCAGTATTGCTTTTTTCACCGAACTGTAATCTATCCAGACAGAATGTTCATAAAAGTATTTGTTGGAATTGGTGTATTTATTTGAGTTCGTCAAAATATTTGTTAGTGAAATAACTTACCGTTAATATTTGTTTAGAACAGTTATCATCTATCCAACTTCTCTATTTTGAACTTACACTGGGCAATAACATGATTGTCTGGATTAACCATCATTGTTACTACGACTGTTAGAAGACCCCTGTTACTTTACGAAAATTTAGTTCAACAGATATCTGAATGTGGCCTCGTTTAGAATGAAACTCAAAAAAAATTCAGGAGCACCATTAACTCAATCGACTTTTGGCATCAGTGTTTTCACTTATTAGTACTTACTTTCAAACCGCTTCTTGATACTCTTTGAGTGTTTAGGGACGAGAATCGTAATTATACAAACCACCATCACCTTACCTAAGTAAACTGAAGTCAATCAGAATAACTATAACGAGAACTGATCTGTTTATCGAGGCAACGTAATAACTTCAACTTCGAAACCAAAAGTAACTACCAGATAATGAGAGACTGGAATTATTTGGGAAGAGAGATGGCGAACTGGAAATTCACAAGCTGATCTTTGGCTATGTCGAGTGTCACTCATATTTCCGTTGCTTAGGCAGTTAGATTTGTTATTTTGCACTTGAAGACTGTAAGTAAATAATCCTTATATTTCTCATTTTCCAAGTATAACTACTGTACGAAGAACGTACGGAGGCGACCTACTGACTGGAAGCGAATGAAAAAGGGATATGTCGATGAGTTTCATATCTTTTGAAGGCTGAGAAACAATGTAAGTAGTCAAATTAATACATTATGACACACATAACACTTTTAAAAAACCAAATGAGCTTGCAGAACTTCATAGTCTAGTCAGGCAGGATTAAATGTGTACATGTATGGACAAACACTGCCTAAGTATTGCTAGGGTTACCAGAGGTCCCAAGCCCGAATAAAGTAGGAGAGTTGAGCATGGGGTCAGTGATCTCATCACATAGAAATCTAACATGCTTAAAGTCAGAAATGAGGTGACTTATTCGATTTTTTCCTTATTATGCTATTTCACTCCAAATACGAAGAGGAAAATGCCGCACACTCACGTGAATACCCATATGCTATTCAAAGAAGCACAAAAAGTATTTATAGGGTAGGGATCTCATGGACATTGGATCATCAAGGCATCCTTCATGTTTAAAAAGGAGTGGATAAAATTAATGCCATTAGGTGTAATGTGCTCACTGACGATAACATCAAAGACGATAAAAGTAAATCCTGGAAGAGGCTGCAGTCAATCATCAAGAAATGCCCAGCAAATGAGTTGGTTGTTCTGATGGGAGACCTAAGTGACAAGGTCAGGATGGACATGATTTACAAATCTTTATGCTTTCGACAAAATGGTTTTAGGTGGCATCATACCTTCCCACCCACGTGTACTAACAGCGACATAGGTTTCACTGGATCGCTCTACACATGACCACAATGATTAGATCTGCATCAATAAAAGTTTAAGAAGGACCATGGAGGGTGGAAGGACAAACGGAGGCGCTGACACAGCTTCATTTAGTGATGGACAAAATGAAACCCAAAATACTGAAGCACTGGACAACTGGTCGAACAGCTTCACAAAAGTTTAACACTGTCTTTCATCAGAATACAGGCAAACTCACAGAATTCATGATGAACATCAGTAATTCCTTCCAAGCCTTTCATATTCTACTTAGTTCAGAAGAGAGTAAAACGAGCAGAAAGGGTCCTGCCAATGATTAGCTTCATCATCTCATGAGGTTTAGGGCCACAATAAGTACCATCACGAGGAGTGGATCTTAGTGTTAAATCTGGATAAGATTCAAGAAAGGAAGAACAGGGAAGTGGAAATCAGCATCAGCTGAACAAGATTAGAGAAAGCCAAAACACTAGCTAAATACACAGATGAAAACAAGCTGGTGAAGAGGAGTATCAAAGCCGACAAAAATATATATGTAGAAGATCTAGCGATGACGGCGCAAAAGGCTGAAATAAACGGGAGCATGAGACAATTATACAATAAAACAAAGGAGCTCAAAGGAAACTACCGTAAACCAGAACAGTCAGTGAAAAGTGAGGAAGGCACAGTAATCAGCAACACTGAAGAACAGCGAAACAGGTGGGTAGAGCACGTTGAGGAACTCTTGAATCAACCAGCCGCAATTAACCCACTCATAATCGAAGCCGCATTCATGGACCTCTGAATCAATGTTGACCCATCAACAGTGGCGGGGATCAACATAGCAATCAGACAAAACAAGGGTGGTAGGGTAGCGGGAGCAGACAGCATTCCAGCAGAGGCAATGAAATCAGACGTAGGAGTAACTGCATAGATACTCTACATTCGATTAAGCAATATTTTGGAGGAAGAACAGAACCAACAGTGTGGAAATTAGCGCATCTCATCAAGAAACCAAAGAAAGGAGATCTCAGTAAGTATGAGAACTACGGTGACATCACTCTACTCACAGTGCACGTACAATTCTTTAAGTGTTGTTGAATGGAATGAAGGATTCACTAGACACACAACTTAGAAATCAACATGCTGGATTCCGTAAGAATCCATCGTCCATCGACCAAATCGTGATACTACGGACCATTGTGTAGCAATCAATCGAATGAAATTCACCACTCTACATCAGCTTCATTGACTACGAGAAAGCCTTTGAGAACATGGACAGGCTAACACTATGGAGGCTTCTTCGAAAGTACAGCGTGGCTGTGAAGACAGTCAACTCTAAATATGGATTTAACGGATAGATCATGCAAAGAGGACCGCTCACCAAATCATTACAAGTGAAGAAGGATGTTAGACAGTATTGCTAACTCTCAATCGCCCTCTTTCTCATGATGGTTGACAGGAGTATAAATACTTCAATATCACAGGGGAAGTAAGACATACAGTAGATAGTTTGAATGTAGAAACACGGTTCAGACCTCGTAGATCACCTAAACTTTCTATCCCACACACGGATAAAAATGCACATGAGGAAGACTCGTGTATTTATAGCCTCTGGAACAGTAGATCTCAACATACACAAAAAGGAAAAGTCAAGATTCTCCTATACAACACAACATGCGCCAACCAAATCACACTTGACAGGGAAGCTTTAGAAGAGACGGAAACCTTTATATACCTGAGTAGCATCATTGATAAACAAGGCGGATTGTGTGAAGAAATGAAGATGGGGCTTAGAAAAGCAAGGACAGCATTTCTAGAAGCGAAGGACGTCTGAAAATCAAAACAACTGTCAAACAACACCAAAGCCACAATTTTCAATACGAGCGCCAAAACCGTCTTATTGTCCGGAACAGAAACTTTCGGAAATACGAAAACCATCATTCACAAGTAACAGGTATTTCTCAGCAACTGTCTTTGTAAGATTATGAGAACCCGTTGGTCGAGAATAATCAGCAGCAACCTTCTGTTGGAAGGAACAAACCATATTCCAACTGAGAAAGAAATTATAAGGCCCTAGAAGTGGAAAGGAGAGGTACTTAGGAAATTACCTGAGTAGGTTACGAGGTGAGCCTTAAGCGGGAATTCTCGAGGGTAAACAGAAGGAACCGAAACATTACTATCACTTTCTTCAGGATAATTTTTATCTAATTAATTATTATTTCAATTTCCTCTTTACTCCCTACACTTCACTCTCTTTATATTTTCTGCACTACCAATTTTTTCATTAACTTATTTATTAATTTCTATTTCAAATGATTCATCTTCTTCATAAGATTATATGTTCCTCATTATTCTCCCCGAATTGCAACTGAAAAACCTATTTTCTGGTAATGTGACGGTTGTTAAATACAGGAAACCCTACTATCCTAAGACAAACGAAAATCCGGAAATAACAGCCAAATTGACTAGAATAAGTTCAGTCGGGTCGCTAGACAGCTACAAATCCCACAATAAGATTGCGAGAAGAAATTAATCAGTTTGTGCTATCTGGTAACGAAAAAGTTGGATATTGTACATTGTGCACTAACATTTCGTAGGTCACTCCTAGAGGGGAATTCATTTCTTTTCCTGATAAAGTATACGTGGCCTAGGGTGCTCTATTTCTGTATGTAACTAAATCGGCTCAGCAAAAGATGGCCCCTTCAAATGCTCTGTGCATGATACAGTCAGAAGTATCACTCATGCTTACTGCCTTGCGATGTAGCCACAGGAATTCTTTTAGGATGTACCAAGTATGTATTAATACTTCACTTGCAGCTTTTAGGATGAGAGTAAAAGACCTCTGATATCGAATTTCAACCAATTAAGATCTATCCTAAACGTGGCTAAAAGTAAGTCTTTCGTTTGCGGTATTTATATCACTTCAGTACAAATAAAAATTTCGGATTTTTTTCTCACTGGTGTTTTGATTATGCTGTATGTTGGCAGTCGTTAGTGCTAGGTTATTAAATAACTATTTTCTTGTCAAATATGAAAGTTTTTGGGAAGCTTTTCTGTGATTAGTATGCTTCAGAAGTATTTATATTTCTTTTTTGGCTTCACTCTTAATCAGTAAGTTTAATTAGACTTGTAATTACATGAGATGACAAACTAGTATGCACATGTAATCTCTGCTTTTCGATACATTCTTTCTATTGAGCTAGTGGCAATACTCCTCTCCTTGCAAATATTGATTTCGATAGGCTAATATCTTTTCCAGATCGCAGTTACTTCATGAAAGTCTCAACCGAACTTTATCAAAATAAATAAACGCATGTGCCGGGAATAGGGCTATATTGCTGATACGATTTGTGATGGCAATATACCCTTTAGACTAGTAATATTTCTAGTGACGTTATCTCCGATCTCGAAATCAACTTGCTCACTTTCAAGTTCCTTCCTAATTACCTATACTTTTAGTTTCCTCTATGAACTATTGTCTCCACCTGCCTACTACTATCATCAATGACCAGAGTTCAGTAAACCCTGCTCCGTAACCATTAAACCCATCATTCTTTGCACATTTTGGGACCGATTTTTCGAATGCCCAATCGGTCAACTGACCTCACTACTCAAATGGCGCTTAGCAAAAGTGAGCTCTAATAAGTCAGGTTGTGAAAGCAGACAAATATATATGGTATATATGAGAAGTTATTTCATAAAAATCATTTCTACGATCTTTGTAGAACCGTACAAAAATGCTGCGTTTGCAAGCGTCCTACTTAGCAGACCAGAAATACAGTTATTACAGTAGTGCAGTTGTGTGCTAAAACTAAGATAAACCTTGAGTTTTTGCTGTCACCTAATCGGCACTCTTCGCAGAAAATTCAAATTAAAGTTTATCAGAAAAAGATGAAAGTTTATGGTGTGTTGCAAAGCGTCTCGAAAATGTAAAATAATCTAAGTCCTAGAAAAATTTCTGTTAACTAAATGGTTCGTAAGTACTGTTTCTTTATTCTAGTCATTTGAGTACGCCTTATTTCCATTTTCATGATTTCATTTAGGTGTTAACGAACTGGAACCATTAGTTTATCTTGCACCATTTCTTGAAGTTATCCGTTCAGAAGATACAACAGGTCCAGTTACAGGTCTTGCATTAACTGCTGTGGATAAGTTTCTATCTTATGGACTTTTGGAATTACCTCCTACAAAAGCAGAGGAATCATCTGGAAATAAAACTACTGGGTCATTGAATTCTATTGGATTAGCAGTTGAAGCAATTGCCGATGCAAGTACTCAAGCCCGCTTTGTAGGAACTGACCCACGTTCAGCAGAGGTAGAAAATTTTAATTATAACTATTTTATTTCCTTTTATATTAATGTTGTTTGCTTTAAAGTTCTGGATTCATCTCAAAATTTTAATTTTTACTTACTTTTTTTACACTTGTTACCCCTAATGGATCATAGTCCGCCGACCAGTATTCTCCAACCTGCTCTATCTTGGGCTTTCCTTTCCAGTTCAGTCCAATTTATTTGTTATGAGGACTGACTTCTGACCTCATCCGTTTTATGAACTTCAATACTTGGGTTCATATATTCTGTTTATTTATTCTAATATATCTTAATGAATCGAGACATGATTCTTAGTTTTTATAATAGTTATTCTCTATTAGCTTCTTAAAGTAAGGTGTCTTAGTGACTCTGTCTACTAACCTAAATGTTTACCAAGCTTTAATAGATACTGCTGACTTTTAAGGTCGAACCACCCGACTATAGCTACTACCTGGACGTGGTAGTTGAGCGTGCCTATCGTAATAACCTGACCGAGCTTTATTGGCTGGAACTCCTGTCCTTTTAGTTCATACCATATCAGGCAGGTTGGTTGAAAAGCAGTAAGACTAAAAGCAACAACTTAGGGTCTGAGAACGAAGTCGTATTGCTGACTGTAGAGAGGCGTGACAACAGTAGTGTTCCTCTCGGACAACCAGCATCTGCAGTGATGCTGCCTTCTCACAAAGAAGGGAGAGGTTAGGAAATATTGACCCTAAACATTTCACACCTCACCTTACCCCGCAGCCTTCTGTTTCGGATGGTAAGGCTTTCTAAAGAGCAGGACTGACGTTAAACCATTCCCATAAAATGACTGTGCGTGACTGTTCTAAAGCAGCTGTTCCTTGGATTCTATGGTCACCCTCATAGGTCGCTAAAACCAACACTAATCCAATTTCCTTATCAGGTCCGTCAAGAAATATCTTTCCATGGTGTAGGTAGCTGAGAAGTAACATCCACCGTCATTCTCCTAACAGCACTCAGATCAAAGTCTAGTATTCTGAATTCCTCATGACATTTCCTTCGCTTTTAAACTTAATTTACTGGATTACGCTTCTCAAATGATTTCTTCAATCCCTAATCTTTTTCACTACCACTAATACTGCTACAACCTCGACCAGTATGGGATTTAAACTAATAATTCGATGTCTGTGTGCTAACGTGGTATAGCAGCCTGAACTGTTGTATGTACGCACCAAGTTATACGTTTTATCTGACTAACTGACTAAATGTCGAATCCAAAAGGGTTAACATGATTATGTTCGGTATACATTTTGTATAGCTTAGGCAAAAAAATAATTCCTTTAGAATTAATCGACAATATCTGCAACTTGATAAAGATTGGCTCAGCTGATTATAAACTTACACTATTTCAAACATGTGACTGTAAATAGTTCATAGTAAGTAAAGTTCAAATGGCGTTTTTAGAGTAATACACGAGAAAAAGCCTTGCCACCTTTTGTGTATTACTTGCACAAAGTGGTAAATATAAACTTACATTTATCTGTTTTTTAACATCTTATACAGTGATACATTTAGTGGTGTGAGCACTCGTCATCTAACCATTGTGTTGCTGGTTCCAAACCCTATCCACTTACTTCGGTTCGAAGAGACAAATAGTATCACTGACTTTCCTAATAAAGTTTGCATTAGAACTATTTAGGTCTCAGAGAAAATTAAATCATACCATTAAAACTCTTAAATACATTAAATAATCTTCTTCCTTTCATTTACTTTCTAGGTTGTATTAATGAAAGTTTTACATCTATTACGAACATTATTACTTGTTCCTGCTGGAGCTCTCGTCTCAGATCGAGCTATTCGTGAAATTCTACAAAGTTGTTTCCGTATATGTTTTGAACCGAAATTAAGTGAATTATTGAGAAGAACAGCTGAATTATGTTTGGCTTCCATGATTCAGCTATTTTTCAGTCGTCTACCAACATTAGTTGGATTTAAAACAGATCGAAGTGTACAACAATCAGTAAGATGTTTTTTTAAATGCAATCGAAATTACTGTATACACCTTATTGCTTGTTATTTGAAATTACCTACATTTCATGTGGTGTGATGAGTGCCTTAGCTTTTACGTTGATTCTATATGATATTGGCATGTATTAGAAATCCTGTCAAGTCATGTGAACAACATTTATTCGACCATACACTATTAACTCGACTAATAAATGTGGTCAGTGTAAAGACTTTTCTTTTGTTCTTGTCAACATAGTGTATTCTGAACATCGAGTAAACCTGGCTGTTGGATATTTGGACTATACACTTTAGTTCTTGTGTAGGAAACTCTAATGTCGCTATAGTACCAGTAGTATTGACAAAGTAAATGCTTAAACGAAACCAATCAAAGTCCGTTTGATTTGTATGAGATGTGCTTTACGATCAGTAGACGCAGTAGTGACACTTCATCAGTTGAGGCGGTTGGGACATGTGTTGCGAATACCCAACCACCGACTGCCTCGTCGAGCTTTGTTTTGTAGTGTAGGAGTAGGTTGGAAGAAAGTTAGGGGCGGCCAGACCAAAACATGGCAGAAATCCATGAAGTCATTGACTAGTGGACTGAGCCATATCGGTAATTGTCGACTACCTGGTTGGGGTCCGCGAAATGATAATAATCGATGGTTAGAGACCTTGAATGACATGGCTCAAAATCGTTCGCAATGGCACCGGTGCATTTATTCTCTGTGTTCTCTCAAATGCTAATCTTCTGGATTCTTCAACCCTTGGAGTTTTGACTTTCTATTGAATCATACTTCTTGAATAATATCTTCTAATCCTAACCTCTCCGATTACTTCTAATACCTTTACTACCTCTTCTACTATTGGATTTGAATTGACAATTATATCTCTGTGCTGATGTGGTATGGCGACATGAACTGATGTACTTACGTACGAAGTTCTACGTCGCATCTGTCTGACTGACTGACTGACTGAGATGTGCTTTACCTTTCGAATAGATATACAGAAAGAATTACAGTACTTCTGTTTCAAATTTGCCGCATATGTTTTCATATTTTTCAAGTTCACACTTAACAGAGAACCTTCGGCATTCTTAGTGAAGTAAGCCATAACAAGTGGCTCTGAGTTATTGTTTTCGATCATTTACGTGCAAGGTTTAGTATGGTAACGTTAAGCAAATAGCCAATCGTTGACGGTTTTTTTTCTAGAATTTTTTTCATCTAGAGTACTTCGACGTCAACGATATGTAAAATGAGAAATTAACTTTTCTGTGTAATATCAACTTATTTTTCATTTAATTTAAAGTAATTTGGATTGGATGCAGTTACTTCCAGCTGACGAGTCCCAAGTAGGACGAAACGCACTTCCTAGGTTCCACTGCTAGCAAAATTTTATCTGTAAAGTCTTTTTACTTGAAACATATCTGAGGGTGCCTATTGATATTGTCATGTATATTGAAATGATGTGAAGGGCTTTTCAAATCCTATCTTTCATCTTATTATGTGTAGTTTTATCGACGTTGAAGTGTAGTACTCTATTTATTGTAATTGCATTAGATCTAATCTCGTTTAATGGCCTGGTAGCGGATGAAATCGCAGCACGGATAAAGAGAGCTCGATTGGCTTTCACCAACCTGTGCCATAAGTGGCGCAGGTTGGATATCCGTTTGATAACCAAAGGACGAGTCTGCTGTGTAACAGTTTGCTCCGTCCTACTTTATAACTGTGAAACGTGGCCAGTAAGAGTAGAGGATATTCGTAGGTTGCTTGTCTTTGATCATCGGTGTCTCCGAAGCACTGCTCGTAGATCCTGGAACAATCGAGCGAGCAGCGTTGTTATTAGGAATCGGGTGCTAGGTAAGAATGGCAAATCAATAGATGAAGTATTGAAACTTCGTCAGTTGAGGTTGCGTATGCCTAACCACCGATTGCCTCGTCGAGCTATATTTTGCGGTGTAGGAATAGGTTGCGAGAAAGCTAGGAGTGGTCAAAGTAAATCATGACACATCCATAAAGTCACTGACAAGTGGACTGATTCATGTCGGTACGTGTCGACTACCTGGTTTGGGCCGGCGAGATGATAATAACCGATGGTTAGAGACCCTGAATGACATGGCTCAAAACCGTTTGCGATGGCGCAGGTTCCCCCTCTCTCAAATCCTGAACTTCCTAATTCCTCATCACCTTTATCTTTTACTTCTTAAGTTTATTTCACTAGATTCTACTTCTTGAATAATATCTTCTAATCCTAATCTCTCCGATTACTGATAATGCCTTTACTACCTCTACTTATGCTATGGGATTTGCATTGACAATCACATCTCTGTGTCAATATAGTATGGCAACTTGCACAGTGATGTACATATATACGTCTGAAGTTCTACGTTGCTATTGATTGATTGACCGATTGTTTGTTTAATGAGTATTTGCTTAGCGATTTATCTACCAGGTTAATCTACCAAAATCCCTACCTCATAAAGTCATAGCATTAACACAAACCATAATATTTTACATTTGTGATTGTATTCCATATGAATTTTTTAGATATTTCTTTTCAACTGTCCACTATTTTCTCAAGTTTTCATTGTTTTCTCGCCCCTTTGTATTAGACTGTACAATCTGACAATTCAATGATACCCGCACAACCTGATACACATTCTTCTTCTGATAATTCAAAAACAATCGGTATGTTTTACATTTTGTTTGATTCTATTGTCAGATTAGTCAAGTTGTTTATTAATGACAATATATATATATATATATATTACAAGTGTTTCAATGTATACATACAGTTGTTGCTTCAAGATTGGGTTGCATCGGCACCTGAACTAGTGATAGGGAGTGAAGTAGTCGAGTGTGTTGACTGCCTCACTTATCTGGGGAGTCTCATCAGTGCTGATGACCTGGTGACTGACCAAATCTCAGCACAGATACACAAGGCTCGATTGGCCTTTGCCAAGTTGCATCACCTTTGGCGCAAGCGAGATATCCGTTTGCTGACTAAAGGACTCGTGTACTGTGCAGCACTTCGCTCTGTCCTACTATACGGATGAGAAACATGGCCGGTGAGAGTAGAGGACATTCGTAGATTGTTTGTCTTCGATCATAGGGGTTTTCGAAGCATTGCTTGCATATCCTGGGACTACCGAGTAAGCGATGATGTTGTTAGGAAACAAAGCAGTAAATCTTCATCAGTTGAGGTGTTTGGGACCACTGACTGCCACGTCGAGCTATGTTTTGCGATATAGGAATAGGTTGGACGAAAGCTAAATGCTTCCAGACCAAAGCATGGCACAAATCCATGAAGTCATTGACAAGTGGACTGAGTCATGTTGGTAGGTGTCGACCACCTGGTTGGGATCCGCAAGATGATAATAATCGATGGTTATAGACCGTGAATCATATGGCTGAAAACCGTTTGCAATGGCGCAGGTGCATCCACTCTTTTTGTTCTCTCAAATTCTAACCTGAATTCCTCATCACCTCTATCTTTCTCTTTCTAATTTTATCTCACTGAATTATACTTCTTGAATAATATCGTCAAACCCTAATCTCTTTCAATACCGCTAATATATCTACAACCTCTACCACTATGGGATTTTAATTGACAGTGGCATCTCTGTGCGACTTGAACTGACGTACATACATTCGTACGAACCAGCATCAACCTTAAGCATAAAGAGAGACACCATCTATGGCGGCAGTCGTCACAGTCGATTCAATGATGGGTGCAATTAGACTATTTCGCCATCAGCCATCGTTCAGAAGGCTCAGTTCTGTAGCACATATCTAGACTCTGTATGCTATGGTATGCGTGTGTATTTTTTTCGTCTTGCAGTCAGTCAGTCAGTCAGATGCAACGTAGAACTTTGTACATAAGTACATCAGTTCATGTTGCCATACCACATCAGCACAGAGAAGTAATCGTCAATTCAAATCCAATAGTAGAAGAGGTAGTAAGGGAATTAGAAATAATCGGAGAGGTTAGGATTAGAAGATACTACTCAAGAAGTATGATTCAGTGAGAAAATTTAGAGAGTCGAAACTAGAGGGGTTGAAGAATCCAGAAGATTAGCATTTGAGAGAACACAGAGAATAAATGCACTGGCGCCATTGCGAACGATTTTGAGCCATGTCATTCAAGGTCTCTAACCATCGATTATTATCATCTCGCGGACCCCAACCAGGTAGTCGACAATTACCGACATGGCTAAGTCCACTTGTCAATGACTTCATGGATTTCTGCCATGTTTTGGTTTGGCCGCCCCTAACTTTCTTCCAACCTATTCCCACACTACAAAACAAGGCTCGACGAGGCAGCCGGTGGTTCGGCATACGCAACACATGTCCCAACCGCCTCAACTGGTGAAGTTTCAATACTTCATCGATTGATCTGCCATTCTTACCTAGCACCCGATTCCTAATAACAGCGTTGCTCACTCGGCTGTCCCACGATATACGAGCAATGCTTCTTAAACATCTATGATCGAATACTAGTAACCTACGAACATCTTCTACTCTTAACGGCCATGTTTCACAGCCATAAAGTAAGACGGAGCGAACTACTGCGCAGTACACTCGTCCTTTAGTCAGCAAACGGATATCTCGCCTACGCCATAAGTGACGCAGGTTGGCAAAAGCCAATCGAGCCTTCTGTATCCGTGCTGAGATTTCGTCAGTCACCAGGCCATCGGCACTGATGAGACTCCCAAGATAAGTGAATCGGTCTACACGTTCGACTACTTCACTCCCTATCACTAGTTCAGGTGCCGATGCGACCCAGTCTTGAAGCAACATTTTGCATTTCGAGGGGGAAAACCGCATCCCGAACATGCTTGCATTGTTGCTTAGGGTAGTCAGAAGACTCTGCATTTTGTCAGCGTCTTCACCAAGTAGGACTATGTCATCGGCATATTCTAAGTCAATAAGCGAGCCACCTGGTAGAAGGTCTACTCCTGAAAATTCAGACGAGGATAATGTTAACTCTAGGAGCATGTCTATGATAAAATTAAACAAGAATGGAGAAAGTGGACATCCCTGACGGACACCACTTGATGTAGAGAATTCCGGTGACAGTTCGCCATAAGCCCTCACCCGACCAGTGGTGTTCGAGTAAAGAGCTTGTATAAGGTTAATGTACTTCTGTGGTACACCTTTCAATGACAGACACTGCCACAGAACCTTACGATCAACAGAGTCAAATGCCGCCTTAAGGTCTAGGAAAACAACTATTGTAGGACGCCTAAATGTGTGTCTATGTTCCAGGACCTGTCTGAGTGTGAAGACGTGGTCTATACAGCCACGTCCAGGTCGAAAACCAGCCTGGTTTTCTCGAGTCTGCTCTTCACGAGCTTTCGTTAAGCGCCGAAGTATTATTGAGGCCAATATTTTAGATACTAAATTAGTTAGACTTATTCCTCTGTGATTGTCACAAGAAGACTTTTGTCCTTTCTTATAGATTGGGACAATCAAGGATTGAGACCAGTCGGATGGGATTACGTCCAGTTCCCAGATTTTACCTAAGATCTCAGTCAATCTAGCTGCTAAAACTGGACCACCATCCCTGAATATCTCAGGGGTCAGTCTATCAGGACCTGCAGCTCGTCCTCGTTTCAGATTTCCTAACGCTTTCTCAACGTCATTAAGACTAGGGGGACTTACGTCGATTTGCCATTCAGGATGACTGGAGATCGTGGGTAACTGAAGAGTGGCTCGTGGCCAGTTGAACTGATCCCTAAAGTGTTCTGCCCATCGATCCAGTCTCCTGGATTGAGAATGGATAATAAGACCATCCTTTTCCGAGATAGTCTCACTCACATTCGGGTTCTTAATACCGGTTTCTTTAATAAGGCGGAAAAGTTGTCTAGTGTTGCCTATCGCCGCTGCCTTTTCCATCGCTTTTGCTTTCGCCACCCACCACTGTTCGCGGTCGTTACGCAGACTTTTTATAAGTCTGCGCCTAAGCTGACTACGCTCTTCATCATGCTCAGAGTCAGGTGGGATGCGTTTTCGAGCATCCATCAGTTCGGTGGATGCGGCTGAAATCCACGGCTTCATCCTAGCCTCATGGTTTACCTTACTAGCAGATATCACTGCTGTTTCCACAGCCTTTTTGATATCATACCAACCTGCTTCTGGATGGGAATCGCTTGCATGGTTGCTTAACTCTCTTTCTAGTAGCTCCTGAAATATTTTCTTGGTTTGATTATCATTAAGTAAAACCCTAAGAGGCTTTCTTACGGTGTCTTTCCTACGTCCAGTAAGCCTTAAACAGATACGAGCTCGCACTAGAGCATGATCTGAATCCAGACATGTGCTCCAGAACGAGCGACAGTATTCTATCGAACCCCTCCATCGGTGGCTGATGGCGATGTGATCTAGTTGAGTCCAACGTTGAGACGACTTTGGAGGTCGCCAGGTCAACAGATGCTTTTCCTTATGCCTAAAGTTGGTGTTCGCTAAGAATAGGCGGTTATCTGAGCACAGTTGCAACAGACGGTCACCATTGTCTGTTCTCTCAGTCGCTACACCATAACATCCACCTAGGTGTCTCTCCTGCTCACTTAGTCTACCTACTTGAGCATTAAAGTCACCAGCCATTATTACTATGTCAGAGCGCCTAGCTTTTTGGAGGAGGTCCGAAAGCTTTCCGTAAAACTCATCCTTAACCTCGTCTGAACTGCATTCAGTGGGGGCATAGGCAGATACGATGAAGAGGCAACGGCGATTGTCCCTATCTTTCCGAGTCCTTACTGTCCCGTTTAGTCGGACAGCGCACAAACGACTATCTACTGGGATCCAGTCTAGGAGAGATAATTCTGCCCTAGGACTCAACGCTATGCCTACGCCAGCAAGACCCCTGGAAGCAGCATCAGGGCTACCGGATACCCGAAGAGTAAATCGAGTTGCTTCTTCGTTTTGACAAGGTGGAATCAGGTTAATGACTTTACTAGGATCCTGTATGCGCGTTTCCGAGACGCAGCATGCATCGATGGCACGAGTTTCTAAAGTCCTAGCTAATGATGCCTGTTGCCCTATTTGACACAATGTCCGTACATTAAAGGCTCCAATATGTAGTCTAGAACGGGGTTTCAAGAGACCAGGAACGACGTTTCGTGATCTCACTTCGTCTGCATTAGCGGTGCAGTGAGAAAAGGGAGTGTGAGTAGAGTTAGTTGTAGAGAGAAGAGAGGTATGCTTTGGTGTAGGAAGGATTTGATTTTGATCAATTTGGTCTCGTGTGCTGTTACGGGTATGAGGGCGGTTGTCACTTCCCGGCTGCCCACACCGTGGAAGGTTGTTTCTTGAGGAACCTGAAAAGGAAGATAGATTAGTGTTGGTGCGTGACCGCAGAGCCCAAGGGACAACTGCTTGAGGCCAGTCACGCATGGCCTTTTTATCAAATGTTTTTTGAGGATTAGCTCCGTTCTTAAAGGCCCTTAGTGGGCACCCTTACCCAAGGAGACGGAAATCCGTGAGTTAGGGGAGGTGTGACATTTTTAGGGCCGACCTTTTCTAACCCTTCCTTCCTTGTGAGAAGGCAGCATCGCTGCAGATGCTGGTTGTCCGAGAGAAACACCTTACTTCTGCTGTCACACCCCTCCATCACAGTCAGCAGTACGACTTCGCCCTCAGACCTTGGGTAGCTGCTTTTAGTCTCATCGTTCTCCAATCGACCAGCCTGGCATGGTAGGACATGCAGGAACATATGTTCCAGCCAGTATAGCTCGGTTGGGTCATCACGATAGGCAAGCTCGACCACCACGTCAAGGTAGCAGCTTTGGTCGGGTTTTTCGTCTTGCTGGTCATAGAAAAGCGTTTAGAGTTCAACTTAACGACGAAGATGCCAAAAGTATACTTCAGGACAAGATAAATGGACAGTTAGTCGCCAAAGCAATGTCCACCCTGATATAACTTAATATGATTTCCAGGCAGCCGTGAAAGCAGCAATCATATCTTTAGGTAACCCCAGCCAAAATGTTAAGTAAAATCAATAAATCTCAGCGGCGCCTACTGAACTGAATAACGCCCAGAAACTCATACGTAAAGCTGTAGGCATGATAAAGAGCGAAGGCAACTTGACTATAAACTAACAAGACGTCGTCTACTCAGTGATTGTGAGCAGTGGTAGACCAATTATTGACACCTCCCAGTTCTGAGACGCAGACATACCGATTCCTAAACATAGTTGTATTTTTCGGCTTCTGTAGGTCACCAGGTTTTATGGCATTGTCTGTCATTGAAAGACGGATCAAATAAGTATATCAGCTTTATACAGATTCTACTCGAACACTACTAGTCAATTCAGAGTTTATTTAGGACTGTCATCTGAATAGGAAATATTAAGTGTTGATTAAAATTATAAGTTTTCTGCTTCCTTTGTTTTTCGTCATCATGGATGTAATTTAGGAGGTTACACTCTCATTATGTGATATATCAGAAGTTGTTCGTCCACCAGGAGATTCTCTTGTGATTATATTGCAACCGTCGTTCTAAATTATTGGTTACAACTCAGGTTGATCTACTCTTTACCTTTCTATAGATACTAAGTTTTTAAATTCCCTGATCTTTATCACTGTTGCTTCTGTTACTACCTCTACTACCTTAGGGTTTGGTGCGTGATAATTTCATCTTACTTTACTAGTAACAACTTGGATCGATACGCACACATGTACCAGATTTTGTGTTACGCATGATTGACCTTTAATATGGTACCTAGTATTTTACACATTTGAAATCATTAATCAATGATTATTAGACCACTATTAGAAACCTGGAAGCACTGAAAGACGGCCGATTCGTCCTGGTATGGGACTCATCAACAGTGCACATTCGAACCCAGGACCTTCGGTTTTGCGTGTGAACGTCTAACCTTTGAACCACTGGGCTGGCATCCCATACCCGGACGAAACAGCCGTCCAGTGTTTCCAGGTTCCTAATGGGGGTCTAAAAATGATTGATCAATGATTTCAATCTGTAAAACACTAATCTATATAACTCTAATTGAAAATATGATACCAATAGTAGTCGTGGTAGTATTCAGCCTATTGTATGATCTGATCACATGTCAATCAGTCAGTCAGTCAGATGTAACGTAGAACTTCGTACGTAAGTACATCAGTTCATGTTGCCATACCACATCAGCACACACAGATGTAATTGTCAATTCAAATAGTAAAGGTATTAGAAGTAATCGGAGAGGTTAGGATTAGAAGATATTATTCAAGAAGTATGATTCAGTGAGAAAAGTTAAGAAAGTCAAAACTAGAGGTGTTGAAGAATCCAGAAGATTAGGATTTGAGAGAACACAAAGAATAAATGCACTTGCATCATTGCGAACGATTTTGAGCCATGTCATTCAAGGTCTCTAACCATCTATTATTATCATTTCGCGGACCCCAACCAGGTAGTCGACAGTTACCGACATGGCTAAGTCCACTAGTCAATGACTTCATGGATTTGTGCCATGTTTTGGTTTGGCCGCCCCTAACTTTCTTCCAACCTACTCCTACACTACAAAAGATAGCTCGACGAGGCAGTCGGTGGTTAGGCATACGCAGCACATATCCTAACCAACTCAACTGATGAAGTTTCATCACTTTATATATTGATCTGCCATTTTTACCTATCACTTGTTTCCTAATAACGGCGTTGCTCACTCGGTTGTCCCACGATATACGAGCAATGCTTCGAAGACATCGATGATCGAAAACCAATAACCGACATCTCACGTCAATGAAATTTCATTATAGTATTTCTCTTTTTATATTGATTGTAATATTACGCAATGCTAGTCTCAATATTACAAATTCTATCTGTCTATATATATTGGATGCTCTGTCACTCACTACTATCAATGATTTTCTCTCTTCTCTCTCTCTTCTAATATTATTTCAGATCCTCCTGCTCCTGCTCCTGCTCCTGCTCCTCCTGCTGCTCAACCACAACCACAACCATATACTATTGAAACTGTCTATGAACTGTTACGCAATCTTATTTACTCTCTTTCACCGGAACATAATAAGGAGAGTGTGATTTCCATATCATTAGGTCTTATCACCATTGCGCTAGAGACAGGAGCTGATGCAATAGCCAATAGTCCACGATTACTTCATTTAGTTCGAGGTGATTTAACGAAATATTTAATGTTGGTAAGTAAATGAAAGATCGATATATATATTTTTTTCTTCTGGTTTTACTTAATGACAATTGAGTCCCATATTATAACCTTAGTGTTCTTTAAAAAAAGTAGTGTAGTACAATATATGAATTATTCATCATAGTAGGTGATTAGAAACTTGGAAGTACTGGACAGCTTTTTCGTCCTGGTGTGGGACTCGTCAGCAGTGCACTTCCCCTAGACTGCTACTCACAGGGTTTCAAGCTTAGGACAGTCAGTCTTGCGCCCAAACACTTAACCACTGGACCAATGAGCCGATATTTGGCGGTGTCTAACTTTGATCAATCTAAGGATTTTGGGCAACTTCACGCATTGTCCTCAGTGTGGGTAAATGCTTACACCTGACTGGATGGAACTCCACTGGTCACGTGTTCTCATTAGAACTCGGAGAATTTCCTCTCGAAGCTAGTCATGAGTGAGCGCATTTTTTTTGATTTAGCATTCTAGTATTGTGAAAATTGTTGTTTTTACATTTTTAAATGAGGAATGATTAATTGTTAGACTACTATTAGAGCACAGCTAGACTTAACCTGTTGGCTGTTAAATATGTGGCTTTCTTTTTGTTTCCTGTAAAATGATTTCCACTCTGGAGTCGGTCATTGAGTGTGTGTGTGTGACTGATTGCAAGTGTATGGAATAAAATATTATCTATTGTGTATTACGTTTAACGCCGTGATCCGTGATCTCTGTGTATCATAGTGTGAGTGTATTCAATCCAGTGTTAGTAAGTATAACATGAACACTATTGTCTCGCGGACCCCAACCAGGCGGTCTAAACCTACTAACATGGCTCAATCCAGTTATCAGTGATTTCATGAATTTGTGCCATGTTTTGGTTTGGTTGCCCCTACCTTTCTCTCAGCCTACCCCTACATCAGAAAACATCACTCGTCGAGGCAGTCGGTAGTTGGGCATATGTAACACGTATCCCACCCGACGGAAGCTGCTACCTTGACTTGGTGGTTGGGCTTGCGTATCGTGATGACCCAACCTAGCTATATTGGCTGGAATGTTTGTTCTTGAAGGTTCTACCATGCCAGGCAGGTCGATTGGAGAGAGATGAGACTAAATGCAGCTACTCAAGGTCTGACGGCGAAGTCGTACTGCTGACTGTGATGGAGGGGTGTGACAGCAGCAGTAAGGTGTTTCCCTCAGACAACCAGCATCTGCAGCGATGCTGCCTTCTAACAAGGAAGGAAGGGTTAGAAAAGGTCGACCCTAAAAATGTCACACCTCACCCTACCTCACGGATTTCTGTCTCCGGCGGTAAGGGTGCCCACTAAGGGCTTTCAAGAGCGGAGCTAATCCTCAAAAAACTTCTCATACCCAAACACATATCCCAACCAGCTCAACTAGTGAGCATTCACTACTTCATCTATTGATTTACCATCTTGACTATCCTTTCCTAAGACCAGCATTGCTGCTTCGATAGTCCCAAGATGCACGAGCAATGCTTCCAAGATATCTGTAATCGAATACTAGTAACCTACTCATATCTTCTACTTTTACTGGCCATATTTCACTGTATTACTCATGATATCTTATTTCATTAACAGCTATTATATTCAGAGGATATTTGGCAATTTGCTGCTACTCTACGTGTATGTTTCTTGCTATTCGAATCTATGAGAAGTCAATTAAAGTTACAAATGGAGGTAGGTAATATTTTTTTTAAATATTATTGATTTTTTTCAAAACTGAAATGTAATTCAAGTTTCGATGATGAAGATAACTTTGTTTTGTATAGCAGCTCGAGATGTTGAATCATGACAGACTAAGCTGAAAAAAGTGACATTTTGTAGTGTGTTGGTTAATTCACTCCGGATATTGGCAAAAATCACAACGCAGTCTTTTGTCGATTAACCCATTTAACTGACGAAATAATGAAACTTCTGTTCACGTGTAAAAATTCAAATGGAAATGGCGTAAGAGGTCAAGAATACTTTCTTGTAATATGAGATACTAAATAGACATTCGTCTCTCTATCAAGTGTTACCGTTGCTCTGCCTCAAGTTCATCAATTAAAACGCTGGTATAAAAGTCAATAACCACGTGGGCGACACACTAGTGAACAGGCAATTAACTACAGTCATATGGAAATTAACTACGTGTTATGTATGTTATGTATGTCTTTAAATAAACGACGAATGTATTCCTGTTCATATATATCCTATCAATCGCCAACACACCTATTCATATATTCGAATTGATTGTTAAAGAATAGTGGAATAATTCAATGAATGTCTCGACCTCATGAGTTAATGCTCTTTCATGCTTGTATGTATGGCCTGCTAATGTTACAGTGATGGTGAAATCGACAGCGAGAGGACTCGACGGTATCCGAGCCCCTATATTCCACCATCTTATCTGCAGCACTCGAATATGACAGACAGATATAACGTAAGTACATCAGTTCAGGTTGCCTTACCACATCAGCACAGAGACGCAACTGTTAGTTCAAATCCAAGAGTGATAGGAATACCAATAATGGAGAAGATTAGGGAGAGAAGATATGATTCGAGAAGTATAATTCAGTAAGATAAATTTAAAAGGAGAAAGGTCGAGATTATGAGGAATGCAGAAGCTTAAAATTTCATAGAACACAAAGAGTGGATGCACCTGCGCCATTGCAACCGATTCTGGGCCATGTCGTTCAAGGTCTCTAACCATTGGTGATTATCATTTCGCGGACCCCAACCAGGTAGTCTACCATCTACCAACATGACTCAGTCCACTTGTCAATGACTTCATGCATTTCTACCATGTTTTGGTTTGGCCGCCTCTAGCTTTCTCCCAATCTACTCCTACACCACAAAACATAGCTCGTCGGTGGTTAGCCATACACGCAACACATGTACACTCGAATATGAATTGAATGTCATCAGCTTTACTCTGTTCTCCTCAAATATCATAAATCACTTGTCGTATAATAATACACTTTACTTGTTCTAATCATTTCAATTTTTTGTTTTCCCATCCCCTTCTTCTATCATGTAGGTTTATTTACAACGTTTAATAGCAATTAGTTCTTCTGAAAATGAATCAACTACTTATGAACGACGTGAAATCGCACTAGATTCCGTTGTTCGTTTACTTTTAGTACCTGGTTTAGCTACAGAACTTTATGTGAATTATGATTGTGATTCATATTGTTCAAATTTATTTGAAGAGATTACAAAAATGTTAGCTAAAAATGCTTTTCCTGTTGAACGTTTAATGGGTACTCATTTGTTGGCATTAGATGCTCTATTGGCTGTATTGAATACAATTGAAGTTCAATGCGGTTCATCATCATCACCGTCCTCTTCGTCGATATCAGCTACGACGACGACAGCTGCAGCCACAACAGCAACAACAACACCGGCAACGACTGCGATTACGGATCAAAATTCTTCTGTGAGTGATGATACTCAGCATAGTCAGTCTAATAGTCGAACAGTACGACCTAATCGTCACTTTGTTGATGTCGCCAATCTACCATCTCGAGAAGAATTGAATATTGCCAAATCTAAAAAGAAGGTAAGCGTTGGGGGGGGGTGTAGATAGTGTTGTTGTGGAATGTGAGTCACTTGAGTGTATGATTCCTACTAGTTTACTGGTTTATGTAAGCACACATAGATCAAATTGTCTAGTGAGTGAATGTCATGCTAAATAAGAAAACATTTTGACCTTATCTTCAAAACTGTATTTACACACAAATAACATGTTGCTTGTATGTGACTGAAGAGAAAGCACGAAATGGTACTACTATCTCACAAATATGTCTTCTCATTTCTCTGTTCAAATTCAAATTCCATACTAATCTAGGTTGTAATAATATTAGCTGTATTGGAAAAGATGACGGATTGAACATATGATTCGAGAAAGTATATATCCTATAGGAATCATTTGAAAAAATAAGAAGCGAAATTGGTCATTGAGGTATTTAGAAGATTAGAATTTTAGAGAACACAAAGAATGAACCCATCTGTGTTAATGTGAACGATTTCAAACCATGTCGTTCAGGATCGATTACATTAATCTCTCGGACCCCGACCAGATTGTCTACACTTACCAGCAAACAGTGACTTCATGGATTTGTGCCATGTGTTAGTTTGACCATTCTAGCTTTCTCTCAGCCTACCTGTACATCAAACAACACAGCTCGCCGAGGTAGTCCGTGTTTGGGCATTTGTAACACATGTCACAACCACCTCAACTGGTGAAGTTTCATTACTTCATCTATTGATCTGCCATCCTTACCCAGTACCCGTTTCCTAACAACAGCATTGTTTACTCAAGAAACAAACAATGCTTCGGAGACACCTATGATCGAAAACCAATAACCTACAAATATCTAGCTGTGAAACTTGGCCAGTCAGAGTAGAAGATATTCGTGTGTTTCTGGTTTTCGATAATAAGTGTCTCCAAAGCAGTGCTCGTCTACCATCGGACAACCCAGTAAGCAATGCTGTCGTTAGGAAACAAGTATTATGTAAGGATGGCAGAACCATTGATGAAGTGTTGAAACCTCATCAGTTGAGGTGGTCGGGACATGTGTTGCGTATGCCCAACCACCGACAGCCTCGTCGAGCTATGTTTTGTGGTGTAGGAATAAGTTGGAAAAAAGTTAGGGGCGGCCAAACCAAAACATGGCACAAATCCATGAAATCACTGACAAGTGGACTGAGTCAAGTCGGTAATTGTCGACTACCTGGTTGGGGTCTGCGAGATGATAATAATCGATGGCTAGAAACCTTGAATGACATGGCTCAAAATCGTTCGCAATGGCGCCGGTGCATTTATTCTCCGTGTTCTCTCAAATCCTAATCTTCTGGATTCTTCAACACCTCTAGTTTTGACTTTGTAAACTTATCTCACTGAATCACATACTTCTTGAATAATAATATCTTCTAATCCTAACTTCTCCGATTACTTCTAAAATACCTTTACTACCTCTACTACTATTGGATTTGAATTGACAATTACACCTCTGTCTGTGCTGATGTGGTATGTGGCAACATGAACAGATGCACGTACGTACGTGCAATGTCCTACGTATGATGATGAACTATTCTTGCATAACCACTAGATCACCGCTGCTGTTGCTGTTCATTTTTCAATGTACTCTAATTGTTTTTCTTCGTTTTTTTAGTTATTAATATTAGGTTCAGATCATTTTAATACAAAACCAAAACGTGGCATTGCATTTTTACAAGAAAATCATTTATTACAAACTCCATTAAATTATGATGAATTGGCAATGTTTCTACGTGAAAATCCACGTTTAGAAAAACGAATGATTGGCGAGTATATTAGTGATCGTGAAAATATTGATGTGTTAATTGCGTTTGTTAAGTAAGATGAAAGAATGAGTGTTATTTGGCATGTTTTTATTTGCAGCCTTTTTTTCTAAAAAAGAGTTTTAATTTGTGTTTTATTGATTAACTGTGATACAGGTGGATACTAGTAAGTATAGTAAGCAGTAAGCAACTTAAAAGGTGATATAGACGAAGCACTGGACGTCCGTTTCGTCCTTTTACTGGACACCCAGGATTAGACAATAATATCGTTGGATGCCAGCTTAGTAGTATGGAGGTTAAGCGTTCGCACTCGAAACCGAAGGTCCTGGGTTCGATTCCTACGGGTGAGGTGTCGTAGATGCGCAGTGCAACTGATGGGAAGACGGTCGTGTAAACACAGCTTCCAGGTTTTTTCTAATGCTGGTCTAACAATGTTTGATTCACGTGTGGTGTGCAAAAATAAACGTATTCAACCCATCGAGTTTGCCTTCTGATTTATAACCATCAGGCGCTATTTAGTAACGATTGCCTAGACGAGCGAATTACTAAGTTTTGAGAACACGTTGGATATCAACTGTCACGAGACTAGTGGCACACCACATAAATGGTGAGTCCGATGTGATCTAACTCACACACCACACATGATTTCAATGAAACTGAATAACATTCATACCTGTATGAATTCACTTCTATCTAGACTAGGAAGGTTCTCATTTCCAGAAAACTGTTAGTTGAAAGATTTCAAGACACCACTTAAACGTTTGTCTTCTCATAATTTATGTCCACCTTTTTCATTTGTAAGTGTAACGTAAAAATATCGCTATCCTTCGGTATAGTTCTTTAACGAAACAACAGCTGGGTTGTTGCATGTGAGCAGTTCAGAAATTTCACTGAAATTATGAGCCAGTCAATGTTTGACCATCATTAGAAACCGGAAACAGCTGGACGTCCGTTTTTTCCTAGTACGGGACTCCCCACCAATACCTATCCACGAACCTGATAGCAAGAATCAAACCCGGAACCTTAACCTTTTGACCGCTAACCTAATATACAATGGTTCTAATGTCTTACTTCAGTCAATGCATAATATTGCGCGACCATCATTCAATGTCTTCATTGGGTACTTATGCCTCATACTCGGCACAGTTGAACTCTACTGTTCACAGCCTCTCACTAGAAGTCTGTGAATTCCTCTCGGATGTTATTCACTAATGAGGACATAATAGTTATCAGTATAGGATTGTGAAAATTGGGAATCAGTATTTTTGAGAAAAAATGTTCTCAGTGAGTTAGAATCCAATCGGTGTAAAAAGTAATTAGAGAATCTACAGAGCAGCTTAGAAGTCAATATCAAGTATGCAGCTAGTGTCAGCGTAAAACTTTAGGTAGTAAGAAGTGAAGTGTTCGGAGTATTCTCCATGTATGACTCATAGCTTGTCCTGTTGACCTCGATCATCGTTGTCAGTCTCTTTATTTTGATTGTACCCCCTTCCTTTGATTCGCTTCCGTAATCCTAAGTTTTTTTATGATTTTTCTGATTGGTTGATAAGTTGGGTCAATGTCGATGTGTTTGACTTGAGTGCTAAGCTTCTAAAAACCCTCTAGTGTACTTTGTATTCTGACTATCAACATTGTTCCAATCAAATGTATGTCCTTAGTTGTCTGCATGTATTGATATAGTTTTCCTTGGAGGATCAGTTATTGAGACTTGTCTATCCCACGGGGGAAGTAGAGCAACATCAGGAAATGCAATCCCATAGTAGGGTTTTATTTTTTGTCAAATTATACTTCTCGAATGATAATTTCAAACCCTGATGTTTTCGATTGCCGCTAGTTAGTATGCTGTGGCAACTTGAACACCGATGTACGCAAGTACCAAGTTCTACCTCGTTCTAGTTAACTAACTGAATTTATAGTAATCTTGTTTATGGTGGTGGTGTTTGGTTCTCTGAGCTGGATGATGTTTTGCTTATGGAGCTTTCATTGTTCTTCTTCTGAACAACTACATCATCAGCACAAGCTTCAGATAGAAGAAATGAAGTATTCGAATCTCTCCACGTTTGACCTGTAGCTTGTTCTGCTAACCCTCGATCTTGATTGGTTGTTGTTGATCTTAAACCTGTCGTTGTTTGCACTTTTGTTGTTTTGATTGTATCCCCATTTTGATCTGTTTCTTGATCCTGTGTCACCTATGATTTTCCTGATTGGTTGATAAATTGGGTCAATGTCGATGTGTTTGTTGATTGCTGATTGACCTGAGTGCCAAGCTTCTAAAAATTCTCCAGTGTTCTTTCTGTTCCTCTCCCTATCCAGTATTTCCACATTGTTCCAATCGAATGTAGTATGTCCATAATTGTCTTTGTGTATTGATATAAGCTAAGCGTTGTCGTGGCGTTTGATTGCTAAATGGCATTCATGTAAACGAAGCTGAAGAGACCGTCCAGTTTGTCCTATGTAGTGTTTTTCACAATCTGAGCAGTTGTTTATTTTGTAGATGATATTTGGTTTTTCTTCCTTTGTCGTTTTATCTTTTGATCTACACATAGGATTGATTGAGGTGATTCTGTGTTGGTTTATTATGTGCCACACACCAAATTCCATATGGTGTCAGTAGTAGTGCTGTCTCTGCTCCGATATGTCTTTTTGATGTATGTATGTTAGGATGATCCGTTTTGTTTTTGGTTCCTGTGCTTGATTGATTTCGCTTCTCTCAGCTACAAATTTTCTCCACCACCATCTCACAATCTTGTTTAGTTAGCTTTTTTCGAGAGTTATATATATATATATTTGAAACCATGAATCGATCAATGTTAGACCACCATTAGAAACCTGAAAGCACTGGACGGCCGTTTCGTCCTGGTATGGGACTACTCATCAGTGGTAGTGCGCATCCACGACTCCTGCACCCCGCAGGATTCGAACCCAGAACCTTCGGTATTGTGCGCGAACGCCCTAACCGTTAGACCACTGAGCCGGTATCTGACGGTGTTAATGTCTAACTTGATCAAATTCACGGAGTTGCGCAACCTCCGGTAGTTACTGTCTACACCCGAACAGGTTGAACTTCACTGGTCACGTCTTCCCGCTAGAACTCGAAGAAGATTGTTCACGAAGCTAGTCACTAGTGAGCACAGTTAATATATATATATATATATATATATATATATATATATATATATGCATGTAGGTTATTTGGCACTGTCACCTCAATAAATAACCCCATTATTTATCTTGTTTCAACATGCTCTTTTATTTCTTCTTCTGTTTCACACATTACATTCATTCATCCATATTAAATTAAAAATAAAATAAAAGGCAATTTAATTTTGTTGGTGTGCCAATTGATGAAGCTCTGCGTATTTACTTGGAAGCATTTCGTCTACCTGGTGAAGCCCCGCTAATTCAACGTATCATGGAACAATTCGCTGAACATTGGTATCATTCCAATGCAGCACCATTTATTGATGTGGATGCTGCATTCACACTAGCTTATGCTATACTCATGTTGAATACTGATCAACATAATCCTAATTCGAAACGACAAAATGCACCAATGCGTTTGGAAGATTTTAAAAAGAATTTAACTGGTTAGTTTGATTCATTTGTGTGTGTATATGTGTGTGTTATAATGTTGCTGAGTAACTCAATCAGTCAGTCAGATGCAACGTAGAACTTCGTTCGTAAGTAACAGCAGTTCATGTTGCCATACCACATCAGCACAGTGATATGACTGTCAATTCAAATCCAATAGTAATAGAGGTAGTAAAGGTTAGGATTAGAAGATATTATTCAAGAAGTATGATTCAGAGAGAAAAGTTTAGAAAGTCAAAACTAGAGGTGTTGAAGAATCCAGAAGATTAGGATTTGAGAGAACACAATGAATGAATGCACCGGCGCCATTGCGAACGATTTTGAGCCATGTCATTCAAGGTTTCTAGCCATCGATTATTATCATCTTGCGGACCCCAACCAGGTAGTAGACAACTACCGACATAACTCAGCCCACTTGTCAATGACTTCATGGATCTGTGCCATGTTTAGGTTTGACCGCCCCTAGCTTTCTTCCAGCCTATTCCTACACCACAAAACATAGCTCGTCGAGGCAGTCGGTGGTTAGGCATACACAGCACATGTCCCAACCACCTCAACTGATGAAGTTTCACCAATTCATCTATTGATCTGCCATTCTCACCTAGCACCCGTTTCCTAATAACGGCGTTGCTCACTCGGGTGTCCCAGGATATTCGAGCAATGCTGAGCACTTATTTAAATCCTACCGACGTCCATATCCTGATATTCCAATACGATCCAAATACTATTCCTAAATCTCCCATAAATATCAGAACATAACTCCCGTTAGATGAAATTGTTTTGATGGGTCGAGTACAGAGTAGAGAGGAAGGCTGGAAGGAACGGAAATGAAAAGCTTTACAGATACTGCGTATTTATACATTCAGATCGAATAGGAAAGAGTATTGAAGTCTCGTGACATTGACAGTTAAGACGATCAATAGGAAAGAACATTTGAAATGAGATAGACAGTCAGGATGACCAATAAGAAACAACATTGAAGTATGTGACTTTGATATCTAGGACGACCATAAAATTGACCAGTAGGAATTAACTAATAGGAATTGACCAATAATTCTCTTAGGATATTGGATGAATATCCTAATAAGTTATACCCGTATATTGGAATTTTGAATGTTGATTCTTTTACGAGAGATTGATTCCAATAATATAGAATGAATGTTTTGAATTAAGTGTCTGGTTGATGGGGAATTTTTTTTTATCAACATGACAAACATTAGCAGTAGCTTAGATGAACGGTATATGATGTGGTTGAATGCAGTCGATCAGTCAAACAGCCAGCCAGTTACAACGAAGAACTTCGTACGTACGTACATCTGTTCAGGTTGCCATACTATATTAGCACACGGACGCCATTGTCAGTTCAAACCCCACAGTGGTAGAGATAGTAGAAGTCTTGGCAGTAATGGAGAAGATTAGGGATCCAACATGTTATTCAAGAAGTATAATTCAGTGACATAACTTTAGAAGGAGGAAGATAAAGGTGGTGAAGAATCTAGAGGATTAGGATTCCTATTCGACCAAAATGTATAAATACGCATTGTGTGTAACGTTTTATGAACATGACCAGGACCCGGACTCGATCCCGGATCCCTAGTCCGGGAAACTGATTCTCTTCTGGATTCGGACCTCGTACTTTCTGCATGTTTATAGATTACAGGTTCTACTTCATATCAAGTCTTGTCTTATTTTCACTCAATACACAGGGGTTGGGATAATCATATTTGAGTAGCATGTCATGTCACCGTATCCTCGATCCTCACTCTCTCGTTTTCCGACTAAGGGGTAAACTCGTAATAAATAGTTCAAGTATATCAAAAGTTGACGTGTTTTTACTTACGTGCAGGCGTAACATAACTGTGAATGAATGTGAATGATTTTATTTGTATACACTGAACATACTGTCTGTGTTTTTTTCTCCTCTATATATATTTAAATTCTTAAGGTATGAATGGTAATCAAGATTTTGATTCAAAACTATTAGAATCAATTTATCATAATATACATCATTATGAAATTGTTATGCCTATTGAACAAACTGGTTTAATACGTGAAAATTATTTATGGAAAGTAAGCACTATTATTATTATTATTGTTATTATTATAGATTGATAAATTTAATGTTGTACATAATTTTCCTCCATACAGTTCATAGAAAGTTCGAGAATGTTGTCAGACTAACATTAGAAACCTCGGAGCACTAGATTAGCTGGTCGTTTCATCCTATAGTATGGGACTGACTACTCATTAGCAATGGCAGTGCGCGGAAACGAGCTCCACTCTCCTGGGAATCGAACCCAGAACTTTCAGTGTTGCACGTGTGTGTACGCTTCACCTTCTGGATCATTGCTAACCTGGCATCCAATTGTGTTCGTGTCTAACTCGAATAGATCGAAGGTATTGTGTAACCTCACCCCCACATTGCCTAATACCTGTGACAGAGTTGAACTCCGCTGGTCAAGAGTTCTCACCGAAAAATCTAACAATTTCTTCATAAAGCTTGAAATTGTACAGTCATCACTTATTTACCCTCAATAGAGCATAGGCCACTGACTAGTTTTCTTCACCCTACTCTCTCCTCGGCTCTCTTTTCCAGTTCTCTACAATTTTTTTGTCTGTCTGCATCATTCGGCTTAATGACATCAGTAATATTATTTACTTACGCCTGTTACTCTCAAGTGAGCATAGACCTGATATGTTTGAATGCTATTACGAGTTCACCTTACTCAGTAAACGAGAGCGAAGACAAATGATACAGTGACACGATAGGCTATTGTGATTCGATTGTCCTCGGCTCTATTAACTATAGGAGGAAGTCTTGATAAGACGTAGAAAGTGCATTCTACATGCACCCAGAAGAACACGAGGTTGACAAGCACATAAATTGAGCTTATTTATACATCATAGAGAAATGTCCTTGGAAGAGCCACAAAATTAGGGCACTAAAATATACTGTCGACCAATGCCAGTCAAGGATTTCCCGAGTGGGAAATTGTTACGCTCGTCACTTTGTACGTTCGAAGCTATTACGAGTTCACCTTAGTCGATAAACGCGAACGAGACAATTACCAGCATCCAGGTAGGCTACCTTGAATCCCAAACAGCAGAACACAAGTCTTGATAAGCGTAGAAAGTATATTCTACAAAACCCAGCAATCACAATACAATCAAGCTCACAACTCTCGTTTATTTATACATCATAGAAACGTCCTTGGAACATTCACAAAAATAGCACACTAAAATACACAGCAGCCAATCACAGCCATGGATTTTCCTGGGGGGAAATGAAATCTCAAGGTCAATTGATCAGCCCATGCTCGCAAACGTGAAATCTGAAATAAGGCATTTATCAAGCGAGTTTCGGGGATCTAACATACCGAACAGAAATGTAGTCTCAAAGTCAACGAACTGAGCAGCCTATGCGCGAAAACGCCAAAAAAATCCGTGGTTAGGACCCTTTTTTAAGTGATTTCTGGGGATCTAAGTTCTCCCCACCAAGGCCACTTACCAGTATTCTCTAGCCTGCTTCCTCCTACGCTTCCTTATTCAGTTCTGTCCAATTGTTGTCCTTATGTTTGTCTCCATTACTCAGCGTAATGACACCGGTAATATAATAATCATATATGCATTACGGGTTTGTGAAGATTATTAAGTTACACATTTTCGAAACCATGAATAGATCAATGTTAGACCACCATTAGAAACCCGGAAGCACTGGACGGCCGTCAAGTCCTGGTATGGGACTCCTCAGCAGTGCGCATCCACGATCGATTCATGGTTTCAAAAAATGTGCAACTTAACAATCTTTAAAACCCCGTAATGCAAATTACCTGTGCTCACTAGTCACTAGCATCGTGAGGAATCTACTACGAGTTCTAGTGAGAAGACGTGACCAGTGAAGTTCAACCTGTTCGGGTGTAGACAGTAACTACTACCGAAGACTGTGTATGAAATTGCGCAACTCCGTGAACTGATCAAGTTAGACATTAACACCGTTAGATACCGACTCAGTGGTCTAACGATTAGGGCGTTCGCCTACAATACCGATGGTCCTGGGTTCGAATCGTGCGGGGTGCAGTAGTCGTGGATGCGAAGTGTCACTGATGAGTCCCATACCAGGCAGGACGAAACGGCCGTCCAGTGCTTCCAGGTTTCTAATGATGGTGGTCTAACATTGATTGATCGATTCATGGTTTCAAAAACGAATAATCATATTGTCAACTAGATAAGTATTTTTCAGATATTACCAACCAAAATTATTCAGAAATACGGGTTGATAATAATAATAACATTAATAACGATATTTGTCCTTATATATAAACATTTATGTATGTGTGTATCTTGTGTTGTTCACCATTTTTTTCCTTTCTTTCTAACAAAAAAATTTATTAGTGCCTTCTACGTCGTTCCACTACTAAACAAGCAATATTTTATCATATACAATCTGGTGGTGCCCTATATGATGCTGATTTATTCGAGCTGATTTGGGGACCGACTGTATCAGCATTATCATTTATCTATGATAAAACCCATGATCCTGAAGTACAATCGAAAGCCATTGATGGATTTAACCGGTGTGCAACAATCGCTTCTTATTATGGCATGAGTGATGTATTAGATAATTTAGTGATATCTTTATGTAAATTTACTACATTACTCACTGTGAATGATGTAAGTAGTTGATTGTGGTTTTTTGATTATTATTATTATGATTACCCTTTACATGTGTTACTTTATGCCTATCTAACCACTGACTGGCTCGACGAGCTGATGTTTTGTGGTGTAAGGGGAGTAGGTTGGAAGAAAGCCCTACAGGTGGCCAAACCAAAACATGGCGGGAATCCATGAAGTCACTGACTAGTGGATTGAGTCATGTTGATTGGTAGATGTAGGCTACCTGGTTGGGTTCTGCGAGACGAAAGTCACCAATCGTTAGAAGAGACCTTGAATGACATGGCTCAAAATCGTTTGCAATGGTGCAAGTGCTCTCTCAAATCCTAATCTTCTTGATTCGTCAACACCTCTACTTTTGTCTTTCTAACCTAATCTCACTGAATTATACTTCTTGAATAATATCTTCAAACCCTAATCTTCTTCATTACCATTAATACCTCAACTATCTTTATCACTATGTGATTTGAATTGACATTTGCGTCTCTCTGTGCTCATGTGGTATGGCAATATGAACTTCTGTACATACGTACGAAGTTCTACGTTGCAACTGACTGACTGACTGACTACCCCTTACTACTCAGGGTCTCATATGGTCGTCGGGGAAATGAATGAAATTTGGATGTTGCGAAACAAATGGTTACCTGACATGAGACAAATTGTATTAGGAGTGTTCGAGCAGACAGATAGACAGACATAACGCACAGAACTTCGTATGTATGTACTCCGTATGTACATCTGTTCAGGTTGTCACACCACATTAACACAGAGACGCAAATGTCAATTCAAATCCAAGAGTGATAGCGATAGTAGAAGTATTAGCAGCAATGGAGAAGATTAGGGAGCGAAGATATGATTCGAGGAGTAGAATTCATTAAAATAAATTTAGAAAGACAAAGGTAGAGGTGCTGACGAATCCAGAAGATTGGGGTTTGAGAGAGCACAATGAATGGATGCATTTGCGCCATGGCAAACGATTTTGAGCCATATCGTTCAAGGTCTTTAACCGTCGGTGACTTTCGTCTCGCGGACCCCAACCAGTTAGCCTACATCTACCAACATGACTCAGTCCACTAGTCAGTGATTTCATGGATTTCTACCATGTTTTGGTTTGGCCACCCCTAACTTTCTCCAACCTACTTCGAGCCCATTTGCATCAAGTTGTGCTGCATCTCTTGCTATCCTATGCCATACTATGTTTATCTCGTATGTCTAACTGATATTTATAGAGCTGAAGGTTTCCTATCAGACCAGAGGTTCTCTGTGTTGAGCATTGTAGATGGTGGTCACTGCTTTGGCAAGTATCCATTTCAGCCAATAAGAGCATAGCAAATTTCTTCATGAATAATTCAACCAATGAAATACAAGAAAAAGCCTATGCACTCTGATTACTAATAAGTAGTATAGTTATAAAACGAGAATTTTGACAACATGTCGTGTGCATAATGAAAAATGATTGGTAGAGGAGATAAATGTGTTGGAATGTAATTGAGAGTAGATAGAATCATCAGAATTTAGTTTTGCACTAATAACTTGTAGTTCATAGCTAATTGGTTCAGAATTCTCTTCTTTTACCGGCTAAGCAGTGTTCCAGAGGATTAAGTGTTCGTGTGCAACATCGAAAGTCCTGGGTTTGAATTGTGCTCAGGTGCAGGAGTCGTGGATTCGCTCTGTCACTGTTGATGAGTAGTCCCAAAACGGCCGTCTTCTAAACAATGCTTCCAGGTTTCCTTTAATGTGTTGATCGAACAATGGTTTCAATGTAAAGTAAAAAGTATCAGTCAGTCAGATGCAACGTAGAACTTGGTACGTAAGTACATCAGTTCATGTTGCCATAACACATCAGCACAGAGATTCGATTGTCAATTCAAATCTTATAGTAGAAGAGGTAGTAAGGGAATTAGAATTAATCGGAGAGGTTATGGTTAGAAGATACTATTCAAGAAGTATGATTCGGTGAGAATAGTTTAGAGAGTCGAAACTAGAAGTGTTGAAGAATCTAGAAGATTAGGGTTTGAGAGAACACAAAGAATGAATGCACCGGCGCCATTGCGAACGATTTTGAGCCATGTCATTCAAGGTCTCTAGCCATCGATTATTATCATCTCGCGGACCTCAACCAGGTAGTCGACAATTACCGACATGGCTCAGTTCACTAGTCAATGGCTTCGTGGATTTCTTCCATGTTTTGGTTTGGTCGCCCCTAACTTTCTTCCAACCTACTACTCCTACACTACAAAACAAAGTTCGTCGATGCAGTCGGTGGTTGGGCATACGCAACACATGTCCCAACCACCTCAACTGTCACCACTTCATCTATTGATCTGCCATCCTTACCTAGTACTCGTTTCCTAACGACAGCATTGCTCACTCGGTTGTCCCACGGTAATACGAGCAATGCTTCGAAGACACCTATAATCGAAAACCAGTAGCCTACGAATATCTGTATGCTGTATGCTTAATTCTAGTTCACAAAAATAATTTCTGTCCTAATATTATCATTTAAAAATGCAATTTCCTTCTCCGTTTTATGTATTCTATTTTTTTATAGAATCCAAAAAATCTCCGACTTATGCTTGGACGTAATACTAAAGCATGTTTAGCACTTTGTTTAGTATTTCATATCTCATCTAAACATGCTGATATTTTACGTTATGGTTGGCATTCTTTATTAGATTGTCTATTACAATTATTTCGTGGTAATCTTTTACCAAATGAATTATTGGAATCACAAGATTTCTTATCAAGTTCACGTAAAATTTGTATCACAACAAAAGGTTGTTGTATATCGTTGAAAAAAGATGCGAGAAATTCACGTCATTCATTGAAACATCGTCAAAAAACGTCGTCTTATTTAAATAATACTAAAGATAATCGGTAAGTTGTTGTTGTTGTTGTTGTTTTAAATTGTTACTTATGATGTTGTGTATAAATAAGACCAAGAGTGAGATGAGTGTCTACACTGTACCTCCCTTGAATTCCCCTCACATTTGGTTGTGCATGTATAGGAAGAATTTGATTTTGACCAATTTGGTCTCGTGTGGTGTTACGGGTAAGCAATGCTGTTTTCAGGAAACGGGTGCTAGGTAAGGATGGTAGATCAATAGATGAAGTGGTGAAACTCCATCAGTTGAGGTGGTTGGGACATATGTTACAAATGCCTAACCACCGACTGCCGCGACGAGCTATGTTTTGTGGTTTAGGAGTAGGTTTGAAGAAAGCTAGGGGCAGCCAAACCGAAACATGGCAGAAATCCATGAAGTCACTGACAAGCGGGCTGAGTCATGTTGGTAGATGTCGACTACCTGGCTGGGGTCCGCGAGACGAAAGCCACCAATTGTTAGAGACCTTGAATGACATGGTTCAAAATCGTTTGCGATGGCGCAAGTGCATCCATTCGTTTAGCTCTCTCAAATCCTAATCTTCTGGATTCGTCAGCACCTCTACCTTTGTCTTGAATAATATCTTCGAACCCTAGTCTTCTTCATTACCATTAATACCTCTACTATGTTTATCACTATGGGATTTGATTTGACATTTGCGTCTCTCTCTGTGCTAATGTGGTATGGAAACCTGAACTTATGTACATACGTACGAAGTTCTACGTTGCAACTGACTGACTCACTGACTGCATGTATAGGAACATTTTCAAAGAAATCCCATCAAATCAGTGACTTCTTGTGGCATGGTTGCTGTTCCCGAAATCGATAAGATAAATAGCGAATGTTTGACAAGTTGATGTGTACAGAGAAATGTTGGAGGAATATGGTCATTGCATAAAGCAATAGTGCAAACATGAGCCCGAGCAATTCGGCCATTTCGTCCTGGTATGGGACTCATCAACAGTGTTTATCCACGATTCCTGCCCCTCATAGGATTCGAACCCGGGACCTTCGGTATTGTGCGCGAACGCCTAACCTCTGAACCGCTGGGCCAGCATCCAGCCGTATTAAGGTCTAACTCTGATCAATCTAGAGATTTTGATTGACCTCACCTATTTGTCTTCGGTAGTTACTCGTTACGTCTTCTCACTAGAACTTCGAGAATTTCCACACGAAAACAGTCACTTGTGAGCATATTGTACGATCTTTTCAATTAGAGTTATAAAGATCAGTGTTTTTTCCACGTTGAAATCATCCAGAGGTTAGGTGTTCGTGCATGAGACTGAAGGTGTTGGGTTCGAATTTTCTGAGTCGTGGATACACACTGTTGATGAGTCCTATACCAGGACGAATACAGCCGTCCAGTGAGTGCTTCCAGGTTTCTTCTAATGGTGGTGGTCTAACAATGATTGATCGATAATTTCAACGTGTAATTATGAATGATGCATCTATTGTGAGTCACACCGGTCAATTTCTTGTGACAATCGTTGTTCCGGCTTTTTTTATATAAGTATTTCATAGATTCATTCATCAACATGTTTTTACTTGTGTTTGTGTGTGTGTTTATATTCTTGTCTTGTTTATGTTCTTCAATTGCATTTTAGAGAATTAGGTGTTTTCAGTTCATTCTATCAGTATTTAATGACTGGTTCTTCATGGATTGGTTCAAGTGATGACTCAGACAATGAACATCAACACGATGAAGATGAAGACGAAGACGACGAAGAGGACGAAGACCAAGACGACAACGTCGACCATAAATTTAAACCTAATCATCATCATCATAAAAATTTGAATGAAGTTGATCAAACCGATGAAATCAATGCCAATAAACACATTGAACTATCTTCATCATTGAATAATAGTAGTCAGTCAGTTAAAACAACAACGAATGCTGTTTCCGATGATAACAAATTCCTTCATTCATCTAAATTGATCAATAATCAAAATCATTTATTATCATCATTATCCTCGTCATCATTACTGATTAATCGTAGTCAATTAGATGAACAAACCGCGTGTCGTTTTGCATCGGAAATAGTTGTTCAATGTCATATTGAACAATTAATTGAAGATAGTAAATTCTTAGTGGATGCATCATTAATGGAATTAATTAAGGTATGTTGTTGTATGAAGTTCTAGGTTGTTCAAGTTGACTGACTGATTGATGATTCATGAAAGAGTTACGGTGATTGCTGTTATGTCTCATTTGAAATCATACATTGATCATTGTTTTAGACTATTCACCATTAGACGAAACATGGAAACACTGTTTAGACGGCTATCTTGTCCTTTACTTACTTACTTACTTTCGCCTGTTACCCCCAATGGAGCATAGGCCGCCGACCAGTTTTCTCTAACCAACTCCGTCCTGGGCTTTCCTTCGCCAGTTCTGTCCAATTTTTGTTCATTCTTCTCATGTCTTTCTCTATTTCTCGGTGTAATGTGTTCTTTGGCCTTTCTCTTTTCCTTTCGCTCTGAGGGTTCCGTGTCAGGGCTTGTCTTGTTACGCAGTTGGGTGCTTTTCGCAGTGTGTGTCCTATCCACTTCCACCGCTTCTTCCTGATTTCCTCCTCCACTGGAATCTGATTTGTTCTCTTCCACAGTAGGTTGTTGCTGATCGTGTCTGACCAACGAATCCGAAGTATTTTGCGTAGACAACTGTTAATAATCTGCGAAGTCCAGATCATCCATCTGCATTCTGGCTATCCATTTGATACCGTGCTTCACACCAGATGTTGACGTTTTCATAATTCAGTCGATCACCAGAATAAAATCTTGTCCTAGTATGGAACTATTCATCAGCATTGGTAATGCTCATCTACGACCCTCCTATCGAAGCCAGAACCTTCGATCTCGTGTGTGTCAGGATGCTTTATCTCTAGACCATTGAGCAGGCCGACACCCAACGTTATTGATGTTTGACTTCGATCAGTTCTATGGTCTTGTGCAACAACCTCATCCACTTTCTTCGGTGAGCACTACTTCACACCCGGACAGGATTGTGAACTTCATTAGTTACGAATTCTTGCTAGAACTTAGAGAAATGTCCTCACCGGAGCACATGATAATTTTCTTTTGAAATCATGAATCGGTCAGTGTTCGAGCAGCATTAGAAACCTGCTGACAAGTTCTATACCAGAACGAAACGGCCATCCAGTACTTCTAGTTTTGTGATGGTGGTCGAACAATGTGTCACTACTAATCAAACTTTTTATTATCGAGTTTTGAAGATTGTTGAGTCTTATTGAAATCATGAATCGATTATTGTTGCGCAATACTTTGGATCGATTGAAGTTCGATATTAACCTGGCTGAATGCCGACTCAGTGGTCTAGAGATGAGGCGTTAGCGCGTGACAGTGAAGCTCCTGGGTGTAACTCCTGTGATGCGCTCTGTTGATAAGTCCTATGCTAGGACGAAACGGCCATCCAGTGCTTTCATGTTTCTAGTGACAGTTGAACATTGATCGATTCATGATTTCAGTGCAACTAATCAAACTGTTCTATAAGTTAAATTAGGCGTGACCAATGCGCTAAAAGACTAAAAAACCATTGTTAGGCTTGGCATAATGTCTCAGAGGATGATTTAACTAATCTTCATCGCTATTGCATAGGCGACTAACTCTCTGAACTCAGTGGGAAAGTTAACGTGATACCATTTGAAGCAAACTGTACTGGGTTCAAGTTCTGGAGATTGATCCTTCACTCTATGTGATGCAGGCATGTCCATTTGACTAGTACCTAATTAGGACGGGACGCGCATCTTGGCTTCCACAGCTAACCAACATCGTTCTCTGCTAAAAGACTTTTACAACTGGTTGGTCGTTTCGACAAGCGATGTTTAGTGATGTACGAGTAGGTAGTCAGTGGCTGGTAAACCAATACATGTCACAAATCCATGAAATCACTGACAAGTGGCCTGAGGCATGTTGGTAAATGTAGACTACTTGGTTGGGATCCAGTTAGGATATTCATCTAATATCCTAAGAGAATTATTGTTCAATTCCTATTGGCTAATTCCTACTAGTCAATTTTATGGTCGTCCTAGATATCAATGTCACGTGCCCCAATGTTGTTTCTTATTGGTTGTCCTGACTATCAATGTCACTTCAAATATTGCTTCCTATTGGTCGTCTTAATTGTCAATGTCACAGACTTCGATGCTGTTTCCTATTCGACCAAAATGGCATAAATACGCATTATCTGTAACGTTTTATGATCCTTAGTCCGGAATCCTAATTCTCTTCTGAACTCGGACCTCGTACTTTCTGGACGCTCGTTGAATACAGGTTCTAATTCATATCAAGTCTTCTTATTTTTACTCAATATGGGATTGGGATAATCGGAGTTGAGTAGCATGTCGTGTCACCGAATCCTCGATCCTCACTCTCGTTTTTCCGACTAAGGTAAACTTGTAATAGTTCAAGCATATCAAAATGTCGTGTTTACGTGCAGGCGTAACAGATCCATGAGACTATAGTAACCGATGGTTTGAGACTTTGAATAACATGGCTCAAAATCGTTTGCAATGGCGCAAGTGCATCCACTCTTTGTGTTCTCTCAAATTCTAATCTTCTGAATTCCTTACGACCGTTTTTTCTCTTTTTAAACCTATTCCACTAAATTATACTTCTTGAATAATGTTTCCGAAGCCTAATCACTCTTTGTCTATTTGTACATTCATACTCGCATGTATTTTAATTATCAATTGTGTTCAACTATAATGTTTTATTTTCTACACAGGCTCTATTATGTGCTACACGAGGTGATTCTTCGATTACTCTTCCAAATAGTTTTGATTCTGATATGATATTCTCTATGGAAAGCTTACAATATGATGAATTTTCTCAATCAATGCATTCAAATATTGATTCCGGTCTACCGTCAACATCATCAGCAGCAACATCACCAGCACCACAACCATCAGTTCATTCAATTCCTCCATTGACTAGAACTGGTAGTAGTTCCACAGAAGTCGACCTATCCAACACCAGTGTTACAACACTAGATCGAACTCAGCCGAATCTACCAACAACAACACCAACACCATCGACTCATTTGGATACTTCACGTCATCATTATTATCATCATTATTCACCATGTATTCCAGTTGGTGGTGGTGGTACAACGTCGTCATTATCTCCGTCATCATCTGACAATTGTCGTGTATTCTGTTTAGAATTACTTATCCGTGTATTAATGCATAATCGTGATCGTTTAGTTGGTTTATGGTCATTAGTTAAATATTATCTTGTTGATATGTTATTATTACTGTCATCATCATCATCTCCATCATCGCCGTCATCGCCATCATCGCCATCCCCATCATTGGGGTATTCATCGCAACTTCTGATTGAACGAGTAATTGTTGGTTTTCTACGTTTAGCTATTTGTTTATTACGTCGACATGAAGTAACTAGTCAAGTGAGTTGAGTTGGTTTTTTGTTTGTTTTAGTAAACGCGTATAATGTACACATGTGCATAGGGCGCACTTCTAAAAATTACACTAATCGGAGTGTATATATGTATAGATGTGTGTGTGTGTGTGTTAGTGTACTGTCACATTATAATTCACTGAATTTTTGTTTGTGTGTGAGCTGTCTGGGCTATGTGTGTGTAGGGGTGTTACGCCTTCACGTAAACACGTCGAATTGATATACTTGAACTATTACGAGTTTACCTAGTCAGAAAAACGAGAGCGAGGATCGAGGATCCGGCGACACGACATACTACTCAAATCCGATTATCCAAACCCCCATAGTGAGTAAAAATAAGACAAGACTTGATATGAAGTAGAACATGTATTCTACAAGCATCCAGAAGGTTCGAGCTCCAAGTCCAGAAAAGAATCAGGATCCCGGACTAGGGATCCGGGACCGGGTCATAAAACGTTACAGATAATGCGTATTTATACATTTTGGTCGAATATGAAACAGCATCGAAGTCTGTGGCATTGACAGTTAAGACGACTAATACGAAGCAACATTTGAAGTGACATTAGTCCTGACATAGTCAGGACAACCAATAAGAAACAACATTGGAGCACGTGACATTGATATCTAGGACGACCATAACATTGGCCAGTAGAAATTAGCCAATAGGAATTGACAAATAATTCTCTTAGGATATTGGATGAATATCCTAACAAGGGTGTATCGTTTAAAATTGTTTGGAATGGTCCATGTGCCTCCATTCTTTGTGTTCTTTCAAATCCTAATCTTGTAAAGTTCATCGTGAGTTTTATCTTGCTCTTTCTTTTCGAATTTATTTCACTAGATTTCACTTGTTGAATAATATCTTCAAACCGTAATCTTTCTGATTACTTCTCATACTTCTACTACATCTACTACTACTATGTGGTATTATGGCAACTTGAACACTGATGTACTTATGTACTTACGAAGTTCTACGTTGTAGCTGACCTCTGTAGTGTGTCATGTAGGTAAGTGTAAGCCACCTGGTTGGGGTCCGTGACACAATAGTGATCGGTGGTTAAAGACCTTGAACGACATGACTCAAAATTGTTTGGAATGGCGCATGTGCATCCATTCTTTGTTTTCCCTGAAGTACTAATCGTCTGAATTCTTCATCGTCTATCTAAATATATTTCCCTGAATTATATCTTCGAACCGTAATCTTTCTGAATACTGCTACTACCTCTACTACTACTACTATGAGATTTGAATCGATAATTGCATTTCTGTGCTAATGTGGTATTATGGCAACTTAAACACTAATGTACGTACGTACCCGTACGAAGTTCTACGTTCTAGCTGACCTCGGGACTGTGTCATGTAGGTAAGTGTAGGGGCTACATGGTTGGGGGTCGGCGAGATGATAGTAACCAGATGATTAGAGCCGTTGAACGACATGACTCAAAATTGTTTGGAATAGTGCATGTGCATTCATTCTTTGTTTTCTCTGAAGTACTAATCTTCTAAAATTCATTATGAGCTTCATCTTTTTTCTTATTGAATTTGTTTCACTAGATAATATTCCTTGAATAATATTTTTGAACCGTCATATTTCTGATTATTGCTGATACTGCTTCTAGCTCTATTATTACTATGAGATTTGAATCGATAATTACTACTGTGTGTGCTAATGTGGGGTATTACGGCAACTTGAACACTGATGTACGTACGTACAAAACTCTTCGTTGTTGTAGCTGACCTCTTGAGGATACTGTTTGTATGGCCAAATCGAATTAGGTAGTTTTCTTAGAGAGATCACTCTTTTGGCCTTCGACCTACAGGTCTAATCCACAAGGCAGTAGAGCAACGCTAACAGATGCAGTCCAAACGGTTTCATACGCCATATGTTTCGTTAAGGCATTTGAGCCTATGTACACCATTGGTTTGGAATGAGGGCTATGCAGCTTACCTTGTTGGACCTTCCATAAGCCCAAACTTAATTAATCACTGGTCAGTCACTTTTCATCGTCTCAATTTCGTAAACCACAGCACTGAATAAAACTTTCCTGTCAGTGGTTATATGCTCATAGTCATAGGAGAGAGGATTTCGATAGGAAGTAAATGAACTCTCTCAACTGTCGATCGTACTTCTGCATTAGGGAACGATTTTTTTCAAATCGCTTTTAGTAATATCAATATATGTTTTGATTTTAAAATTGTTTCTTTTTTCTGGGTTGCAATCACTGACCAAAGTTATAGATTGTTTGATTTTACATATTGGAAATCTTATTCACTTATTGATATGCTTTGTTTGAAGAATGTTGAAAGGACAAGTAAACATTGGTCAAGAAGTGGATTTATTATTTTAAGGATGGCAAATCGATTGATAAAGTAATGAAACTTCATCAGTTGAGGTGGTTGGGAGATGTGTAACGTATGGCTAACCACCGACTGCCTCGTCGAGCTATGTTTTGTGGTGTAGGAGTAGGTTTGAAGAAAGCTAGGGGCGGCCAGAACAAAACATGGCAGAAATCCATGAAGTCACTGACAGACAAGTGGAATGAGTCATGTTGGTAGATGTAGACTACCTGTTTGGGGTCCGCGAGACGACCTTAAACGACATGGCTCAGAATCGTTTGCAATAGCCTAGGTGCATCCAGTGTTTGTCTTCTCCCAAATTCTCATCTTCTGACTTCTTTACGACCGTTTTTTCAGTTTTAGACTTATTTCACTGTGTTTTATTTCTCGAATAATATCTTTTCTAACCCTAATTTCTCCGATTATCGCTAATCTTGCTATATTACCTCAACTACTATGGGATTTGAATTGACAATCCGATCTGTTTGCGTGTATATATGTGCTAATGTGCACTGACAACTTGAACTGATCTACTTACGTTTCAGCCGACCGACTGATCATTCTTGTATTCTCACTAAGGTAGTCAGTTTTAAGTGAGCGATGTTAGTAGGAAGGATTTGATTTTGACCAATTTGGTCTCGGGTGCTGTTACGGGTATGAGGGCGGTTGTCACTTCCCGGCTGCACACACCGTGGAAGGGTGTTTCTTGAGGGACCTGAAAAGGAAGATAGATCAGTGTTGGTTTTAACGACCCGGGAGCGTGACCGCAGAGCCCCACGGACAACTGCCTGAGGCCGTTCACGCACGGCCTTTTTATTAAAGGTTTTTTTAGTATTAGCTCCGTTCTTAAAGGCCCTTAGTGGGCACCCCTACCACCGGAGACAGAAATCCGTGAGGTAGAGTGAGGTGTGACATTTTTAGGGTCGACCTTTTCTAACCCTTCCTTCCTTGTGAGAAGGCAGCATCGCTGCAGATTCTGGTTGTCCGAGGGAAACACCTTACTGCTGCTGTCACACCCCTCCATCACAGTCAGCAGTACGACTTCGCCCTCAGACCTTGAGTAGCTGCTTTTAGTCACATCGCTCTCCAATCGACCTGCCTAGCATGGTAGAACCTTTAGGAACATATGTTCCAGCCAATATCATCACGATAGGCAAGCCCGACCACCACGTCAAGGTAGCAGCACGTTTCACATTCAGACCTTGGACATTGCATGTTCAAACTGATGTATTTAGCAATATCATGACAGCTGTCTGAATTTTTAATTGATTCTCAAACTAATTAACTAATTGTGATTATTTTCAACTATTTTAGATATTTGCCACACTCTATTGGTTGCTGTTAAATCATGGTGAACAACTGATGTATTATGTCAATCAATTATCGGATGAATCACCGACACAAACAACCATCTCTTCACCGAAACTATCCAATTCACGTAATATGCAGAAAAAGCCTTCTACATTCTCTGTTCACCATACAGATATTAATAGTAGTGTATTGTTTAAACAAGGTTCACGTGTTGCTCAACAAGTAATTGGTGGTTTAACAGATCTATTAAGAAATCATTCTGCTGATTTACCGGATCCAATTACTGATTGGAAACTTATTTTCGGTTTATTAGAAATTTGTGGAGCTGGTCGTAGAGCTAGCATTCATTTGACACGTAGTAGAACAGTAGCGAAATGTAGTCGTAACAGTGAAGAAGAGATTTCATGTAAGTTAAAGTTTTTTTTTAGTTTTAGGCTATTACTTATATTTGTTCATCAGTTGAGGTGGTTTGGACATGTTGTTACAAATGCCCAACCACTGACTGTATCGTCGAACTATGTTTTGTGGTGTAGGAGTACGTTGTAAGAAAGCTAGCGGTGGCCAAACCAAAACATGGCACAAATCCATGAAGTCACTGACAGCTGGACTGTGTCATGATGGTAAATGCAGACTACTTGGTTGTGGTCCGCGAGATGATAATAATCGATGGTTAGAGACCTCGAAAGTTCAAAACCGTTTGCAATGGCACAAGTTCCAATCTTCTGAATTCCTCATCACCTCTATCTTTCTCTTTCGAAAGTTATCTCACTGAATGACTTGAATGAAACCCAACTTTTTTTTCTAAACCCCTTATGTTGATAAATATCATATGTTCACTAACGACTAACTTCCACAAGGTGAATTCTTAGACTTCTAGTGAGAAGCTGTGAAAATTAGAGTTCAACTGTGTCAAGTACGAGGCAAGTTACACACGGAACACAATAGATGAAGCTAAACATTAACACCGTTGGATGCCGGCTCAATGGTCTAGAGGTTTAATATTCGCACGCTAGGCTGAAAGTTCTATGTTCGATTCCTACTTGCGAATCTGCACTGCTGAAGAGTCCTATAACTAGAACGAAACGTCTCTCCGGTGCTTTCCGGCTTCTAACAGTGGTCTTACGTTGACGAGTCCGCGATTTCAGTGAATTCATTTCGTTTTTGAATATATGTGTGTGTAGATAAGAAACAGCTTTTCATGATTAAAATGAACGTAATCTTTAAGCATAGCTAGAACTTACCATAGTGTAGTGAAGGAGAACTCAGGTGGGGCGACCGAATTGTATTTAACGGAAATTACAGAGTTACTCAGTAAAATCGGAAAACCATATCGTAAATTGTTAATTTGCAAACTATCAGTTCATCATATCGAACTGGACTGTTCCTGTTGCAAAACATCAATCCATTGTCACTGTTCATGCGTTTCATACAAATTCCATTGTTTTCTAACTCTTCCTTTCTTGATCTTTCCCCATCTTCTGCTGCCAGACATTACGTTGACGCTCACGTCATATACTAATATAAGTAGCTCGCACCACACTCGTCCCCTCTTTTAATAAGCTGTCGTCGTAATCTTTCAAAACAGGGACCCTGGTCAGTTAATATCATCTTCCGTATTCCGTGACATGCTACAATATGCCGGATTACTACTTCGGTCATTGTTCCTGCCCGCTGGTCTGGAATGGGTACGGCATCTATCCAACTTGTAGCGTTTACTAGTTCCCGCTGCATGGACACGGCGGTAGGCACACTCGATAAACTGCGACGCCAACAACTGTGCCCCCGACTCCCCATCCGTGCTCGGCATCGTACGGCGCAGTAACATCGTGAGCTCCACAGCCAGCACCAACGGGTCACCACCAGCCGACAGCCTCGCCAACCGGAACCTCTGCGGCGCCTCCTCCCTGTCTGCCGGGCTGTCGAACTCCGTCATCAGCCGCCCGGTGACCGTCTCCCTCGCCGTCTTCCCGGCGGCACCGTCCAGCACCGTCCCGGCCCACGCCAGCCCCACCGCGGCCCCAAACTCCTCCAGGAAGCTCCGCAAATCTCCGTCCCCCAACTTCTTCGGTCACGGGAGCTCCTTCCTTCGAGCAGGCAGCGACACCAAATGAAATGAAGGAGAACACAGGTGGGGCAACGGGATTGTATATATATATAATTGTAGAGTTACTCAGACAAAATCGGAAAACCATATCTTTAATCGTTAATTTGCAAAATATCAGTTCATCATATCGAACTGGACTGTTCCTGTTGCAAAACATCAATCCATTGTCACTACTAATCATGCGTTTCAGACAAATTCCACTGTGTTCCCACTCTTCCTTTCTTGATCTTTCCCCATCTTCTGCTGCCAGACATTACGTTGACGCTCACGTCATATACTACTTATAAGTAGCTCACACCACAATAGGACCAAATTAATTATTCAGTTTTCACTATAGAGTTATGTGGATTGGTGTGTTTACACTAGTATTATGAATCGATCATTGTTAGACCACCACCATTTGAAACCTGGAAGCACTGGACGGCTATTTCGTCGTGGCATGGGACTCATCAGCAGTGCGCATCCACGACTCATACACCTCACAGGGCTCGAACCTAGGGCTTTCGGTTTTGCGTGTGACCGCTTAACCTCTGGACCACTGAGCAGGCGGCATCCAACAGTGGTCAACCTCTCTCATTGTCTTCGTTAGTTACTCCCTACACCGTTCACTACTTTATTCCGATGAACTTATTCATCATTTAACTTGTGGTGGCCGATTTCGACCGATTTCTTAATCTTCGTGATTAGCTCGTCCAAACAATCGTTGCTAGATAGCGTTTGACGGTTTATAAATCAGAAGATGAACACAAAATGTTGAATATGTTTATTTTTGACACACCACAAATAGAACAGCAGACAGACTACAAGCTCTATAAGATAAAATTGTCATGCGAGCGCCGGAAAGCAGGCAACCGAGTGAGCCAACTCTAAGAGATAAAACATAACTAGGAATTTATAGTCAGACAAAAATAAGACATTTGAAATCATCAATCAGTCATTGTTAGACCACCATTAGAAACCTGGAAGCACTGGACGGCCGTTCCGTCCTAGTATGGGTCTCCTCAGCAGTGTGCATCCACCACTCCTGCTCCTCGCAGGATTCGAACCCGCGAACACCTAACATCTGGACCACTGGGCCGGCATTCAACGGTGTTAATGTCTAACTCTGATTGATCTAGGGATTTTGCGCGACCTCACCCATTTGTCAGACATGTAGTAAGCGAATTAGGCATGTACACCACACATAAATACAAGCGACGAATGAGTGAGTGACAAGGTACAAAGACAAGTGAGACCAGGTCATGTAAGCTAAACACATTGAATAATGACTCACTACAAACTATCCTAATAATTAAATTACTTTATGCATGTATATACCTATCTGTGTGTGTATTCATTGAATGTAGATTCCAGTTCAAATATTCCACAAAAAACTGGCATCAATCATCATTCGAATCCGTATAAATCCAGTCGTGGCTATACAAGTGATAGTGAAGCACAACATACTATTGTTCATGAAGTCCCACCGTCAATTGGAACTAAATCATCATTACACTTATCCACTAGTAGTAGTACAGAGATGTTTGTATCGGGCAATACTACTACTACTGCTGCTACTACTACTAGTGAACCAATCCAGAAGAATACGTTGGCGAATGATGAAAATGTGAAAACAGATCATCTTTCCGAATCATATGAAGTGATTGCGAAACCGCCGTCTCTTATGGAAACACCACCACATCATCCAACCTGGATGAAATCATCACTTCTTATATCTCCTTCGGTTTTAAGTTATGATGTTGTCATTGGTACACGAGATCCAGTCACATTAGAACAAGCTGTTGATTGTTTAGCATTTTTAATTCGTGATCCAGCTCATATTACACCGGATAATTTTGAGGTTTGTGATCAATTATTTCTGTTGACAATGTTTATTAATTTTTTAAGTAGCACAGTATAAGTATAAGTTTGCTTGTTAATTTGTTTTGTACACATTAAAAAACAATTAGTCGCTTTTAATAAATTTTGTTAGAACACAATGAGAAGACATAATTGATCTGAAAAAATATTGTGATGTATTTGCGCCTTATAGATTTCGAACTATCTGGTCACAACGCATATATATATATATACACTTGTCAAGGCATTTTAGATGAAGATGAATAAAAGGTCACAGTCACATTAATAAAAGTTCAAATAGACATAAAGTGATAATTTACAATGTGTGACCATAAAATTGTTCGAAATGTCTGGAGCGCAAATACATCACAACATTTTTTCAGATCAATTACGTCTTCTCACCTCGATCGTAGCTATTACCTTGACGTGGTGGTCGGACTTGCCTATCGTAATGGCACATCCGAGCTATATTGGCTGGAATATATGTTCCTGTAGGTTCTACCATACCAGACTGGTCGATTGGAGAACGATGAGACTAAAAGCAATAACTTAAGGTTTGAGGGCGAAGTCGTACTGCTGACTGTAGAGGGGTGTGACAACAGTAAGGTATTTCCTTCGGACAATCAGCATCTGTAGCCATGCCGCCCTCTCACAAGGAAGGAAGGGGTTAGAAAAGTTCGACCCAAAGAATGTCATACCTCACCCTACATCATGGATTTCCATCTCTGAAAGTAAGGCCTTTTTAACAAGAACGGAGCTAACACTTCAAAAACTCATAAAAAGGTTGTGCGTGACCGGCCGCAAGCAGTTGTCCGTGGGGCTCTGTGGTCACACTGCCAGGTCGTTAAGACCAACACTAATGTACCTTCCTTTCCAGGTTCTTCAAGAAACACCCTTCCACGGTGTGGGCAGCCGGGAAGTGACAACCGCCCTCATACCCGTACCAGCACACGAGACCAAATTGGTCACAATCAAACTGACTGACGTCTTCTCACTGTTGCGTACACCAGGTTTAAAATTTTATTATAGGGGAGTGTTGGAATATGCCTTGTCACAGAGGCCTATAAGTTCGTTTTTTAATTATCCGAATGGGGCTGAATAGAAGCTTCTCTGAAACGTCTAAAATATTAAAGAGGAATTCCCTTATCATTTTTCGATCCAATAATTATTTATGTTACTACTTTTAGTATGTTTTTTTCTAAAAGGCTAACGCCATGTTAGAAGCCTATAAACACACTCGATTCTCTCTGCACATAAACCTGAGGCACAAAGCTGATATCTCCTTGTTCAAGTTGAAATATTATTAGAAGTAACCTGAGGCTGCATATCAAATTCTCACACTCCTGAAATGGGATGCAGCCAGAGTTTGTGTATTTCTGATTTGTATTACGGGGTTGTGAAGATTGTTAAGTTACACATTTTTCGAAACCATGAATCGATCAATGTTAGACCACCATTAAAAATCTGGAAGCACTGAAACAATGCCGTTTCGTCCTGGTGTGGGACTCATCAGCATCGCGCATCCACGACTCCTACACCCCTCAGGATTCGAACCCGGGACCTTCGGTATTATGCTCGAACGCCTAACCATCGGACCACTGAGCTGGTATCTAACGGTGTTAATGTCTAACTCGGTCGATTCACAGAGTTGCGCGATCTCATACACAGTCTTCGGTAGTTACTGTCTACACCCGAACAAGTTGAACTTCAGTGGTCACGTCTTCCAGCTAGAACTCGGAGAAGATTCCTCACGAAGCTAGTGACTAGTGATTTGCATTACGGGGTTGTGAAGATTGTTAAGTTGCACATTTTTTGAATCCATGAATCGATCATGGACGCGCACTGCTGAGGAATCCCATACCAGGACGAAATGGCCGTCCAGTGCTTCCAGGTTTTTAATGATGGTCTAACATTGATCGATTCATGGTTTCAAAAATATTTCTGAATTGTTTTAAAGCATTTGTTCAATTATTTGTTATGCTCGTCAATTGATATGCTTGAACTATTACAAGTTCACCTTAGTCGTTAAACGAGAGCTAAGACAAATGATCCATTGACATGATAGGCTACTTTAATCCGAGCGTCTCAAGCCCCCACTTACGGTATCGAATAGTTTTGATATGGCGTAGAAATGGTTTTCTACAAGCACATAGAAAATATGAGGTTTTGTGCAGAAGACGAAGAAGAGGAGCATAAAACTTTACAGACAATGCATATTTATACAGTTAGGTCGACGACTGTGAATACTAACCAATAGGAAACAACATTTAAAGAAGTATGTGAATTTGATAGTTTAAAAAGATGACCTTCAATATTGACCAATAGAATTAAACTTACAAAATAATTTTCTTTTCAAGGATATTTGAATCATCCTAACAAAAATTTTGTTTTATTTTTATTAGTGTGCAGTTCAAGCATTACGTGTTTTTGTGGAAACTTGTATTAGTTTACCATTGAAAAATACAACAACAAATAAAGTTCTGTCTTCTTCGCATGCTAAAACGGAATCAAGTCCTCCTCCTCATCATCATCATCAGCAGCAACAGCGACATCGTCGACGTTCTGATCATTCGAAATTATCAACAAAAGATTATCATTCTAATTATTATACCTTGTCTGATTCAGATACAGATAATGAACTACAACCGCCACAACGACATCTACAACAACCACATTATGAACATGGTAAAATGAAAACATTAAGGAAAGGTGTGATATTTAGTGAATCAGCACTTAGTCCAGTGACTAGTGTTATTGCTGTCCAGGTAAATAGATTAGTATTTCTTACTACTTCATATATATATATATATATATATATATATATATATATATATATATAACTATACCAAGCTCATTCAAAACTTTTAGACTTTTGTAACTTTTAAAAATCACCCTTTCTGCCTATAAAATTTTTACCTACTTTTACGCAGAATTTTACCATGACTGCTCACCTATTTCTGACATTTTTCTCTACTTTTCCATTTTTTTTATAATACTACCCCCTTACAACATATTTTCGACCTTACAATCATACGTTCAAACAGGTCATTTCACCGAAATAAAAGCATCATAACTAAGCCTCTCTAACCCTGTGTTTACTTAAGCAAACCACCATGAACCTTTAAAACCAAAATAACAAAAATAGCATAGAAGTAATAGAACTTACCAGAACAACCTCAGAAATAGCTATAGCCGTTGTACACTGATCCCACTTAAATAAGCTAGCCCGACCCTATCTCCGATACTGTAGTGAAAGAGAACACAGGTGGGGCAACCGAATTGTATTTAACGAAAATTACAGAGTTACTCAGTAAAATTGGAAAACCATATCGTAAACGGTTAATTTGCAAAATATCAGTTCATCATCATATCGAACTGGACTGTTCCTGTTGCAAAACATCAATCCATTGTCACTCACTATTCATGCGTTTCATACAAATTCGATTGTGTTCCCACTCTTCCTTTCTTGATCTCTCCCCATCTTCCGCTGCCAGACATTACGTTGACACTCACGTCATATACTACTTATAAGTAGCTCACACCACAATACTGCCATCAGTAAGCATAGACTGTAAAACATACCGGTACAGCTATCAGAAATACTAACCGTATCCAATCACTGTTTCGACTGCCGTCTCGCTGACCCTAACCAGGTAGCCTACATCTACCAACATGACTCAGTCCACTTGCCAATGACTTCATGTATTTGTGCCATGTTTTGGTTTGGCCGTCCCTAGCTTTCTTCTAATCTACTTCTACACCACAAAACATAGCTCGACGAGGCAATCGGTGGTCAGGGAATCACATTGGAATCATAAATGAATCACTGTTCGATCACTACTTATTCTCAATCTATTTTATATTTTTTTTCTCACAGCTTTTAGATCTAATCAACATTTTATTCACACGTGCTACATCAATCTATAGAGAATGGACAAGAATTATTTCTAATCAAATAACAACTCCTTCATCTATTACTAACACACATTTACATGTTAATGAAGATTTGTCATTAAATCCGTCAGATAAAGATGACACACATAGATCTATACAACCACAAAATGAATTAGATGAAGTGATAAATTTAAATCATTTATGGACTATATGTTGGTGTCCATTATTACAATCCACTGCACGACTGTGTTCGGATCAACGTCGTGATGTACGTATGGATGCATTGACTTATTTACAAAAAGCATTACTATCACCTACGCTACATTTATTAACTGGTAAACAATGGGAATATTGTTTTAATCAAGTAAGTTATATATATATTTATTATTATTATTATTCTTATATTTGATGACAGACAAACCGACAGACAGACAGATTCAACGCACAGAACTTCGTACTGTAAGTACATATCAGTTCAGGTTGCCACATACCACAACATTAGCACACAGAGACGTGACTGTCGGTTCAAATCCATGATTGCTAGCGATAGTAGAAGAAATATTAGCAGTAATTGGAAAAGATTAGGGAGCGAACAGATAATTCGATTTTGACCAATTTGGTCTCGTGTGCTGTTACGGGTATGAGGGCGGTTGTCACTTCCCGGATGCCCACACTGTGATTATATTTGATGAGCAAAATTATGATGCATTGATCAATGCGTAGTGGATTGCTGTTTTTTTTTTAGAAACTTGACATCTGTTTAAATGAATCGTTTTGTTCTAAGTGTAGGACTGAGTCATGTTGGTAGATGTAGACTACTACCTGGTTACGGTCAGTTAGTTAGTCACAATGTTGAACTTCGTAAGTACCTACATCATTCTCTCATGAACTTTTACCATCTTTTTTTAAACTTTTCGTTACTGGATTATATTTCTGGTTAGCGTGTGGTGGCTTAGTTACTGCGTGTTTTTATGCTTCATAATTAACTCGTTCAGACAATCGTTGCCAAATAGCGTCTGACGGTTTATAAATCAGAAGATGAATTCGAAGTAATGAATACGTTTATTTTTGGACACACCACAAAGCGAAGTTGAAAAGCAGCGAACAAAGCGTATGAAACGACGTGAATTGGAGAAGGCTAACGAGCCAACTCAAAGAGATAGAGCGTGACTAAGAATATATAGTCAGACAACCATAAGACAGACATGCGACAAGCGAAATAGGCACACATGAATAAAAGCGACGAATGATTGATAAGGTCAAACAACAAGTGGGACACGTCATGTGAGCTCATCATACAAACCAGACAATAATAAGAACGAATAGTACATATAAATTGTTGCAATACAAATTATGGCTTGGTTAAATAAAAATAATCGAAAGGGCTTAACCAAATTAAATGTAAGCGAACTGAAATGTGTGTGGAGGCACTACAGTTCAACTGTGTCAAGTTTGAGTTAGTTACTCACCGAAAACAAACAGATGATTGTTACTCAATATATCGCCAACTAACTAAAGTGTTAGACTGTGAACACAGTTAGATATTGGCTGAATGGTCAAAAGGTGCTGTTCGTTTAAGAGATTATTGAAAGTCCTTAGTTTAAAATCTGTTTGTGGGGGGATCATGTATACGCTGTATTGCTGATAAGTCCCATCATACTCAGTTAGTCAGACACAATGTAGACCTTCGTACGTACGTTGATTAGTGTTCATGTTGCCATATCATATTAGCACAAAGATCGAATTGTTGTTTCAAATTCCATAGTAGTAGATGTACTAGAAGTATTAGCAGTAAAGTTAAGGGTTACAGTTTGAAAATATGGTTCAAGAAGTATTATCCTTACTCACTTACTGATTTACTTACGCCTATCACCCCCAATGGAGCATAGGCTGCCTAACAGTGTTATCCAACTTACTCTGTTCTGGGCTTCCCTTTCCAGTTCTTTCCACTTTTAGTTCATTCTTCTCATATCTTTCTCTGTTTCTCGGCGTAATGTGTTATTCGGCCTTCCTCTTTTCTTTTTACCTTGAGGGTTCCATGTAAGGGCTTGTCTTGTGACGCAGTCGAGTGCTTTCCGCAGTGCGTGTCCTATCAACCACTTCCACCGCTTCTTCGTGATTTCCTCTTCCACTGGAATCTGGTTCGTTCTCTCCCACAGTAGACTATTACTGACGGTTTCTGGCCAACGAATCCAAAGTATTTTGTATAGATAACTGTTAATGAATACTTAAAATCTTCTTGATGATGTCTTTCGTAGTTCTCCATATGATAGAACTGTCTTGGCATTTGTATTAAAATTTATGATTTTGGTGTTGATTGATAGTTATTTGGAGTGTGGTGGTGTTTCGTTCTCTGAGCTGGTTGTTTTGGTTGTGGAGCTTTTATTGTTCTTCTGAACAACATCACCAGCACAAACTTCAGATAGAAGTGAGGTATTCGAATTTCTCCACGTGTGACCTGTAGCTTATTCTGCTAACCTCAATCTTGATTGGTTGCTGTTGACCTTTGGCCTGTTTGTTTTGATTGCCTCCCCCTTTTGATCTGTTTCTTGATCCTGTGTCACCTATGATTTTCCTGATTAGTTGATAAATTGGGTCAATGTCGAACGAAACACCACCACAATCATCCACCTGAGCTACAAGTTTTCTCCACCATCTCAGTTATTTGGAGTTCCAGATGTTGTTCAATTGTAGGAATACAGCCCTTACTTGGCCAATACGGGCCCTTATATCTGCATCCGATCCACCTAAGTTGTCGATGATACTGCCCAGATATGTAAAGGTGTTAACATCCTCAAGAGTGATTTGGATGGCACATGTAATGTTGTATCAGAGAATCTTGCTTTTGCCGTTGTGTAAATTGAGACCTGTTCAGGTTGCTGCTACTACACTGGTGCATTTGTTGTTACATGTGCAATAGAAGAGCTATATCATCTGCGAAGTCCAAATCGTCTATAGCTGCATCCTGGCTGTCCATTCGATACCATGTTGACGTCTTTATAATCCAGTCGATCACCAGGTCAAACGCTTGTAGTGCCTCCACACACATTTCAGTTCGCTTACATTTAATTTGGTTAAGCCCTTTCGATTATTTTTATTTAACCAAGCCATAATTTGTATTGCAACAATTTATATGTACTATTCGTTCTTATTATTGTCTGGTTTGTATGATGAGCTCACATGACGTGTCCCACTTGTTGTTTGACCTTATCAATCATTCGTCGCTTTTATTCATGTGTGCCTATTTCGCTTGTCGCATGTCTGTCTTATGGTTGTCTGACTATATATTCTTAGTCACGCTCTATCTCTTTGAGTTGGCTCGTTGTTAGCCATTCTCCACATCGTTTGCTTCGCCCATTCGTTCACATTGTAATCCTAGGAGTTGGTTCATTAGCCTTCTCCAATTCACGTCGCTTCATTCGTTTTATCCGCTGCTTCTCCACATCGCTCCATACGCTCATTCGCTTGCCAGTGTACACTACAGAACTCCACTGTTTACTATAGGACGTTGAGAATTATTATTCCCTCGCTAATCTAGTGAGTATCGACCATTTTGCGAATAAATTCTAGTTTACTTAAATCGAAAATTTTACTGGAATATACAAATGCATACTTGTAGCAATAGTACAATTTTTTTCTCATAAACCATCTGGTTTTAAAGTATATTTATAATAATTTGTGTGTGCGAATTCGTTCTCAATTACCGTACTCAACTTCATGTCTTTTTCATTCATTTTTTGTAATCAATAGAAGACTATAAAATCAATAATTCAACGTGTTATTTAACCTGTTAGAAGAACAATATCAACTATGAATTCTTTTTATTATAGAGTTATGAAGATTATTGAGTTTTACTGAAATCATGACTCAATCATTGTTAGATCACCAGCAAGAACCTGGAAGTACTAGATGGTACTCATCAGCGGTGCACTCGTGGGACAGACAGAGATACAACGCAGAACTTCGTACATAAGTACATCAGTTCACGTTGCCATTCCCCATCAGCACAAAGACGCAACTGTCAGTTCAAATCCAACAGTGATAGCAATAATAGAAGTATTAGCAGTAATGAAGAAGATTAGGGAGCGAAGATATGATTCTAGAAGTGTAAATTTAGAAAGGAGAAAGATAGAGATTATGAGGAATTCAGAAGATTAGGATTTTGGAGAGCACACAAAGAGTGGATGCACCTGCGCCATTGCAAACGATTCTGAGTCATGTCATTCAAGGTCTCTAACCATTGGTGACTATCGTCTCGTGGACTCCAACCATGTAGCCTACATCTACCAATATGACTCAGTCTACGGCACTCGTGGGAATCGAACCCATGGCCTTCGGTCTTGCGCACGAACGCTTAACTTTAAGACCGCTGAGTCGGCCGGCATCCAACAGTGTTCATGTCCAACTGTAATCAATCCTTGATTGATTGCGCTCAACCTTATTCATTGTCTTCAGTAGGTAACTAACTGTTTACACCCGACAGGGTTGTACTCCATTGGTCATGGCTTACTGGATCGAAACAGCCGTCCAGAGTGCTTCCCAGATTTCTTAATTATGGTCTAACAATGATCAACCCATAATTTCAATGACATGTGAATTTACCACTTATCTGTTTCTTTTCTCTTTTTTTTAGGTTTTATTTCCTCTATTATCTGGTTTCTTAGAAACTATTCCATTTGAAGAACAACAAGTTGGCGGTCAGAATACAAAACAATTGCATACAATTGAATTTGCTGATCCACGTATGCGTGCTATTCCATTGTTGACTAAAGTATTCTTGCAACATCTTCGTCCATTATATGAATTAGACAGTTTTAATACCATATGGATACGTATGCTTGCCTACATGGAACAATATATGTTGGCTAGTAGTAATTCTGATTCATTGGTCAGTTTAAATTCTAAACAGTATTTTGATTGGTATCATTTGGTTTAATGGTTTCATATAATGAATGTTTTTTTTTAGTAGAGGTCGGAGGCGAAAGGTGGTGGTCATGCCATTGAAATTAGTTAGATACGCAAACGGCTAGCCCTAGATCGTCCATCAAGAGCAGAAAATCTTACCCTTGACATCTGGCTTGATACCTTCAACCTACCAGCAGCCCCCCCCCACACCAGAAGAAACCCAGCAGCAAGCTGATCTCCGGCGAACAACAGTCAAGATGCAGGTCGACCCCAGGAGCGCACGCTATTAAAAAGGGACTGAGGAGTGTTGGGGATGTTAGATCCCCAGAACTCACTTGATAAATATCTTTATTTTGGATTTATTTCATGGACCAATCAGTTAGTTGACCTTGCGATCACATTTCTCACCAAGAAAATCCTTGGCTGTGATTAGTTACTGTGTTATTTTAGTGTGCTATTTTTTTGACTGTCTCTGAAGGACGTCTCTATATAGAGTATAAATAAACGCAATTTGAGTGCTTTGATTGATTGTGTGCGTTGGCTGGGTGTTTGTAGAATACACTTTCTACACTATATCAAGACATTGGGTCAAGGGATCATAGTAGCCTACCTGGACGCGCTGGTTCATTGTTTTGTTCTCGTTATTCGACTAAGATGAACTCGTAATAGTTTCAAAGCATACCTGGAGACGAGTGTAACAATTAGCATTATTTTGTGTATAACTTTAATTTATGAACTGAGATCAAGGTTAGATGATCATTGAAAATGTGGAAGCTGCTACCACAGTTGTTTCGTTGTAGTATGGGACTCTTCAGCAATGTTCATCCATGATCACCCCCCCCAGTATGTGGAAATCAAGAGAGGGCCCTGCTTTGGCGTTATTTTAGCGAGTTAGTTTGTTACTGGATGGGATCACTAGCAACCTCCCCCCCCCCATGCCAAACTCTCTTCCTATATCCGGGCTTGAGATTGGTAGTGGCTCTAGAGGAGTTCCGGGTGGAGTTACGGGTATGAACATTTAGCCTCTAGACTTCTGAGCCAGTTTATATCTAATATAAATCAGTCTAAAATATCGCAGCAATAATCATCCATTATACTCGGTGAGTAATTCAGTCATTTACACCATAGAACTTCATACGTACGTACCTAAGTTCAGGTTGCTTAAGATTTCTGTCTAATAATTACATAGTTTTCACTATAGATTTGTGAAGATTATCAATTTTCATGGGAAATGTGGATCGATCAATGCTAGATTCATGATGCAATGCTGACTGAAGACAGTGGACGAAGTTGCGCAAGGCTGTGGATTAATTGAAGTTAGACTTTAATACTGTTGGATGGTGTAGAGACTAAGCATTCGCTTGAGATAATTAATATTCTGGGTTCGATTTAAGCGACCTGAGGTCATGGATTCGCGCTGTCAGTGATGAGTTCCATTCTAGGATGAAATGGCCTTGCAGTGCTTCCAGGTTTTTGAATGGTGGTCTATTCCGTGAATAGTTGAACTTTGCTTCTCACTAGAACCCCAAATAATTCCCTATAGATTTATCAAACACTTTTAAGTACGAATTTGTAGCCTTTTATTTCAATCAATTTGGTCTCGTGTGCTGTTACTGGTATGAGGGCGATTGTCACTTCCCGGCTGTCCACATCGTGGAAGGTTGTTTCTTGGGGGACCTGAAAAGGAAGGTGGATTAGAGTTTGTCTTAGAGACCTGGTTGCGTGACCGCAGAAACCAAGGGACAACTGCTTGAGGCCGGTCACGCACGGCCTTATTATGAAAGGTTTTTTGAGTATTAGCTCCGCTCTTGAAAGCCCTTAGTGGGCACCCTTACCGCTGGAGACGGAAATCCGTGAGGTAGAGTGAGGTGTGACATTTTTAGGGTCGACCTTTTCTAACCCTTCGTTCCTTGTGAGAAGTCAGCATCGCTACAGATGCTGATTGTCCGAGGGAAACACCTTACTGCTGCTGTCACACCCCTCTACAGTCAGCAGTACGACCACGCCCTCAGACCTTGAGGTTGTGATTTTAGTATCAACGTTATCCAGTTGTCCTACCCGGCATGGTAGAACCTTCAGGAAGATATGTTCCAGCCAGTATAGCTCGGTTGAGTCATCACGATAGGCAAGTCCGACCACCACGTCAAGGTAGCAGCAGCCTAAGTCATTGATTTTATCAAAAAAAAGAAAATCTCTTTTACTAACATCTTATTTCTTTTAAATCACCTGGAATTACAACTGTATTTTTCTCTGCCGTGCGCCTACTATTGTGTGTATTACTTATAAGAATTTTCCCCGCTAGATAAATTACATTACATCAACGTTCATAGTCAACTTTAACTCAATCCAAATCGATGATTGTTACGCACGCACGTAAACATGTCATTTTGATATGATTGAACTATTACGACTTTACCTTAGTCGGAAAATGAAAGCGAGGATCAAGGATCCGGCGACACGACATGCTACTCTAATCCAATTGTCCCAATCCCCCATTGAATAAAAGAAGAGGACTTGAAATGAAGTCGAACGTGTGTTCTACAAGCATCCAGAAAGTACAAGGCCCGAGTCCAGAAGAGGCTAAGGATCTTGGACTAGGGATCCGGGTTATAAAACGTTATATATATAGTCAGGGCGACCAATAGGAAACAACATTTGAAGTCTGTGATATTGATAGTGTTAGGACGACCATAATATTGACCAGTAGGAATTAACCAATAAGAACTGACCAATAGAATTAGACTCACAATTCTCTTAGGCTATTGGATGAATATCCTAACAATGTGATGCTAAACATTGATTTCTATTGTTTTGTTTTCAATTTAATAAGATGGATGCTGTACGTGAATCATTAAAAAATGTTCTACTAGTCATGTGCACTGGTACACATGATCTCAATCCAATTCTGATGAAAAATGCTCCACCAAATTCTAATTCTGCTATTCTATGGGAATTAACAGAAAAACATTTATCCACATTTTTGCCTGAATTATTAGAACAATTATTCCCGAAGGCGCATTCAACTGATCCACCATCATCACCGCTCCTATCAGCATCATCACCTCCCCCGCCGACAACATCATCAGTAGTAGTAGAACCATGTTCAACAACTGCATTGAATAATGATGATGTTGTTGTTGAAGAAGATTCTACACATCATCATCATGAGTCGTCATTTAATGCTGATCATTCAAGTACTACAGTTGATCAAAGTAATTACTACTTTTTATAACATTTTCTAATTAAGTGTTTACAGTCTCTGTGTGTATATATATGTGTGTGTTTATATGTATATGTAGGTTGATATGTAGTATTAGTAGTATAGTAGTGAAAAGGAAAATTTAGTTCAGGTCAGTCAGTTAGCTGCAACGTAGAACTTGGTATGTGAGTACGCACATCAGTGTTCAAGTTGCTATTATACCACCTGGAACCCTTAAAGCAAAAGGAAGGCCAAGGAACACATTATGCCGAGAAATAGAGAAAGATATGAGAGGAATGAACAAACATTGGACAGAACTTGAAAGGGAAGCCCAGGACAGAGTTGGGTGGAGAAAACTGGTGGGCGGCCTATGCTCCATTGGGGGTAACAGGCATAAGTAAGTAAAGTAAAAGCACAGATAGACATGGAATTGTCAGTTCAAATCCCGTACTAACTCTTCTACTATTGGATTTGAATTGACAATTACATCTCTGTGCTGATGTGGTATGGCGACATGAACTGATGTACTTACGTACGAAGTTCTACGTTGCAACTGACTGAGTAGAAGTATTAGTGGTGATGGAGAAGATTAGAGATCAGAAATATGGTTCTATAAGTATAATTCAGTGAAATCTATTTAAAAAGAGAAAAGATGATCATGAGGAATTTAGAATTTTCTGAGAACACAAACAATGGATGCATCTGCGCCATAACAGTGTACTTTTTGAGCCATGTCATTCAAGGCCTCGAACTATCGGTTACTATCGTTTTGCGGACCTCAATTAGGTAGTCTACATCTACTAACTTGGCTCAGTACAGGTGTCAGTCACTTCATAGATTTGTATCATGTTTTGGTTTGACCGCTCCTAGATTTCTTCTAGCCTACCCTTTCAAGTCCTGCATTAAACCAAAGGATTGACTATCCCGCTAGGTCAGCCGTGAGATTGCCATCAGGTACTGGACTGAACGCTCGCACTCAGCCAAACTGGACTATTCCCACCACAGTGGATGGGCAGACGTCATGCTCAATCAAGCGTCAATCGGCGCAGCATGCCAACCGTCAAACTGAAGACTCTTTTTAAGGGGCCTCGAGACCATTCGACACAGTACTCCAAGGTATACCGTTCAGGGAACCACATAGGGCCGGTTGTCACATAGTCTAGGATCTGTACGACTGCTTCCCTGAACATAGTCCAAGGCCGCTTTAATAAAGCTGGAGCTACTCTTCATTTAAGGTATTTACTACAGCATATCAAGCTCCGAACCACCATTCAGCTTCACAAGAAAATGAAAGATGTGAAGTCCTCAAATCATTATATTAACTGGGTAGGGGTGACCATCAATGCTTCGACGTACCAATGTCCCACGGACAAGGCATAAAGTTGTCTACAGAGGATTTAGTATCCTCACGCTCATACCAACATTAGATATGGTTTCGACCCCCGTACCCTAAGAACTGGAGCACGTTTAATGATCGGGTATAACACCTGACCTGATGGGCCAAGACGAAACCGGTCAAGACACCAGCAGGAATACGTAGGCTGTATACAGCTACGTTTCAAATACACTGTAATTTCACTGGATGAATGAGAGACAGACTTAAAGGCATCCAGTCTGAATACCACAGGTTGACAGTTTCGCATCAACGCTCTCGTTCCTTGTAGACTCATACCGCTTCTCTGCACCATGCTTAGCATGGTGTGCGCAGCGACCGGATATGCGACAGTTGATCTCAGCACCTGTAAGCAATGTCACGTTTCTAGCTGGACCACAAAGAGGTAGTCGCCACATCAACTCCCAGAAAGCCCTACTTATGCCCCACCTATTACTCAGTTTAATGACGAGGCATTTGGCTACCTTGAGAATCATAGCTACTCCCGTCACTAGTAAATATGCGATTACAGTAAATATCTTAACTGTGTATCACACATTTTCTTGTTGGCTGTTTTTTCCTCAATAGTTCCAATCGAATCACCGACTGTAGAGACGAAACAATCACCACCATCGCCACTGCAACCACCACAGTGTGATGATATCAATCCTCATTCCAATAGTCCAATCATCCTAGCAGACCAACACTATTCATCAAATCATGATGACCTAAATAAATCTTCAATGGAATCCTATGAAATGAAACTATCCAATCAAAATAGTTCAGCGACAATTTATAATTTATAAGAGAATAATAATGAAATTAGATTTTTTTTAAAAATATGAAAACTTGGATTATGTGTATGATGATGTGTTCACTGACACCGCCACAACCTCTGTCGTCCCTGCCCCGGCCGGCCACGATTTTCTTACAGAGACTACTACCATTCTTTTTTTATTATTAACCCCTCTCCCGTCCGTAAATTCTTTCTACCTTTCTACATGTGTGTCCCCTTCCTTCCTTCCTTTTTTTAACTTATCATATAAGTTATGTATAAAATTAGAAAACTCTTCCAGTCAATCAACCAACCTCTTCTTCTTCTTCTCACCTTGAATTATTGACTTTTACTGACAAAATTGTAATCTATTTGATGATAAACTAACATTTCATGTCAATTATTGTGATGTTTGTTTGCGTGTACGTGTGTGTGTTTGTTGGTTGTTTTAATGTATCATCCCACTATGAAATTAGCGCTCAAATCAAATTTATACCTCTACGACGACTACTACTGCGCATTGTTTGTATATTTCGAAAACTGTTTCTATTGTACAAATTTTCTTTTTTTTTCTACTACCTATTTGGAATTCATCTTTGTGATTTTTTGTTCTCTCTCTCTTTTTTTTCTCCCGCTAAAATCGATGACGATGACGACAATTATTATTATTGTGATTATTTTTATCATTGTCATGTTGGTTTTTTCTTACTTACTTACTTACTTTCTTTGTCAATTTTTTGCTTATTCTCAATTATTGAAATAATAAATTGAATACTGACCAACATGAACCCGGTAGATCTTTGTCGCCATCAGGTTTGTTGCTCGAGATTTAGATGATAAATGTAATCACACATTGAAATCATGAATCACAATCATTGTTAGACCAGGTAGTCTTCTGACTACCATAAGCAACAATGCAATCATGTTCGGGATGCGGTTTTTCCCTGTCGAAATGCAAAATATTACTTCAAGATTGGGTTAGGGTGATAGTGAGGAAGTGAAGTAGTTGAGCATGTAGACTGCTTCACTTATCTGCGGAGTCTCATCAGCGCTGATAGCCTGGTGTCTGATGAAATCTCAGCACGGATACAGAATGCTCGATTTGCTTCTGCCAACCTGCGTCGCTTATGGCGTAGGTGAGATATCTGTTCGCTAACCAAAGGACGCGTGTACTGCGCATCAGTTCGCTCTGTTCTCCTATATGGCTGTGAAACATGGCCGTTAAGAGTAGATGTTCGTAAGTTACTAGTATTCGATCATAGATGTTTAAGAAGCATTGCTTGTATATCGTGGGACAACCGAATAAGCAATGTTATCCTTAGGAAACTAGTACTAGGTAAGAATGGCAGATCAATAGATGAAGTATTGAAACTTCATCAGTTGAGGTGTGGTTGAGACGTATAGCTAACCACCGACTTCCTCGACGAGCTATGTTTTGTGGTGTAGGAGTAGGTTGGAAGAAAGCTAGGGGCGGCCAGACCAAAACATGGCAGAAATCCATGAAGTCACTGGCTAGTGCACTGAGTCATGTTGGTAGATGTACGATACGGTTGGGGTCCGCGAGACGAAAGTCACCAATGGTTAGAGACCTATTCTTCTTCTTCTTCATTACGATTAATACCTCTACTATCTTTATCACTATGAGATTTGATTTGACATTTGCGTCTCTGTGCTAATGTGGTATAGCTTTCTGAACTGATGTACTTATGTACGAAGTTCTACGTTGCAACTGACTGACTGATTGTTAGACCATCATCAGCGATAGGCAACTGGAAGATGGTCGTTTTATCTTGATTGGTATGAGACTAGTACTTATCAGTGGCAGTGCGTCTATCTACGACACTTGCTACTTGGGGGACCTTCGGTGGTTTTGTGCTCGAACGTCTTATCTCTGAACGATTGCTTAGTCGGCTGTCATCTAACGGTGTTTGTTACTAATGTACGTCGATTGTTATGTTTGAATGCTATTACGAGTTCTCTTTAGTCGGTAAACAAGAGCGAGGATTCGGTGACACGACAGGTTACTCTAATTCAAGTATCCCTAACCCCAATTGAATAGAAGAAGAAGACTTGATATGAAGTAGAACATGTATTTTACAAGCACTCGGAAAATACGAGGTCTGAGTCCAGAAGAGAATAAGCATCCAAACCGTAAAACGTTACAGACAATACATATTTATACAGTTAGGTCGAATAGGAAACAACATTTCAAGTCTGTGACATTGATAGTGTTAGGACGACCATAAAATTGACCAATAGGAATTGATCAATAATTCCCTTAGGATATTGGATGAATATCCTAACAAACATGAGAAAAGACAAAAAATGAATGCACATGCACCATTGAAAACGATCTCGACCCATGTCATTTAAGGTTTCTAAAAATGGGTTACACTTATCTTGCGGACCACAACTAGGTAGTTCTCACCTACGAATATGACTCAGTCCAGTTGTTATGACTTCATAGATTCGGGCCTTGTTTCGTTTCGGCTGCCAAACCTAATCCTACGTCGCGCAACATAGCACACATCAGCATATTCAGTGGTTGGGTATTTGTAACACAGGCCTAAAAGGTTTTATTAGGTGATCTCTAGATATTCCATATTTCCGGGTTACCATATTTTATAAAAACACCATTATTTCCACAACAGCAAGAGAATAATTAACTGGAAATTTAACGACACCTATGATCACGAACAAATACTAAGGAAATATTCTAATCAACACACAAACACACACTACTAGAACAAAACTAAACCATTCATCACCTCGTCAATTCAGTCACTGAAAATGATTCACACACTATCATGGTAATAATCAATGCACAGCACATCTCCGCCGCTAAAACATGCTCAATAACATAACAAATCTAACTAATAACAACGATCAAAACAACACAACCACACTATCCACTGCACAACCCTTCCAACACACACATCAACAGAATCAATCAATCAATCGCCCACAAATACACAACCAACCACCAACTACCATACCCCTCAACAACACAACTAAACACCAACACCAATGTCGTGTCTCTCGTAGGCGGCATTCTACACAAAAATGACACCGTTGCTCGACACCATCATCTATATCAGCCACGATCAGACACCCTGTCACAAATAACAGGCTGCCACACACAGATCAAAAGGCTCAACTATACCACAACACTACACAACACAACACAACACACACCCACCAACTACCACACAACTAACTACACAACATCGTCATTATTATTATTATCATCAACAAACCAACCAACATTACATCTTTCACAATCAAAACACCACCGAGCTACACATTACTATCACGCACACACCAACACTAACTAACACTCGAACAATTATCACATCGTCGTCGTCCTTCACTTACAATATCCACACACACACACACACACACACACACAAAACAACAGTCTCATCTGCACATCCCTTCCAACACACACATCAACAGAATCAATCAATCAATCGCCCACAAATACACAACCAACCACCAACTACCATACTACTCAACAACACAACTAAACACCAACACCAATGTCGTGTCTCTCGTAGGCGGCATTCTACACAAAAATGACACCGTTGCTCGACACCATCATCTATATCAGCCACGATCAGACACCCTGTCACAAATAACAGGCTGCCACACACAGATCAAAAGGCTCAACTATACCACAACACTACACAACACAACACAACACACACCCACCAACTACCACACAACTAACTACACAACATCGTCATTATTATTATTATCATCAACAAACCAACCAACATTACATCTTTCACAATCAAAACACCACCGAGCTACACATTACTATCACGCACACACCAACACTAACTAACACTCGAACAATTATCACATCGTCGTCGTCCTTCACTTACAATACACACACACACACACACACACACACACACAAAACAACAGTCTCATCTGCACATCCCTTCCAACACACACATCAACAGAATCAATCAATCAATCGCCCACAAATACACAACCACCCACCAACTACCATACCCCTCAACAACACAACTAAACACCAACACCAATGTCGTGTCTCTCGTAGGCGGCATTCTACACAAAAATGACACCGTTGCTCGACACCATCATCTATATCAGCCACGATCAGACACCCTGTCACAAATAACAGGCTGCCACACACAGATCAAAAGGCTCAACTATACCACAACACTACACAACACAACACAACAACACACACCCACCAACTACCACACAACTAACTACACAACATCGTCATTATTATTATTATCATCAACAAACCAACCAACATTACATCTTTCACAATCAAAACACCACCGAGCTACACATTACTATCACGCACACACCAACACTAACTAACACTCGAACAATTATCACATCGTCGTCGTCCTTCACTTACAATATCCACACACACACACACACACACACACACACAAAACAACAGTCTCATCTGCACATCCCTTCCAACACACACATCAACAGAATCAATCAATCAATCGCCCACAAATACACAACCACCCACCAACTACCATACCCCTCAACAACACAACTAAACACCAACACCAATGTCGTGTCTCTCGTAGGCGGCATTCTACACAAAAATGACACCGTTGCTCGACACCATCATCTATATCAGCCACGATCAGACACCCTGTCACAAATAACAGGCTGCCACACACAGATCAAAAGGCTCAACTATACCACAACACTACACAACACAACACAACACACACCCACCAACTACCACACAACTAACTACACAACATCGTCATTATTATTATTATCATCAACAAACCAACCAACATTACATCTTTCACAATCAAAACACCACCGAGCTACACATTACTATCACGCACACACCAACACTAACTAACACTCGAACAATTATCACATCGTCGTCGTCCTTCACTTACAATATCCACACACACACACACACACACACACACAAAACAACAGTCTCATCTGCACATCCCTTCCAACACACACATCAACAGAATCAATCAATCAATCGCCCACAAATACACAACC